GAGAACTGCAAGATAAAACTGCTCGCTGGAACTAAATTTCCATTTTTCTGTTAGAAAACAATTGGTCGAACAGTTAAAGAATGTCCAGGAGCAGTGTTTCCAAGAAGTTGAAGAACTTAAGGCGACTGTGTTAAGGGAACGCTCTTTAAAGACCGAATTGGCACAAGAACTTGACGTGAGAGAAAAAAGACTCCAGGAATCCACTGTAGAGATTCAAGCGCTTACGAGTTTGAAAGCAGGACTGGAAGGGAGCCTCCAAACGAGCAACGCCCGGGCGCATGACGACAGAGCTGCCTACGAAAGAGAAATAAGTTTGAAGAAAGAGGAAGTGGATGAGTTGTGTACAAAGTTGCAAGGATTTGAGGAAGAGTTGAAGGAAAAGGCTAAGCTGATTCACGCTTTGGAAAAAGAGAGGGATCAAGTTAGAGATGAATATGAAAAAATATTGGCAGATTTAAAAAGTGGACTGGGTAATTATTTACATAGGATGGGACAAATAACCTCTTCATATTTTGAATTATGCGAGTGCGTGTGAAAATCGCCTCTTGCGAGGAAGCTGACACGCGGAGGGAATCCTTTCCTCGCGCACGGCGATTCTCACCTGCGCTCGCTCAATTATCCCTGAGGAAAACGAGTGACTACTTGTAGTCTGCTTTTCATTTGACCTTATACATGTCTTTATTTCTCTCTTAAGATGAAAAGATTAACAGCATGGCAGAAGATAAAGCGACAGCCGTAGCTCAGTTTCGGCTGAGGACAAACCAACTAGAGGAAGACCTCGAAAGGATGAAAGAAGAGTTTGGTAAAAAGCAGAAAGCCATGTTGGAAGAAGCGGAGAGGAACGTCGCAAAAGTCCAAGAAGCTTGCGATGCGGACCGTGTCGCCTGGAAGAAAAAATTTGACCAACTGTCGGAAGAAGTTATGAATACAAGAACGGAGATGTTCGAAAACTCGAAGAGGCATTCCGAAGAGCTGATCGAGGTTCGAAGAAAAGCGAGAGAAGGAGAGGAACGGTTTGATGAAGAGGCCAGGGTAATGAGAAGCGAGAAAATGGATTTAGAGAACCAGCTTTTGAAGGCTAATAGCAATATTGCTGAGTTGGTACTAGAGACAAAACGAGCTGAGGATATGAAGAAAAAATTGGATGACGAACAAAGGAAATCCGAGGAACTGAAGATCAAATGTGATAGCTATTCTGCCCAAGCGAAAGAGTTACAAGAAAAAGTTGAACAGTTAGAAAAAGATGCCGTAAAAGAGAAAGAAAATTGGAAAAACGAGATAACGAAGGTGGAGAACGCAAACAAATCTGAAGTTAATACAATCCGAGAGGTACTGGAAAACGTGAGAAAAGATTACAGTGAGTTGGAGATGAAGCGGAAGAATGAGGTTGAGAAAATTCTCGAAGATGAGAAGAAAAGAGAAGATGAATTTACTGCGCAGATGGAGGAAATGAGAGCTGCAAACGAAGAGAAAGGGAAAAGGATTCAAGAGCTAGAATCGTTGCTTGAAAAATCATCGAGCGAAAAGACACGGAGAGTTGAAGAATTAGAATTTTCCTTGAAAGAAGTATCGGAGGAAAATAAGGAAAAAGTTGAAGAATTGGAGGCTTTATTAAAAAGCGCGATGGACGAAAAAGAGGAAATGGTCGGTGAAATGAAGAACTCTGAGATAAGATCGGCAAACAAGCAGGAGGAACTTGATAGGAAGATCAAAGAACTAGATGGTGCCTCGGAAGAAATGAAAGAAGCAGAGGTAGCGTTTGCCGAGCTGAGAAATCACATGGATAGACTTGAGGTCGAGAACGAACGGCTGGAAAAAGAGGCTCAAGAGGAAGCCTTGATCAACAGACGGCTTGGAACGGAGGTGCATTCCTTAGAGGCACAGTTAGCCCACGCCGTTGAACAAATACGCGAGCAAAAGATCAACCTTGAAAACAAGAAAAAAGTGGAATCGCAGAGAAGACAGACAATCGGAGGCGTAAGATCACAGATGTATCCTCGACAAGCCTTTTTAGAAGAAGACAGTTCAACTGATTCTGATGACGGCCAACCTTTAGGACTGGAAGAGTTATCAAGCTCTATAGGAACGAGCAGGAGGGCAATATTAGGCCAAGGTGAACTCTTCAACCATTCCACTCGATCTCTCTCCAGTCTCCACTCAGCTTCTACTTCAAGTTTTAGATCTGGAGTCCAGACACGTGCCAGTCGCCGTCAAAGCGCTATATACATGCGCGGTAACACCCCTCCTGAGAAACGGACTACCAATAGCGCTGCTTACTTCATTCTTGGGGACGGAGTCGGACCGGAAATGGAACCAGATGCCGATGATGAATTCGATTGGACCCGACTGGCCGAATTACAGCGTCGGAACGCATCGTGTCTTCCACATCTTCAGACTTCCTACCCTGTGGAAACGCAAATGGGACCGGACTTCACAGGGCAAGAAGATGCCCTCAAAAGAGGGAGAATGTCCTTGGATACTTCTATAATTAAACCTTATAACACCCGAAAGCGTAAATCTGAAGAGTCTGTATCAAAGGCAGCGATCATACATGGCTCAAGTTTGCCCAAATCAAAGTCGGCACCCAGTATCACTCCAGCAAAGCAGTCGAGGAAAAAGCGATTCAATCAAGCCGTACGAAACACCTTTGAATCCTTGCGGTCTCGCTCAAATGAGAGTCTCTCTACTGAAGTTCAAGATCCTGAAAACGCACCGCGAAGAGAGAGCGTTGCATTCAACATCGAGATCTCGCCACCCAAAAAGACAAAGGTCGGAATCGCGAGGCGTCGAACCATCTCAAGATACACTGGGACAACTCGACTGCTCGAGAAAGATAAGAGCAAAGATTCCTTGAAAAAATCGAAGACACAGCATCTCGGGACGGGTGCGAGTGAGGAAAGGAGGCCGCTTAGACCTCGTCAGGAGAAAAGCAACGTCAAATGAATTAGCTTAGCTAAAATGATTCACGTGTCAAAGCCCATGTACACCCTTAAACTGCTATTTACACCTAGAGAACATGCAGTTCGAGTAAACGAAATTAAATTGTACAGTGATCAGATCCAATGGGGAAATAAGAGAATAATTAATCAGTAGGACAAGAACGTGAGTGAACCATTAAACAAGTAGAGAAGAGAACTCCAAGAGTTCTCATCTGCGCACTTTCGAGGTACTTTTAGCTCGATCTCTATACAGTCGAACCGCCTGAATGCATGAATTTTAAATATAAGTTAGACTCTTTTATATTAATTAAGTTCTTTGAATTTTTGCAAATACTATTTTTTTAAAATGTTTTGTTTTGTTTTTTCTTAACTACCGTTTTGATTCAACATGAAGTTGTTAATAATAGTCAGCAAGACTTTTTCGTTCTTTAAATACACTACTACTGCAGTCAAATTTATGTTAAGCGTTCTAGACGCTGCGGAATCATGGCAATACTGAAGTGAAAATTTACAGTTTGGCCTTTTGCCGTAGGCTGTTCATTTTATTTACCGTTCTGTGTTCAAAATCACGAGTTTAGAAACAGTTTTAGTGAAAATATTGTGTGAAAATGTAACAAAACAGAATAACAATTGATCGTACGTGTGGTCTCCTTTACTTTCAAGACTGTGTGATTATATTTCCCTTACATCTCCTTCTCGGTGGGATCGCAAGACTGTTTTCCCTTGTGACGAAGAGATCCTCAGTCTCCGGTTGTGACGTCGTTGCTTACGTCACAGTAGATACCCGGGAGCTCAAACGGTATTAGGGAAAATCAAGTGCGTTATCTTAAGGGGGCGGGGTTAGAGAGTTATCCAGTGGATAGCGTTATCTAACATTTGAACAACTGTAGCCTGTGCTACGCTCTCAGATAGTAGGCACGTCGCGAAACTCAATAGAACAAGCCAAGTGAAAATAAAACGCGCGCTATCTAGAGAAGGGGGCAGCACTTTTTACTACTCGATAGCCTACGACGCAGGCTACTGTTTGACTGCATTACTAGAGACCCTTAGATTCTAAGACGAGTACGAGATTTTCTCATTACTAAGTACGGCTCGCGCGTTAACCAACGTCATTTTGGCGGGAAAGCTAGGTAGCCGTCGTCACTCTACTACAAGTTTTAGCGAGAATGTCGAAGTGGGGAAAACAAGTTATCAAATGTTAGAAGTTTTATCATTTTGCTATTGGGAGAGGGTGTAACCTCCTTCACTAAAGGTAACAGTGCTCACTTTTCTGGTGAAAAATGGTAAAATGAAGCTTTCCAGGGAGTCTATAGTTTGAGAATACGCGAAAAATTTTAAGGCAAATCTCGTACTCGTAGTCGCTCTCGTCCTTGAATCTAAAGGTCTCTACTATCTTGGAGCCTGGGACAACTGGGCAGGCCCCAGTTCTTTAAAAGGTGGAAAGCGCTATCTATCGTATAAATCTCTATCCTGTGGATAGCGCAATTGCTTTCCCCAATACTTATCCACTGGATAGTGATTTATCTGATGGATAGCGCTATCGTTGCCTAGTCTTTAGGCCTCGTTATTTCCAAACTTTGGGTCACGTGGTCTGCTCGTTCGCCTCGGATACGTCACCGTAATGAATTGGCTGGGAAAACGCCGAACACGGGCTAGAGCGCTATCCAACTTTTGCACAACTGGGGCCAGATTGTCAGAAAGGGAAGCAGAAGCAGAGGACCAAGAAATCACAACATGCTTATTTTCAAGGGTGATGAAACTGATGATTGGTTTAATTCTATTAACGTTTGCAGTGATAAAACACTTTCAAGTGTTCTTTCACCATCCCATCGCCTTTTTCTTGTGTTTTATTCTTATTCGTAACCCAAGAATTTCTGAGTCCTGAACGGATGATGGAATTTCCTCAAAGTTCTTTCTGAACTCTTCTGAATCTCGCAGGGTGTTTGTTCCCCAACCTTGATTCCATTCTTCTATTTGGTCAGCGGGTGGTCGAGAGGACTGGGTCTTCCCGCGTTCTACGACCGCGCGAACACTGGGGCCAAAAAACTTTCTTGCCTGACTGTTTTTGCCACTACGTGTAAATTTAAAACTGGTGTTTTGTTGGTGGTAAAATCTTTTGTAGTCTTTGGTCATTTAAACTAATTGTCTCTCTGTTAAGTTTCTCTGCGTGGACACTGTAGGTTCTGCTAAGCAATGGAGGCGAACAAGCGGCTTTCGGCGCTTTCAAGCCACCTTAATCCAAGATTTATATCACACGGAGAAAAAAATCAGCGATTTCTCTTGAACGAGTTACACAAGGTAGGGACGGTCACCGAATTAAGAAAGGTGTCATGTTTATGTTTTCTTATTAATTAAGGGTCAGTTCTTACTCTTCTTTGAGCAAATGTACACTATATTTTGCAGATTGGTGTAACTGATGTAGAGATATCTGGTCCACCATCCTGTTATGAAATGGAGTACCAAACTCTCCTCACACCTGAAGCAGTCAAATTTGTGGTAGAGCTTGTGAGACAGTTTGACAAGGATGTAGATCAAGTAATAATGTGCTTTTCTGTTAATTCATAATTTGGGTGGTTTCAAAACATATCCATGCCAACCCCTCAGAGAGTTACAAAAAATTATGAGGGAGAGGTGGATCTCAAAAAGACTAAAGAAAGGTACGAACCAAAATTTCCAGAGAGAGAGGGAGGGGCGGGGGGGGTTAAACCACTCATACATCAGGCTTCTGATGTTATGCATTTCATAGGCCATAATTATCAGGGCTGTTACTGAGTTTTCAAATTGCCAGGCAACTGAACAGCCAGGGAGTTCTATTGGTCTCATTCTCCTTTTGTTTGCTACGAAAATACCTGGGGATCATGCTCATTAGTAGCCCCGGGGAAATCCCCAGCACCCGGCTCTTAGTGACAGCCTTGTATATCCAAGTTTCCCCATGCCTAAATTGGGTCTTTTTGTAGGTACTGTCACCACAAAAGAAAACATTATTGAACCAAATGATGGAGATCTCCCGGGGGCTTAATTGTTTGGTTGTATTGTTTTTTTTGTTGTCGTTGTATGTAATCTGTGCCTCAGTACCTACAGAAGGAACCCCTCTGTTTTGAAACAAAAGCTTTCTATATGAAGATGATTTTTTATTTTATCTTTATCATTATTTTGCCACATACTATATGTTTGATAAAATTATGAAATAAAACAGAGGCATTGGCAAGAAAATTAGCTATTTATACAATTATCATTTAAAACATGGAAAATATCATTTATTATGATGAAAGCGAGAAGAACAAAAATCAAAAGAGCTGAAAATTAGGCACAAGCACAAAAGAAGTAATGTACGCCTGACTTGATTTCAGCCTCCTCTATTTAGATGTTTTAAACTCTTTTAAAGTCAATGCTCTAACATTGTTCAATTCATGTTTTGTCAAAGATGTTAAGACATCGCACTATGAGAAAACTCCATCTCAAAAGCTCTGGTGAGCTTCCATTCTTCCAGCTACCAAGTTCTGATGTCCAGGATAAACACTGGCAAGTTTCAGTTGTTCCAGAGAGACTTCAATGCAGAGCAGTGGATCTTGGAGACATTTCACCTGCCAACACTGAACTGTTTTTAAAGGCATTAAATTCACCTGCATGTGGTATACAGGTAACAAAAACTACGGTACTCAATAACAAACAAGGACCATTAAAATTCACACCACCCCCTCCACCCAAAGTGATTTTAGGGCTGGCATGCTTACATGAGGGACAAGTGGTGAAACTTTCATATGACTTGCAAGAGATGCAAACTAAGCTTTTTTTACACAATCCTCAGCTTTGGCTTAAATGTACTAGAAGTATTAATGAGGGGTTACAAACAAGTTGTCTAATTAGCTATTTAATAATAATGATGATGATGACGATGATGATAATAATTATAATAATAATTCATTGTTATAATAATAAACAAAAAGAAGTGGGTTTTCAAAGAGCTATGAAGCAGAGGTTTTCAAGAGCTTCAGGTCTTTAGTCTATGACATAAGCTTCTTTAAGGGTACATAAAGAGGCGTACTGGTATTACATCCCTTCAAACTTCAAGACTGATAGAGGTCAAAAGGAGGTAAAAAAAATACCCTTTGCTTTACAGACTGATCTTGATGATGGCCATTGTCCTTCCTGGTCCAACCAGCTAAAAGGTCTCTATAACATCTATCAGTTTGTCCATGGAAAAATGAGAGGTTAGTCATGGTTCAGGTTTGGTTACCTTAGGTTTGACTTTATTTAATAGGTGCAGTGCTCTGTCCATCCAAAGAAGTGAAAAAACATTCAGTACAGCAATGTTGACAAAGATGTTAATATGTGCTCTTGTAGGGGCTCCAGCAATGACAAATGCACCAGTGATTATGTTTCGCCCTAGAGCTTGGAACATGCTAGAAAGCAATGTTATGGTAAGGATGTATAAACCTATGTATGTTTTTGATGCAAGAATTTTTCATTGCTGGCTATTTATAAATATTGATCGTAATTTTGCACAATTAGACCTAAGACTTTCAGTAACTGATTGACAATTTTTATCATCTTTTTCCACAGGTTGGTGGCAGGGTTATTCCTGGTCCATTATTTGATTTTGGTCTTCATATGTTTCACAACAGCAAACTCATGATGAAAGAGGGAAATGGACCTTTCTTCTATCTACCAAAGGTAATGTGGGGCTATAAACATTACACTGTAGCTTTTCTTTTAAGCGAACAAAAATAATTTGGAACGTCAACATTTTATTAAGGAACCATTTGAGAATGTGCAGGTCATTCAGACGTTATATACTGAACAATGTATATTAAAATTTCTGGCCAACTTAGGTTACTATGATTGAATTTTGTGAGTGGAGTTCTATTCGACCTTCTCATTTTCCACACAAGTGACAAAATTTGTCTAAAGCTGTCTTATAACTTACATGAACTGCCACTTACAAGCCCCCTCCCACTTATAAGCCCCCCTCTTACAAGCCCTTCCACTTATGAGTCCCCTCTTACAAGTCCCCCTTAAGACCCCCTCTTATAAGCCCCCACTTATAAGCCCCCTCTTACAAGGGCCCCCCCCACTTATAAGCCCCCTTTACAAGCCCTGCCCCCCCTTATAAGCCCCCTCTTACAAGTGCCCCCTTTTATAAGCCCCCTTCTTTCAAGCCCTGCCCCCACTTATAAGACCCCTGTTTACAAGTCCCCCCTCCACATATAAGTCCCTGCTCTTACAAGCCCTCCCAGTCGTAGGCCCATCTACCTGTAAACAAAAACGATCATCCTATTAGAACCCCCAAGATAAAAGCCCCCCTCATATATGTATTGAAATAAATTTCAGGGTTGTCACTAAGATTTCAAGTTGCCAGGTAAATACAACAAGTAGGCGGGGAATCAAACAGCTAGGAATTTCTTTCGGTTCTATTTTTCTTTCATTTTCCTTTGAAAGTAACTGGGGAAGACGCACATAGTAGCCGGGGGAAATCCCCGGCCCCCGCCTCTTAATGACAGCCCTGAAATTTGATTAGTAAACATAAAACGTATTTTGATCAGCACTACAGTTGTAACTTGTTTAGAACTGCTTTTCCTATTCCAGTCATAAACCCTCCTTAAACCTCTTACGAAGTTGTATGTGATAAGGAGCAGTTTACAGTACAGCATTTTCCTCAACAGTCAATTAATTAATCACCGATTTAACACCTTCTATCCAGTTTATTTGCTGGACGGATCATCGGAACTTTTGTAGGACGTATAATAACGTCAATTTGCTCTCATGGTTTCTCTATTGTGTTGCTGTTTTTAGCTTGAAGGATCTAATGAGGTGAAGCTGTGGAATGATATATTCGTCTGGGCCCAGCAAAGGGTAACAAAAATGTTTTGCTTTAATTATCTTTGTTCTTTTATTTTTGCAAGAATTTGAAACTTAATAAAATTTGCTTGTCACTTACTTTTCAGCTTAGTTTGCCGTTGGGTACTATCAAGGCTTGTGTTCTTATAGAAAGTATCTTTTGTTCATTTGAGCTTGATCAAATCCTGTATGAACTGCGGCAACATTCTGCAGGTCTCAACTGTGGCATGTGGGATTACTCAGCATCTTTAGTCAGTAACTTTGGTATGTACAATTAGACACGAAAGACAGCTTTTCTTTGATTATCCAGTACATAAGAAAACTACAGTATTACTAGATGTGGAAATGTGAAACACAGAAAATGTATCAGCACCTACTTTTTGATGTAGTGGTGAATTATTTTTTCAACTAGAACTTCCAGTCCTGTTTTTCATATTATTATTTGTCAAGTGATCCCAACTTTCTTGCCTGTACCGCTTGTGACGTCATCAGTTTAAACGGTCAAGGACGACTTCAGCAAAAATGTAAAAGTCAAGACTGCTATGCCACCTTTAAACCTGTAGTAACCAATCCCCCGCCTAGTCCCAGTCCGCGTGTTTACGTATAAGTAATTCGACTTTCGCGCGGGTTATGCAAATCGTAAAGTATCTTGCTCGAGTTCGCTAGCTGTTACAACTACGTTACGTTCTTTATCTTACTTCGTTCGCCGTATTCCCAAATCGTCAGGTAATGTCCTCAGGGGCACCCAACGAGAGTATAGTTCAAAACCACATAAACATAGCATTGTTGAACGTACTTTAGTAATTAAACGGTAGATAAAGGCTTATTTTTATCCCCTAAAAATTTTTCATCTTTTCGGATTTCCTAGCTGAAAGTATAGTGATCCGAAAATTATAGGGATCAAAATTTACCTTTTCGAAAATTTCAGCCAGAAAAAAGGCTCCCGAAAATTCTAGGTGACCTTTTTAGGGTAAAAATCCGTTAAAAATGGGCAATTATACGATTTTTTTGAAGTTCGAAAATCCTAGGAGAGGCAGGCAAGCAAGAAATTTGTACGAAAATGATCCGAAAATTCTAGACCTCAAATCGTCTTCCGAACAGATAATTTTCCGAAAATTGTCGTTGGGTGCCCCTGTGTCCTCTGTCTTCGTTTATCTCGTATTTCCTATGTTATCTGTATTTCCTACGTTACTTCCATTGTTGTAATTAGTCGTTCCGCTCTTAATGTATTATGTTTGTTACTTTATCCTAGAAACCACTGGCAACATCATGTAAATAAGGTTAAGAGTTCGAGTTGTTCCAGTTGAATTAAAACTCTTTTACGACTTCTATTATTGCTGGTGCGTTGGTTACAAAACCCAAAAATAGCGATTAGGTTAATTCTTTGATAGTGTACTCTTGTTTCCACTATTTTGATTGGAACATTTTGTAGAGTGTCCTTGGTTGCTTCTTGAATAGACATGAAGTAATCATGAGTTGGCTTAATTGAATTTCTTTTATAGGAGAACGACCAGATTTCATCTTGCCTGATCGTAAAAAGTATGTCTCCATGGACAAGAAATACCTGAAGAGTTACATGGACTTGGTAATAAAGGTATGGTAGTCATTATTAAGTTAGCCTGCAAGCTGGTTCTCCAATTATGGCGAGCGAACGCGCGAGTAAGCGGCGATTCCTCAAGGCGAGCGTGCGGCTCTCGCGTGACTTCCCGCAACTCTCCGCAATGAAGAGCTTGTTTACAGGCTATTATCAAGGGTAATCGGCCAGGCTAGTCTACAAAAAAAACCTGTTTAGAGTTATCATACAGTGACTGCTGCTTTAAAAACCATACTCTAGTGACTGAAAGAAAGAACTGAAGCCCTTCGTCAATTGTAACAGACCTTATACTTATTCTCTTTCATGTGTTTTTTTCCTTTTTCAACAGACTTGTCACGCACGTGGCTGTCACGCTACTGGTGGAATGGCACCAGTTGTGTTACCACGTGATAATCCACAACGCCGCCAACAAATCACTGAAAATGTTTGTAGGTAAGTGAGGATGAAGAAACAATGTGTACAGGGTGAACCATCCTCGGAGACCCAGGGGCGGTCAGTCGGGCCGGGAGAAAAGGCATTTTAACCCGGCCCGACTGACTGCCCCTGGGTCTCAGAGGATGGTTGAGTCCATCCCTGTTGTTTTATTTTCAGATCAATCAACGTGGTTTTTCCTGTCCTCTTTTTAGAAATGTGTGTTTATACCAGACTTCTAACAGTCCCTTAGGCTCTTAGGATTGTGGCACGTGCGAGCATCTTACAAGCCAAAGAGCAAGGCCAGCGCAAGAGGGGGAAGTCTTCTACCTCACGCGTTTGCCTCGCTCGCTCGCACGTAAACATGTTTGACCACGCGACAGGAGTAGTCTGTTGTTATACTTGCCGTCTAAATTTTTGCTATTAGAAGCCATTTTCTTTCTTGACTTCTTTTGATCATCATCGTCGTCGTCTTTGCAATTGTCATCATCATCATAGCGGATGAGCCAACACGATCCACGTCGAAATGATTGCATCGTGTTTTGCAAATACTTTTCTAATTTTCCCAAATTTCCTATGTGACACCCCATGAAAAAGCTTTGTTGAACCTTGTTGTCTGCTGTTAGAGCCAAGATGAAGGAAATCGAGGCGGGAGCCGACGGATTTCTGGTCTTTGATCCTGATCTTGTTCAGCCTTTGTTAGAGGTTGGTGAAGCTAACACAATTTAAATTTTCTCATCGTTTATATGGCTATCAGGCTTCGTCGAAACGTACCGAGACATTTTGAATTCAAAAACGTTTTTTGCGGATTGGCTTTCCATCCAAACGTGTCCGATACAATCGGTTACCCGAATGTGTAACGTTTTGAAAACTTTCATTCTCTAGTTTTAAAAATGCTGCATTGTTGTCGGCGTATGGACCGGTAAGAACGGAATGATGACGTCACAGGATTTGATCTTGTGCCGGGTAAAAATTTACTGTAATCTGTGTAATCTTTAGCCTGCGAACGGCAGACGTTTCTCCTCGCTCATCGCCGCTGACGGACGTTTCGCGAAACGTCCGTCAGCGGCGATGAGTGAGGAGCAACGTCTGCCGTTCGCAGGCTAGAAGAGAGCGAGAATTTTAGAATAATTCAAGGCCAGTCATTTTTTATGATAAAAATATCTTCCCTTTACAAACAGAAACGGATTCAAATATGGATACGTGTGGTCGCGAATTATTTTGAATCCCCAACAAAATGTTCGTGGATTCAATAAAATCATCAGTCAAGCGTGTTCGTCTGAAACATTAGGCACCCAGTGAGTGCGTGCGACTACTGTCACTGCCACTCAAGGAGAAGAGAAGAACAGTAAAAAACGGCACTGTCTTCCAACCATTTACCCAAGGAGACCCAGGGACCTTGCAACGCTCTCTGTTTAAACTTACACTGGCTAGTAATTGTACTGTCAAATCCATTAATTTTCAGATGTGGAGGTCACGTGTTTATGCAAAGAACCAACTTCATGTAAGCCGGGCTGATGTTTGTGTCTCGAGGAACGACCTTCTAAAGCTTCCACAGGCGAGTACTGTAATATGATTATTGCAATTAATTTAATAAATAATGCGGCGCAAGAAGTTACAACAGTTGTTTTCGCACAGGGGGTTAACCAGAAAAATGAGGCGAGCACAATTTGTTGTTTTGAGTGTTCAGTCCCTTAAACAATCAGAAAATTGTTTAGTTACTATTTAAAAGCTCTTGGGAAATTTCATTGTCGTTAATTTCCCGTATGGACTAAAACGCTCATGCCAGTGAATATCGGAAAAATATTTCTCAGCGTAAATGAATGCATGAATTTGTAAATGAGTGTATGGAAGTAGTGAATGAATAATAGTGAGCAGCTTTAGCAGGACGTACGGCGACACCAACGAGAACGGGAAAAAAGCAACAGGTTTTATGAGCAAAACGGCAACTTAAAACACTTGCATGACGCTCTTTTGGTACATTTCTTTACCGTCACTTCACGACTGCGAGGTGGAATTCCCTCAAGCGACGTTTTATTGAGGACGTTAACACAAGACTCCCTCTTAACTTTGTGGCGGTCTCCAAGAATTCAATTCTAGGGAAATTCACCTACTTTTGAGATTTTGCGCCAGTCGGAAAAATCGCGACTAAGTTTGAAAAAAAGCGAAGTCTATTAAATAGTGACGTTTGCGCTCCCGTCGCCGTTGCTAAAGTTCCCCAAGATTTAAGCAAGTCAAAACTTCGTTGTAATGGCGGTATATTCTATAAACAGGGCGGATTTACTTTACAAGGATTACAGAATAACATCGTTGTTGGAATTCTGTTCATAGATGCTTGGTTTAGAGGTAAGGAAGTTTACAGTAGCAGGGGGTTCATTAAGGGCCGGGCACCTGGCAAATTGACTGGCTGTGAACACGAGTTTGCCCAGCTGCTTTACATCTCAAAGAACTTCTTTTTAATACAAGGAACGATCAAAAACAGTTTTAAGTTACAATCGTGAGTCTTATCGAGTGTAAAACATACTTTGCCGTGCAATTTCCACTTTTTTACACGCGGCATGAAATCCCCTCGTTCGTTATGTGTTAAAAAGAAGAATCGCCCGATAACACATTGTGAAAAGAACTGTGCTTCATAAGCGACCACCTGAAATGTATCAGTGTTGCGAGCACGTGAGCATGGCAGCCCAGAAAAGAACGTGTTCGATAGCAGATTATTTTTCGGCTTCAACCAAAGGGCCTCCAGTAGAGAAAAGGCCAAGAGGTGAGTAGACTTCTTTGTGATTTAACCTTTTACTTGCCTGTATATATTGAATGGCTCAATTATCATGTTCAACGAAGCGAAGCGTCATTTGTTTTCGTTTTATGGTTTACGCCAATGAATTAATTTTCGGTGCTTTCACGTTAAAACAGTGCTCCTCCCATCTAGTCATTGAAATTTTAAAGATAAGTTGTTAAACTAATACTTTTGTGATTCAAATCATGATTAAATTGTCTAGAAAAGTTATCTTTTTTTGGTTATTGAAAGTCATTGTCTGCAGCTTCAAAATGCAGGAAAACACATCTCTGCGACTATAGAATTTCAAAATTTTCCGGGGTAGCATGCCCCCAGACCCCCCTTGGGAGCAAGGCCCTCCGGGCCTTGCCAATTCTTTGCCCAGGTGTCAAACTCAGTTGCCCTCCTGTTCAAAACCTTAATGAACCCCCTGCAGTAGTACTTCTGTAAAATGACTAAATTTCGGTCAGTTTCCGGCGCTCTTCGGCAGGCGAAGAGCTGAGCTTTGTTACTTACAGTACTACAAAGTATGAACTTTGTAATTATTTGTTCCTGGTAAAAGACATTTCTTGATTGCTTTGCCGTTGGTTGGAAAATTCGCGTCATTTTCTCAATCAGTTACAAGATCATTTAAAACCCCATTACAATAATGACTTCTCTTTTTTGCTCCAAGATCTGTTTTGTTCTTGTGATTATAAACCTTCCGACTGCAGACTTGGAAACTGGAAGATATACAACGAAAACTGTTGTCTAATCCTCAGAAAACTTTCTCTATCCCTAGACGGAAAGTCTTTTTAAAGTTTTAATGCATTTCACACTTGTTTGCCCCTTGTAACTCAGTGCCCGTCTTCAGTATGTATTTATCGCACAGCTATCGATCGCCTTGAACAACATAACGTCACTACAATAGCTTTCATTTGAATGGTTACGCCGTTTCGTGATCCCCCGGCTCAAAGGTGAAAGCCCCCTTGTACTGTAATGGAAGTTACATGTAATTTGTTGTGTAACGTGAATTACAGGTGAAGGTGTGTTTGTACTGAACGGAGCCATCGAGGACTCAGCTACTGCCGAGATTTCTAGATCACAGGTGAGAGAAACAAGCGCATTATTAATATTTCTGTGATAAGTCTGTCCTGTTCTGGTGAGTTCCCGTTTAATAGGCCATTGTCGAATTCCAAAACCCCTCACTTTCATTTGTTACTTTCAAAACGGGGCTAAGCACAAAACTTTTCTTGTGATTGGTGTCATTTGCATGAGAATAGAAATCATTTTATACCAACAGCTTTGCACTTAGTCTCGCCTTGAAACAGAGGCTTGCAACAACTTGGAAATGTCCTACAATAATCCCCTTTACTGAATCTCAGTGTTACTGACAATTCTCACTGTGTTATATTTCTCGTAGTTTTTTGTCTTAATTTGTTACATGGTACGTGTTATAAAATTATAAAACCAGGCTAGCATGCTGAAACTGCTGGAATATCGGGTTGTTAATTAGAATAGAAGATGAGGTAACCAAAGTGTAAGGCGAGTTGAGACACTGGCGAATTGACTGGTCAGCGAAACACGACGACCCCAAATTTATAAACCCATTGCTTTTGTTCCGATACCTGACATTTTTATAATAATTATTGTTAATTCAGCCCCACATCTCCAACCAAGTAAAAACATGCGAGTCATGAAGTCTATCATTTTAAATTGCTTTTCTTTGCTTACAGATTTGGCAGGCAGTTCGCCATCGGTGTACGCTGGAAGGAGATGGCCGTACAGTGACCAAAGAACTTGTTTGCCAAGAAATAAAGCGCATTACTGCCGAGCTTGTTCGACAAAAGGCGCAAAGTTCTGCTGATGTAGAGAGGCTGTCGACGTCTGCGCGGATATTGGAAGAACTTGTTTTAAAATGGGACTTCCCACAATTTATTACCAGTTATCTTTATGAACATTATAAGTTTAGAAATGCAGTTCTTTAAAAAGAAAATAAAAGTCTAATTACTGAACGCTTAAGAGTTTTCAGTGTAAAAAATCCTTGCGTAGACTGATTTTTACAGTCACCTGGCATTTTCCGCTTTCGGAAAAGGTCCAAAGATGGCTAGCCAATGCAGCCAACTAGGTACCAATTCCGACAACGTTTCTTCCAGCTCTTTGCAAAAAATATGAAAAAGTTCAATTTCTTTTTTAGGTAATCCTGGAATCTCGTTTCCCTGCCTTTGATAGATACTATTTCTCTGGATGTTGAAAATTCCCCCTCGTAATTTAAAGCCTTTCCGATACAGGCCCCGGCCCGCCGATAGTTCAAAGATCTGATTTTGCCATCCACCGGATAAATCGCTATCCAGTGTTATGGTTTCCAATAATTCCGTTATCCAGTGGAAATTGATTTATTTAGTGAGTAGCACTACCTAACTTCTGAACAACTTGAACCAAAAGGTTAAATTTTATAATCAAAGTAAAATACTGTCCATTTCGATTGTAACACTAGTAAAGAAACAGAATCGTAAAATACACAAGCATCAGATCTCATCGTTAGCATACATAGTGAAACTTTATTGAGAGTATAGGCATTAACCGTCGCTTTGACAACGATAAAAAGGTCTCTGTCCTTTATCGACTAGTAACTCTTAGCTTGATGTGATTCTAGTTCACTTCAAAAGAAAGATGCCACTCACGGTTTCTCAAACTTGAAAAAACTAGCCAGTTCAGTTCGTCAAATTCTGTCGTTAGTTACCATGTCAATCTCATCTGAATCGACTCTATACTAAATCAATCAGAGACATTTCTCGTGTTAGTCTATTTCACCAAGCTAATATTTTAAGAATCCTTTCAATTTCTTGATAATATTGTACGTTGCAAAACATTATATTCTGTAATTGCCCATTAATGACTGTCATTATTATCAGATAAATATTTTCGGCATTTTTTGCCCCTTACTGGTATATGTGGGTAGGTACAAAACTACATGGTAACCTAGAAATTCTACAGAAAGGCACTTGCCTTGCACTTGCCTTATCAATCAACAGTCAAGAATAAATAAGCGAATAATAAAGTTGAAAGATATAATAATAATAATAAACGTTCGAAGTGATTACTTCTTGATAAATGCAAAAACTTTGTTTATAGTGGGTTCAGGCTAGTTTATGGGAACCTCACTAAAATAATGACAAACAAAACCTATTGAAAATGGCAAGAGGTAAAGTAACCTTTTCACAGATCCCCTATTTTCTCGCTAGAGATCGTCGAGCGCGCATATGGAAATACAATCCGCGGAGTATTTATTAACCACAAGAAATGTCGAAAAAAAGAAAAAAGTCTTTGGACAGGCTAGAGGTAAACCAGTTGGCTATTTATAAGCATGGCCAGAGTTGAACTTAGGACTTAAAAGGAAACAAACTACAGTAGCAAGTTACTTCAAATCGTCTGAGCACTGGTCTTGAACTTGTGTTGTGACCTCCGTATTGAGAGACCGACAAGCTGATCATTAATTTTAGCCATGCTGCCTCCTGTACCTCCTTGACTGATACCAGGGGTCAATTTAATAAAACTTTTACAAATGTAATTTCCAAGTGTAGCTATTGTTTTCAGACTCTTAAACAATTGCTACACTTGTAAAATACAAGTTGGTGTAAAATTTTTATTAAATTGAACCCAGGATATGGTAGTTACAACAAGAAGCGAGCCTTATCTCTTACATTTCGTGTTGGAAACTTTCTCTTTTCCTTTTTTTTTATTGGTGTGTATTCTTCGCAGAGGTGGATCAACACCTCCATTGGGTGAGATGAAAATTTAACAAAACCACTCACCCTCTAGCTGGACAGGTTGCTGCTGAAGTTTAAAAGCCTGAAGCAGTTGTGCAGGCCAATCAAACCCCTTTTTGACAACATTTACTTTTATACCTGAGCAGATGTTGCTTGCCTGTGCCATCGGGACAACCCACAAATATTAAAATATGTCAGCCTGGCCTGTGGTTCCCTGCAGTGAGCTGGCTAGCAGTCTCAGTTTCGATGAAAATTGAGGTGGGCGTTCCCTTAGATTGGCTGATTGTTATTGGTACCTAACTACCCTACTCTAAATCAGGTTTATGGCTTTTCGACATGTACGTCTTGAATAAAAAATGTTTTTACAAAAGCAGCCTTTCTTCAGCTGATCACAGGAATGCCATTAAGAAAACCAACGCCAGAGAGAAGAGCAGGAAAGAGGATCCTAAATTCCCTGCAGCACCTGAGAAAGAAAATAAAGAAGACATGCCTGGTATTTAATGCAAGTTATCAAGATGCAGTTTAATATATGCTGTGGATTATACTCTTCATCATTTAAGAAACTCTGTCAAGTCTGGGAATGGAATGGTAGCCTATGTAGCTGGAAGGATTGTTATTCCTAGTACTTTCTTGGTTTCTTTCAAGCTGCAAAGCCACAAGGGATTTTTGTTAGCAGCAAAGCCGCGAGGGAAAATCAATTTCCATTCAACTTGTTCCCAACCTTAATGCTGCTCCATCAACAAAAATAATACAACACTTGCCCACTAATCTACATATATCATAATGGAACAAGTAGTGGCATGCAGTCATTTGTCATCATTAGTTATAGCTTATGAGGTGTTTAGTGATCATGCTTTTCACAGGTGAGAGAAAAAGAGGAGCTCAGAAAGACACGGAGGACCCAAATTCACATGAAGGTGGTGTAATGTATAACGCTAAGTTATGGCAGAAGAAGATTTTTACCTCCACACTGACAAGTTTGGCACCCTTTTTTGTCATGCAAATAGTTTCCACTGGGACAGGGTTTACACTTAAACACTGGACACTGATCTAGACATAACAATAGGGAGAAGAAGTCTTTACGTCACATTCCCATAGTAGCAAAATTTCTGGATGACAACAAACCAAAAATTCACTTAGAAAGTGAATTTGCACTGTTTCAAACTTAATCAAACTTATTCAATTTCATTTAATTTGTCAAATGTTGGCGAAATATTCTGGGGTTGAATCTGAAAGGACCGCATTGAAGAAGTTAGAAAAAGAAGAAGAAAATTTCCGTGTAATGTGTTTACCTGCTCCAAAAAGCATGGGCGTGAAATTAGGAAGTTTCATGTCGCAGTTGTGCAATGACGGCTAAGAAATGTACAAAAAAGCGTGATGCACAAGCAAAGTTATTGTTTTGCTAAAAAATCTTATTGTATTTTAACTGTTCTCGTTGCTGTCCCCTTCGTCGTTGCTTAAACTCCCTATTGTTGTGATCCAGAAATTTGCTACTAAGGTAACGTGACGTCACACTTCTCTCTGTTATTCAGAGATAAAAATGACATGCCAAAGACAGATCACAAACTGGGAAGTATTGTTAACTGTATATGACATTGAGTCTTAATCTTACTAGCAAAAATAAAGTTCAATTGTGAATCATTTGACTTACTGCATTCCCCCTTGTAACATACGATAATGTTTTTCTGATCAATACAAGCTTGACGTCTCATATGACAGTCATTGCCATATGTCTTTCCATCTGTTCCACATACTGGAGCATATATTTCAATGCATACAATGTCGCATGTACATTGTGCTGTGGTCTGGTTGGCAACACAGTATCCATAGAATGGACAAGTCATGTTAGCACACGGACCTGTTAACCCACAAAAGGTTATTGTCAGAAAGTCTGAACAGTTTCTAGGCAGGTGCGGATCCACACCAGTGTCCATTCTATGGAAATTGGTCAGATTTTTCATAAAAAATTCTTTTTTTTTGGAAAATGGTTTGGATAATTTTTTTCTTCAGTTTCCAAGCATTAGAAATAATAATATTCTCATTGAACTGCCGATTTGTAAGGCTTCATCTGAGGAGAATGGAATTGGCCAATATCCTGTAGTACCTTGTAGTAACTAATAATTATTTAAAGGAGAACTGCATGTAAAAACAAAACTAAATGAAAACATTGTGGAAAACGGGGAGATAGGTCTGGCTGCAAATACCTCCACACTGACAAGTTTGGCATCCATAACTGTCACGCATATAATAGCTGCCCTGGGGACATGGAAATGCACAGCGTAGTAAAGGACAATCATCTGCCATGGAGAAACAATAAATTAAAGAAATATATGACAAAATTTAACTCGATCCATAAACACATTGAATTCAAAAGACAGCTACCTAATAAAATTTCTGGCTTTGGTTGTTCAAAACTGCCAGCAGGAGCACTTTTTACTGTACATTAACCACTCACTCCAGGACCCAGGGGGGTTACTAGGGTTAATTTTTGCTTGGTATGTGCCACTGGCCTCTCACAACCCCCTACCCTGTTATAGTCTATTCTGTGGCCAAATATAGACCCCATCCATGTCAATTTTGGAAAAATGTAATTTTCGCGATCCCAACTTAGTAACTTTCTGTTTATGCCTCTATCTTATAAAGCCTTTTAACTAGGTCATCTTGAAATGAATTGACACATGTTTACTTAAAGAAGTAAAATTCTTCCCATTTATAAATCTGTACCTACCTGAATTTTATGATTCCCCAATCCCGAAAATGTGTGATCCCATTCTGAGTATAACTCTAATGAAAATGTAACCCTGTTACAGTCAACCCAGCCCTGAAAATGCAACCCCATTCAGTGGCACATCTCCATTAGCCTTTTACTACTGTTACTAGGAAGTACCCCCGCCCCCTCCGATTAAAAATTGATACTTTCAATGCAGGGATTTTTCCTTCAAATGAATTAACATGCTCATGTAGAACTCAAGATCGCAGATTTTAGCAATTGGTGTCATTGGCTAAACTGTGACAATGATAGTTTTGGATTCCTTCTCTGGTAATTTGTTTGGTTGTCTAGTGATAGTTCTGTTTCTAAGGCAGAAATTTCCCAAGTTTCAGTTACAGTTGTAGGGTTAGCAAATCCATCTTGCTCTTGCAATCATAGCATGAAAGGTGAAAACAAACCAGACAAATAATTAATAGACAAAGGTCACTCCTCCCTCAGAATTATTTTTTTTCTGGAGCTATGTGTCCAGACCCAACCAAGTTCTCTCTCGCTTAGCTCTCTCGCTCCATGGCCATGGGGATGGGTAGGAGAGAACTTGGGGATCTAGGTTGAGAAAGTGTCTGTATTAGTGGGATGTCCGAATAAAGCGGGTTGAATGTTGAGAAAATGTAACAGCTTTCTTTCCCCAGGGACAAGGCAAACTGTGCATAATAATGAGGTTTCCATATAATCAGGTGTTTGTAAAGTTGTGACTGAATGTACATAAGCAATTGTCTTCTTGCATAACATTTTCTAACCAGCATTCTAATAAAGGAATCTAAAGTAGCAATTATGGAAATAGCAAGGGATTTTTCTTACTTACATGTTAGGTGAGCAGTGAAACCCTCAAAATACCAAAGTGGGTCTGTCTGTTGCAAAGCACTTGCCCTGCAAAATGTTACCAAAAACCAAGTTAAACAAATTCAGTTATAGGCTGGGTGAAAATGAGCGCACCATCGGCTCGGGTTTATCAGTGAGTTTAAACGCTATTACAAGTTACTGACACAAAAAAGGGCCTTTACCTTTACCTTTTTCACATTGTACGACAATATTACTGTAACATATTATGCCAAGGTTTTGTCCAGTTTTATCCATTAATGTGGAGACTAACCTGAAAGTAATGTTGCCAGCCTTTGTACTATTTGGTGCCCTCCACTGTAGCTTAATACTGGTCCAGTTCCCAGATGAAGTGGAATTTTGAACAACCTGTTCACATATCATCATGAAAATCATTTTAGCTGTATAGCAGAGTCTACAAGTCAACTTCGTGACATTAGCAAGGAAATTAATGTGGGTCTATTAAAGTCTAACAATAAAGCCTATAAATATAGATAATATGACATTGATTAATGTTTGAAATAAAAAATAATGTTGGTATTTCTCAATTGAAATACCAAAAAAACATGTTTAATTAAGCGCGCCAGACATGGTCTGTTTTGCTGCCATACATTCAAAGTTTGACAACAGTTAGCAAACTGTCGCACCAAAGGTAAGTTGTTTTATGTTTTTGATTAGCATGTTATACGCTCATATTTTCATTTTCCTCAACTTTCAGGCATATTTCTTGCTCAGAAACTGTCAGCACACTTGCCTCCAGAAATTACTCTTAAAGTCCATTGAAAAATTCTTTCAAAGAATATTTTGTTGAGCAAAAACAAATCAAGTCGACAACAGCAGCCACTCCAAACTTCGAATGTTTGGCGGCAAAACATGTCATGTTTGCACCCAATCATTAGAACATTTTTCCTCATGTGTACATGCTTAGATGCAACCAACGGTAGAATTTATATAACTTGTAAAATTTAAACCTTGCATGTGGAAGTAGAAGTAATTTTTTCTATGTCATGAAAGATATTGTTCATAATGGTTAAAGTGTATAAAGGGTTTTTTATTGTTTGACTATGTTTCAATAGTGTACTGCAGGTCTTCATTAGGTGTTTAATATAGTGTCGAATTACTGCGTTTATGCTTTCTGAGCCACATGAAAGAGAATATCATTTGATTGCTCTAATCTCTAGTACTTACTTTAAGAGTACTGCAGTTAATCTGTTCAACTCCTGCAGGCAAATTCTCAAAATAGCCATTGGGGTATGCTTTCACAGAGTTTTCAGCAGAAATAATAAATCCAAGAAAGTTTCTCATTCTCATCTCATTTGCCAAATAAGATCCATTGAGATAAACTGAAACAAAATCATATTTGCTGTTTAAGTCTATGAGATTATTCACAAAGCTTAAGGGACAGCAAATAGTAAACATGTGCAGTCCAACCCAATTTATAACAGACACTGATCGAGGGGGACAAAGAAAGTGCCTACATTAACAGGGTGTCCATGCACACATGACATGATTAAGTGGGCTGTATTTAGTGAAATAAGGGGTTACTTTCCCTACCTCCCTTGCTAGTGTTCACACTCTGTCACACATAAGTTGTCTACTCCCTATACAGTGTCTTCCCAGGCCTCCTCGGTCAATGTATTTTGGTGACGTATCAGTAACTCTTTTGAGCATGTGCTAGCTTTTGTCACCTAGTTCAGCCAGGTCCATAAGACACTTATCATGATAATTTGCCTTAATTTGTCTTGTCAGGAATTAAAGTCAATCCAAGCCATGATTTCGTATTCCGATTTTAGCCGAATTTTACTTTGTAAAACTGTATAATCATTGCTCTTTGTAGCACTTTGTTTGCATTGTAATACAAACACTAGTGAGACAGTATCAGTGATTCCAAATTAGGAAGAAAATTTTGATTTATATGATCTATCAGCCATCACAAACATGCAGGTCCTGAACCCCAATCCCAGTGTCCTAGGTCAATTATGTTTAAAATGGTTACCTTGTTAGATCTAACATTAAAACCTACCTGTATGAGTACTGTTAGGGATATAAGCAGGTACTGATTGCCCAGGATATCTTCCACTGACACTTAAGTCATATGGTAGGTTATCCGCCAAGGCAATCGGATTAGTTTCTGGAAACCAGGTTCTCATGGTGGCACAGGACGGTACACCTGTACAGTCCACCCATGCAGAAATAAACAGGATGAAGAGAACAGAAGTTTGGACTTGTACCTTCATCACTGCAGTACAAATTAATTGATAGAAATTTTTAACAAACAATAACATTCAATAGTCAGAACAAAAATAATGGTTGTTATTCATTTAAGATATTTCCCCAATTCTGATTGGCTAAAAGCACACGCATAATTCACCATTCACCATTGGAACAGTCACCAACGACATGGGAACAGCTAGGGCATTTTGCATAAAACACCGAATGCTGAATGACTCTGAAGTTTAGTGACTGGGGTTATAGGAATTTGAGTGAATTAGGTTCCATTTATGGTCATTAAAATGGGCAAACTGACCTGATACTTGATTCACTCAATTTCTTAACCCTTGTCACTAAACTTCAGAGTCATTTGGAGGCCATTCGGCAGCCATTCAGCATTCTAGAAAATATACCCCCTCTTGGCATAAGAAACCTGCAAACTGCATTCTGTTCTACATCAGCTAGGTGCTAGAACAGCCCAGGTTTGCTCCTGTATAAGTGGTGGGAATACTCGTCATTAGGGGTAGAATGAATTATAAGTTTTGGTCTCACCAAATTAAGGTGTAACTCAGGATGGAATGGCAATATTATTGGCCATGGTTGTGTATAGAAAAATATCCACATGAAATGCCATAAAACTTTGTAGGAGTATTTTAGTCTCCTTTAGGGGTCAAATAAAGCCTGAGCCACACACAGTCTATTTCCTTTAGGGATTGCACCCCCCCTCCCTACCCCTGGATGGAAGGGTAAGCAATACATGTACAGTGCGGTCAACTCGGTGCTGTCAACTCTCCAGGATAATCTGGGAGACTCCAGATTTTGGACCATATCTCCCGGTCTCCAGATTAGAGTCTGATATCTCCCGGATAATTGCCAAAATTGCTATTTCCTATAGACTTGACTTTCCGACCATAAAATTTCAAATATTTTGAGTTTGTTGTCTCATTAATTCTGGCATGCCACTGTAATTTAAGAAATAATGTGGCTGAATATGAACTGTTTATGTGCTACCCATCGACCGGAATCAACGAGCATTTTTGGCAAAAATGACATCATGATGTCATCTATCATTTCTTACCTTTAGATCAATTCTCAATATTTCATGACGTAGGGGGTTGACAGCCCTGTCAACTCTCCCGGATAACATCCTGGGCCCAGTTGTTCGAAGGCAGATTAGCGCTTAACCCGGGGTTAAATTTAACCTGGGTTTCTTTTTCTTGTGTTCAAATGCATTTTCTCGGATAATTTTCTGTGCTATTTTTAGAGCTTCCAATCACCAACTGGTAGACAAAAAGAACTAAAACTGAAATGCCTTTTAAGCTTTCAAACCTGAATTCAAATCTCGCACTAACCCTGGGTTATCTTAACCCAGCTTTGAGCAACTCGGCCTAGGAGACTCTAGATTTTGGACCGCATCTCGCAGTTTCCAGATAAGAGTATGAAATCTCCCAGATAATCGCCCAATAAAGTTTGCCATTTCTCAACTTTCCGACAATAAAACTTCAAATATTTAGCGTTGTTGCAGAGAACACTCTACCAAAGGGTAATTAGACGATTTAGATAAACAGAACCTTGACCCTGGGATAAAAACTGATTGGTTGCTAGTATCATGTCAGTGATATGATGCTTGTGTGAGCACGCGTGGGTTTGAAGTGTTTGATATTGAGCCATGAGGTCAATCCTTGAGTTGATTAATCACTGATTTCTCACCTTCTCTCTCAGGGCTCGAAATTGCGACTGATACGGTCGCCAATGCGACTAACATTTTCTCCTTTTGGTCGCCAAAGTGGCGACCAGATTTTAGAAGAGTAAAATAATTAAAACAAACATTTCATCTTATCTTGCTTTGCTTTCATCATAAAAAACGTGCCAAATCGCATAAACAAAGCCAGTTTACCTCCAAATTTGCATCTGGCGAATATAATTTTCCCGTTGGTCGCCAAAAACCTGAAGGAGCCCTGGTCTTTTTGTTCTTGATTAAATTGATTAAATTGATTTTTTCTGCCGTGTTTCGTCGCTTATGGTAGATATGCTTAGTCAGCTTGTTCTATACTAAGCAATAATCGCACTAAAAACTGAACCGTGGGCAGCGTATCGGAAATACAGTGTCAAAAGAAACCAATGTGAGTGTAAGTCATTGATTCCTTACCTTATCTTCGTATCGAAAAGCCTTAGAAATCAAGGCGGTTGCGAGTTAAGGCGAGTTTGCGTCTGAAGGTCTTCAAGTCTCCCAGTGAAAACTGAACTCAAAATGACCCCAACCTCGTCCCCAGGGCTTTGTTCTCCAGTAGGTGGGACGAGGACGGTTTATAAATCGTCGCAGACACATTATGAAGTCGTTTTGTGTCCATCGAGTGAACCAATTCAAGATGTACACTACGTGTCGTCAGGCAGGTAAATAAGCAGCACCACCGTTTGGCTGTTCCTCTTCCATGCTTGACGTATAAAGGACCGAATAGATCCATTCCTGTGTAGGAGAATGGGGGTTCGTACGCCATCATCCGGCTTCTTGGCAGGGGAGCCATTTGCTGAGTCATCGGTTTGGCATTCGTCTTATTTGTGGGATATCGATGAACGCCCCAGGTGACCAATTGATGCATGGGTGTGGCGGACCAAGGACTGTCGCTGGATGAGGCGGTTGCAGCAGCTGGTGGTTGCTATACGTCCTTGACTCTCAAAACACCATGGTCGTCTTGATTGGGTTCAAACTAGCGATCTTACTGGATCCCCTGACTTCGCCCTGGTCTTTAGCGTCTCTTGATCGTAGGCTGCGGTCTTTGCAAGGTTTGTTGGGATTAGTCACTGGATGATGAGGTAAGTACCAAGTTATCGAGCTTTTCTAGCTGCTTCTTCAGGGGACAATTTGCGTGCATAGCCCTTCGAGATGTACTCAGTCATGACTCCACGGTACTTAGCAGCCATTTGCTCATTTCCTGCTTTGGTCAGGCGTCGTCTAAGCAATTCTGCTCGTCTTTCAGCTAAAATGCGATTGTTTGGCAGCTTTGGCTGATCTTCTTCCTTCCATAGTAGGCCAACTTCATAATGCCCGTCTACAAGGGTAGTAGTTTCTTCAATGATTTTTAGGGCTCGTTTGTCTTCCACAGATAAGGGCTTCTCTCCTGCTTTTCAATGTTCCATAGTCTTCGATCTTCCAAAACCTTTCAACAAAGTCGTCAGGTTTGTGTCCAACAGAGATGAAATTGAGCTCAGCTCTTTTTGTCCCAGCGATAGTCAATGGACCTGAAATGCTCCAACCGAGAGGGTACCGATAACCGTAGAGGCCTGCTCTTGTTGTCTTTCGGGATTCTGACTTCCTTCTGCAAGTGTGCAACAGGGACGTTACTCCCCACAATGATCGAGACTCGTTCAAAGTCCACCACTGGGAATGTAAGGTCTTGAAGGTGCGGATACTTATGGACATCTACTGTCCCCGGCAAAATTCGTTCTGATTGATTCAGGTCAGGAGAACGTAAGCTTCATTAACATCAATGTCTTCACCGTATGCTTCTACAGGACTGAGAGTAAAGGAAACGCGTCGACTCTCCACCAGCTCCTCGCTGTTCGTAATAGTCTTAATCCGATTTGCTCCGAGATCCCTTTCAGGTCAAGATGATCAGCAAGCTCTTTGTCAATGAGGGTATCGTACAGCCATTGTCAAGAAATGCATATGTAGAAAGGGAACCACCGTTCTCTGCAGTAATGGTTACAGGAACTACATTTAACAAAACTTGGGCTCTTGTGGTGCTGACACCGGCAGATGTAATCGAAGTCTGTGGCCTGTCGCTGGGCGGCTGGAGTTAAGGTGAGTTTGCGTCCGAAGGTCTTCAAGTCTCCCAGTAACCCTCACCCCAACCTCGTCCCCAGGGCTTTGGGTGGAACGAGGTTGCACCCAAGCTCGGTGTGAGACCGGAAATTCCGGTTGAAAATCAAATGATTCCCCCCATTTGGGAGAAACGAAATATTTGCTCCCCTAAAAACGCTTGCGTTGTGGAATTTTTCCACCCCTTTTTAGTCTGTTCAGCTAATTTGGATATAGTCGTTATACGCTTTGTTACAGTTCTATGTTAACATGTTATGCACAAGACGATTTCTTTCCTCCCGAGTTTCCAAAACCAGTGAAAACTTGGGAGTGAGAGAAATCGCCATTCTAAAATTGGCGAAAACGGTTTGAGAAAATGCTATTCAAATACCGTATTTATTCGAATAAGTGCCCAACCTCGAATTAGCGCCCACTTCGAATAAGCGCCCACCCCACCTTCCTCGCACTCCCACTCAAACTCAAATTTATAGCGACCACCCCCACCCCACCCCCCAAAAATTGAATAAGTACTAATAAGAGACTTCCCCGAAGACGGATTTTTCTTCAAAGTATTTTACAGGAACCTTGCTCTGTTAACTCCCCGTGTTTTGTTATTACCACTTATTGTTTTGTTGCAAAATACACGTACTACACTTGCTGAAAATGTTGAAAATTTAGTAAGCACCCAGCCGCGAATAAGCGCCCAGCCTCGAATAAGCTCCCACCTTGAATAAGCGCCCACTCCCAAGGTCCAAAAATTTAATAAGCGCCCAGGGCGGTTAATCGAATAAATACGGTATTTTTTCCTTTTAATTTCGATTTGTGTCAATGGAGGTTGAAAAAGCCATTGAATGATAGTATCGTAATTGAGGAATGTCCACATGTATTTTAGCTGTCTTAGTTTACTGATTTCCACCACCCTGTTTTCAATTCCGACTTGATTTGTTCAGTAACAAATTCAAATTCTCTCTAGTATTATAGTCGGAGTCAAAATGTGAAGAGTTTTTTGTGAGCTCGTGGACTTCGGAGGAGCCCTCGGTAATCCACGGGAGCGAAAAATTCTGCACATTTGTGACTCCGACTATACCACTTGAGGAGGCGGCAAAGATCCACGGCACCGGCGAGTGGCTCCGTCTTTTGTTGTCCCTATACGTTTTCTGTGGAAGCAGTGGAGGGAATATGTTGAAGTATCAGATCATGTCCTTAATTCTCCTACTCTGTTTTATAAAGCATTGATATTATAAGGAGAAACTGGATGCTGATCGCTCTTACGGTGATGTTACACGGGACGATTTCCAACGATTTTTAACACAACACATCATTTCGACAATGCTGCGACATTTTTTCGAATGGTTGCAACATTGTTCCAACATTGCTATGCTGTATTGCGCAAAAACTCGTCGTTGCGAATCGTCACGTGTCATCTCGTCCCCAGAGCCCGTCGTTTCTTGGTTGGTCGGTTACAAATTAAGCCGAGTGGCTCTGGGGACGAGGATGGTCCCGTGTAACATCACTGGGGCCTCAGGGTTTATAACTGGGACAAAAGAAATTCGCACAAAACTCGAGATATGTTTCCCTTATGGGAGTGGCGGCGTTACCTACGTGGTTAAAGCCAGCTACTTTGTCTTGGCTTACAAATTACTTTGTGGGGACAACAAACTGAAAGGAGATACGCGCGGAATTACGCCTTTTCCGAGGGGGACGCGACTTCAACTCACTCGTTGTACCTGTGCGCGCAAAACTACACCGTGTACCAGCACCTTACGTGTATTAAAATACACTGCAACTATAAAACTAAGCTCCGTTCATATTGAAGGATGGTATTCTTCTGGAGGAGAAGAAAGAAATAACTTGCCTTCAGAGAGGAGGCTTAACGAGATGGCTAATCTAACGCACCATTGCCAATTCGAGTATCAAAATCGTGGACGAATCAATAAAATCTATTTAAGGGAGTTGTGTTTCTACGTTTTCCTTCTTACAAAACATTTTTCGCTATGTTTTCCATGGACATAATATTCTTAGGGTTTTAATTTCTCCAGTTATGTTCCAGTTCATCTCAGGAGTAGTAGTAAAATACATAGGACTAGACGTCTACAAAAGCAGCATTGATTTTAGTGAATTTTTAAGTCTACAACTACTACTGCTACTGCTGCTATGCCAATGCCACTGTCACTACTAGTACTACTATTGCTGCTGCTGTTGCGGCTAATGCTACTGCTAATGTCACTGTCGCTGTTATTGCTACTGCTACCACTACTACTGCTTTTTTATCTGCTACTGCTACTGCTACAACTAGTACTACTTAACTACTACTACTACTACTACTACTACTACTACTACTACTACTACTACTACTACTACTACTACTACTACTACTACTACTACTACTACTGCTACTGCTACTGCTACTGCTACTACTGCTACTGCTACTACTACTACTACTACTACTACTACTACTACTACTACTATTACTAACACTACCACTACCACTACACTACCACTACCGCTACTGCTACTGCTACTACTACTGCTAATACTACCACTTTAAGTGGTACTAAAACTTAGTACTTTCTAGTGCTACTGCTACTGTTGCTGCTGCTTCTACAAGAACAGCTAAGAGACAGCAAGCGGTTTTCAGGAGCTTAATGTATAATCCACTCTGGGTGAATCACAAACTCCCGTCTATTATGCGGTAAACAAGTGTGCTTAGAAAGCCTTGGTAACCGCTCCTGCACTTCCAATTGACGAGTGATCTGGGTCATAGGAACCACACTGCGTTTAGGGGCTCGCCAATCAGGCGCGATATCGAACTCGGTTCGCATTTCCGCTCTACCAATGATTCTCCCATTTTTATGCGCCTTGTTGTGCTCCTCTTGCCACCTCACTTTCCCTCGCTCTTTATCACGCGTTTCCATTGTTCCAGAATCAGTTAACTGCATGGTTTTGGAAGAAATGTTTTTGGACAGTAGACCATTCTTTCCCGGTTTTATAAAGACCGTAGTTGCTTTCTCTGAACTGGGTTGGTTGGCGATGGATCGAAATAACTTCATGATAGCTTTCTTGTCTGAGGAAATAGAAACACAAACAATATTGTTTTACCCGAAGTTAAAGGGCCGTTTTCAAGGAAGCACGTAGCCTGTTTTAGGTGTTCAGACTGTTGGGACGGCGCAAAGAGGTGCGAGCAGGAAAAATAGCGAGGGAGTGGGGTAGGGGGCAAGAGTGCCTCTCTCTCCCTCGCTCCTTCCCCCTCCCTTTCTTCCTCCTTATTGTTCCCGCTCTCTGACTTTGCGCCGCACTCCACCATCTAAACGCCTGGAACATATGTCAATTCAAACTCCGTTTCCATGGTGACAACTTTTGTTAATTGTTCGGGCCCATACCTTCTCCGTCAGCCTCGTTGAGCCACTCCCGAACACGTGGTGCAACTTGGGGATGAAAACTTTCCTTCAGAACCTGAAACGATGACAAATGCGAGAGAAAATTTGTAATATAAAATGGCAAACTGATCCTGACGGCAAGGCGATGAGCAAGTAAATAAAATAATTATACAAAGTATATATTTCAACAAATTTCCCCGATATTTCCGTTAAATGGAAGGCAAACCTTCTGGAGCCCCCGTCTTCCAAACCGAAATATAGGAAATATTATCTATATCAGTAGCAACACTAAATTCTTCCGGCACTCTTTTTCTGATTTCTCTGAATCTGCGCCTGTTCTCCGCCACATAAACTATTTGCAGTTTAAACTGATACCACACGCAAACAATGCAACAAAAAATCGTATTTATTATTGCAGTGATAAGACACACTCCTTACCTTGTCAGTGGCTTGCCGTTCCTCATCTTTAATCCAAAACTGTTTAAGAACAGCTAATTTTTCTGCAATAAAACAATCAACGACAAAGTTCGCTCACCCTCATTTTCCGAACTTGCTTACTTTCTCAGAAGATATATCATGAAAACAAGATTTTGCAGCTGACATGTTTCACGCCTCCTCTTGAGATCCAGAAATTTTGCTACCATGGTAACAAGAGGTCAAAGTTCTCCTCACTCTTGTCTTGCAATTTTGTTGCGCTAGACATGTTGTTGGAAGCCTTCTTGTTACACCCCCTCCCCCCCTCCTCTGCACCCCAAATATGAACATATCTCGCAACGCTTTCGTTGCAGCATTCAAGGATATGGAATTGATTTTTATTTTTACTTTAACTTGTGTCGCCAAGTTAACAATTAAAATTGCGAAAGACTAGGAAGAAAGATTCCCTAGCATAAAATGCTTTGAGATGAAAGCTCTTGTTTAAAAAGGAAGAGCCTATATTTATGTGGTAAAACCGAAGGGTTCAGTTTAATGCACATACCATCATAATTGTGCTTTCCAGATCGCAACCAGTCGTGTGCTCGGCGAGCTTTCTTTGGAGAAAAGAGGCGAGGTAATATCTACAAACAAGAATAAAAAGGTTGCCATTCAAGTGAATTTTACACCTTACCTCTTAATTCGAAACCATGCAGTTCGATTTGCACATAAGAATTTCTAAAAAAACATCTGGCATTTGAGATAACGAATTTTCTTTGAAGGTGCTATTTGAGTTAGATTAATCCTTGCACTAAATTTACATGACATTAGTTTTGTCAACTAACATTGATAAAAGAAATACAGTTGGCATCTCAAAAGATATTTCAAAGCAGCTGCAATTTCGAACGGCTCGCCCTTTAAAATAAATTTTTGCTGACGAAAAGCTGGTGTTGAACACGTCCGATTGTTAATCTCCCGATGTCTGTTTTATTTTATTTTATTTTTTTGTTTTCACCAAAAAGTTTTTTTCCGCAGACCTTGCTACATTCTGAGCAAGTTAGAAAGTTATTTAGCTCATATTTATCGACATCACTGCGGTCAATGACGGAAGTTTTTTACCTCTTCAATTATCTCCAACTATATCATTCTATATAGCTAATAGACACCCTCCTTAACGCACGATAAAAATAGAACCTAACAGCTGGCTTATTCCATTAGCTAAAGAGCCTATTACACAGCATTTTTATATATTGATACCTTTTCTTCTTGGTTCTTTTGTACGTAGTCAAAACGTGGTTTGCTACGGTTTTCCATTGCAATCTTGATAGGCTATTTTAAAAAACAAGACAACGGTAGTTTTCAGTCAAGTTCTATACTTGACTGGACTTAATTTCATAAACTTTCCCAGAAGTTTTAACTTGGCATATCTCAGGACGAAAATGGTCCTTCCCACTTAAATTGAAGTGCACATATAATATCGGAGAAAAGTTAGATGATTCATAAGCAAGATAACTAACCTGCAATCAGGGTTTTTTTTGGGGGGTGGGAGAGCGCGAAAGTCGGCAAAAAAGAGAAGAACTGAAGGACCGCCTGATACGTACATATAGACTCATTTTCCTTCGACTATAGGTCAGTATTTTCTATATAAACCTGCCAATTTCTTGTGTTTAATGAATGGCATTCTGATTTTGTAGAAATAAAATAAGTTCATCTTTAAACTGATTTGTGGACTTTTATGGGTAGTAAACAAAGTTTCGACACGCGAGTTTCACTAACAATAACGCTATTCGAAAAAAATTATTACCGGGTAAAACTGGCTAATTCAATATCAACACTAGCTTCGTCCCCAAATTTTATTGTTTTCTTCGCAGTTGCCTAGGAACCGGAAGAAAAACTGAAAAATATGGGAAAACTGCATCAAAGTTTTTCTATTCTGCGAGAAGTTAATTCCGGCTAAGTCTACTTTCGTTCATTTCAGTTTTCTAAGTGACTAACAGACAAAAAGGAAGTGCAAATATATCAACCACTAAACTTATCAAGTATATTATAGCGGAGCACTAGCACCGTAATTTTTAATCACTTAAAAGTTGAGTAGCTTTGTTGACTTGCATAGCAAATTTCAGATCACAACTATGGACAAGAGAAGTTGTTTTACAGGCGAAAAACACGTAAACTTTGTTTTCAATTTAGAATGAGGAAATCAGACTTACGCTTTTCCCACTCGATTAGATACCACCGACGATGGATTGTGGATTTGTGCTGTGGCTAGATCTTAGTGTAGGAAAGCTACTGTAGCACAATTGTGAAAATTGAATCAATGAAATATTGTTTAATGATTTCAGCCACTCACAGAGCTTGACGTTCAATTGTTCTACGAGCTCCTAAGAAAAGACTTTTTTAAACGATTAATAATTAACAACGGCGAGGGAGTCCTCAAAATTAACGAATACTTTCTAATGGCCATTATCACTGAAAATGGAAGCTTTGAATTCTCAGCTTAGCTTTTTTTATCCAAGCCCCTATCGCATTAGCGTCATAAGAGGGGTTTACTAGGTCTTGGCGGCCAGCTCCACTTCTTTATAATTAACCTTTTGAAGAATTAAAAGGACACAGCATTTTTTTAGCATTGACATAATTAACGATGGAAATCGTGGCCTCTCGCCAGAATATAGTAAAAAACACGCGAAACCAAGCTAGCCCGAACTAGGAGTTGTTTTGAAACTTTTAGGCTTCAGAAGCGAATTTTTTTTTCTTAAAATTATTGTGGTTCCAGAAATCTTATACTATCATTGTTAAATTTAAATAGAGGCCTTAAAAGCCGGCAGCCTTAATTAATAAAAAAACGACAGGAAAAAAATGCTTTAATATGGGGATGCACAATGTGCGAGCCAGCGAGCCATGCGAGGCATGCGAGCCATGCGAGGCAGACACGCGAGGCATGCAGAAAATGCGAGGCACGTCGCGAGGCACTGGCAACACGTGAGACATGAATTAAGTCGTTCCCAGTTTTTCTTCTCGTCCCTTCTCCTTGGTTCGTACGCGTGGTCTACGCCATTTTGATAATCGGGAAGAGATTTTGTCTGCTATCTGTCTTAATCGTTGCCATCCTTTTGTAAAGGTACGTGTTTTTATTTTATTATGTTCAATACAACTTTTAACAACCGATACGATATTAAAGTTTTATTTATGGCTTCTAATTTGAATGCATTTGCATACATGTAAATCAAGTAGCTGTATATCATTTCCATACTAAACAGATGTCAAACAGACGATTGCAAACCCTTGTTGAGGCCAGCAAAAGAGGCCTTACCTTACATTTTGATCCACCGGTGGTCAAAACCGATGCTTCTATCGCTGTTTAGCGAAGTCCTTGGGAATGTCAGAAGACCATGTGGTGGAAATGCTCGAATCGTTCATGATTTCCAACCAAGTTATTTCCTGTTTAAACAAGGTATGAATCTATTCACACTAGCCTGATTTAAGAAATCGTACGCTATCAGAAGAAGTAACTTGTACGCGCACAAAACATGTCGACGTTAAGTTGCCTGTTTTATACCTTCGTGATTGAGGCTTTCGTGGAAAAATATTTGGATTTCGTGTCACAGTGGCTTGTCCGCAAACGACAAGAGAAACTTGTTGAGATTTTTAAATGTAAGTTTTCTAATTTTAGAAAGTTTTCCAGTGCTTTATAGAAGCAACTATATGATATCATGTATTAAAAAATCAATTAGAAGCCAAATTATGCGGCAAACAAAAAAATGCATTTTGCATGCAACAAACACTGAGTTGACTTTGTGCTTCGTTTTGTGAATTTAAATGAGTTATCTCTAATACGCAAGTTATAGACGGAAAAGTTATGAATATCTTTGAAAATGTCACAATTCTCCAAAGAGAACGTTGCCTGCGCAGTGTTCATATTATCTATTAGTTTTTATACGATCCTGGGGGCGGGGCATTTGCCAGCTTATGCGTTCCCCACCCTGGGGAATTTGCCAACAAAATGCTAATGCCCCGGGGTTAGCCTGGGGGGATGAGCACTGTTGGAATTGACTGATGCATATAAGTGAGTTTACCAGAAGGTTTGAAACTCGACCATCACCCTCACCCCTTTAATATTTAACAACTGAACCAAGGCAAATATACCCTGAAACAAAGTGAAGGAGAATATTTGCATTGATTCACTGTGCCCGTGGCGAATAATTGTTTTAGTATAATTTCAGAGGAGATTATCGACTACAAAATATTGAAAGAAACACAGAGAAAACACACGCTACAAGAGCTTGCTTGAATGAATGTACTCCAGTTCACTATAGCCTAATTGATTGCAAATCAACTTAACTACCAATTGTGGCAGTAAAATGAAGAGCAGTATTAAAAAAAAATGATGCTTTTCGAAAAAAACAATAATTTCATTCAGAAACTGTCCGCCCTGTTTACTCGCCTGCCTTGCGTGGCTAAGTGACCAAGGCTTGAAATGCTATAATCACCTTGGGCCAGGGGGAATATAGTCACATATGCATAAATTCTCTACCAATCAGAATGCTTGATTTCTTATAATCACCTCTGAAATGACAGAATCTCTTTTCTTACAAATTGGAATGTTTTTATTCATAGGATGGTGAAGTTGAAGAAAAGGACTTGTTTCAGTACTTGTCTGGACGAGACTTCCCTAGGCTTGGGAAGAGGCCATCATCATGGCTTCAGGCTGTGGAAGGTCTGCGTAATGAAATGACAACACATATTGCCATTCTTTTGCGGCAGCATTATTTGCATTGGAGATGCACATTATTGACTGGGAAGGGGTTAGTCATTTTGTATTCTGTTTAAAATTGAATAACTCTGGGTATCCAGTTCCCTATCTTCATACTACATTACCAGTAATAGCTCTGTCCATCTAATTTTGACCTTTTCGCTGTGATTATGTTCTTAGAGAACAGAAATTGTGAGAAATCCATCTGGCCAAACATATGCCAAAATCTTCTTGGCATATACTGGTGACCACTACATGCTTCTGCGGCCCAGAAATGATGCTCCCCAAATATCTAAAGCAACTAGTAAGTGAACTTTTTATATTTCTTTAGAGATCTTTTGTCTTGTTTTTTTTTTTTTGGATCAAACTTGTTGTTGCTATCCTTGTGATTTGATAATACAGTAAAAAACCCCATATAAGAACACTTATTTTAGGATTCAGGCGAATCATGTTCTTATTTAGCGGATGCTTAGTGAGAAATCAGCCTGAAATTGTTAAAATTTGTTGTATGGCTCTTACAGTTTGTATGGTACAGCACACCAAAGTATTATAATTGCTTTTAAAGGCCATTTACACTAGATGCAGTGATTTTTTTTAACACCAGCATAAACACAATCCCCTATTTATGCAGAATAGTTCCAGACAAAATTTTATTATACAGTGTAATGCTTTGCATTAGTGATGTTCCTTGATATGCTTGACAGTTATCACACCATTAGCTGATTATGAATATCATTGTCAGGTACTGAAAAGCATCGTAATGCACCTCAGTTTCACCATGATGGCCCAGAAGAATATAATCCTGGAGTGAGCATTTTTAAGGGAACCCCGTTGAAGGTAAGCTACGAGTTCTTGTGTCATAAATTATTCATTTGCTCTTAAATGTGATAATTTGTTTGTCAATATGTGGATAGTTGACTGAACTATTGCAATTTTGCATTCGTTATTGTGTTCAGTCCATTCAGTCATTTTAATGCCTTTTGACAGCTTGATGCCTCAAAAGGAGCTGCTGATTGTTTGACTTCTTGAGCGATTCAGAGGTTGACATGGAGCAAGAGTTTCGCACCACTATGGATGTTAAAAGGAAATTGGTCCAGTTGAAACTACTAGTATGGTAGGTCATTTTTTTGTCTTCAGAGGCATTATTTATTATCTTCCTGGTAATTTAGTTATTCCCCTTTTTACCACTGGCTGGAATTCTGTCATTTATTTAAGGTGGCTTACTGCTGTCTTTACTGCTATAATGCTATAATGTTATGTCTGACATCAATGTTTGCTCGACTGACAAAATTGCATTAGCAAATCTCAAAAGAAACAAAAACAACTTTCAACACGTTTTACAGTCTGACTTGTTACCTGGGTCACCCGGACAAAGATAACCAATCACAAAGCAGAACAGCATCTTTTTTTTTTTCTTTAGCCAATGAAATATTAGATTGATTGATTTTTAAATATAACGGTGGCTGTATAATTTTGGCTGTACAGTGTGATTTGTCAACTTTGTCTGGGTGACCACTGTAACAGTAGTCAAACTAATGTCGTATACTGTAAAGAAGTGAAATACATTCTGGTAGGTGCTTAAACCCATTATAGGAAATCTATATATCCTTAAAAGTTTACCTTCATTATTATATTCATTTACTTTTTTAGGGCTCTCCAAATGTCATCATTTTAAGTTCTGGCGATGAAACCTCAGGCGACCAACTGTTCAACAGAAGGAAGCATAAAAAAGACAAAACAGGTGACAGTTGTAAGCTCGGATGACGAAAGCTCTATGGAAAGAGACAGAAAAGAGAAAGAAAGAGGAAGGAAGCGTAAGCGACAACGAAAAGTTACGGTAACAACGCCTTTTACCACAAGAATGTTACCTGCAAACTAAATAAGTAAAACCCAAGATCCATACTTACCTTGACCTTGCTTGATTATGTTTCATACAAAGAAGACTGAAAATACCAGTATCACCACGGCCCAACCTATTTTAAAAGTGTTTACCCTAATGGGCCACTTGTCTTGTATGCAGACTTTAACTACCTTTACCTTATTAATTTATAATATTTCTTATTTATTTATTTATTTATTTATTTATTTATTGCAGGAGGATGTGCTTGAAGATTTAGCAAACAGTTTGAGAGGCTTAAGTTCCAATGAAAACACGCCAACAAAAAAGGTGAAAGTTCTCAAAATTGAAGAAGATGAAAGAAAAAGCACCAAGAAAGCTCTTTTTGATGACAAGTGAGTTTACACAAATTTAATGGAAAATGCTTCAATTTTGATTGTTGGATGGTTACTTAATGCAGCAGCAAGAGTTTTTGCTTCAGAGAGTTCGAAAGTTAGATTATACAGCATCATAGGCATGCACTGCGTGCAGAGAGTTAGATTATACAACATCATAGGCATGCAATGCACACAAATTAGATGAGACACAGTGATCGAACTTTTCTCGTTTTTGATGTATCATTTTGTCCTTTTCAGGGAAGGTATGCTTATACAGAAAGGTAACAGGACATATCTGAACCAGGAGGAGATTGATGACATGGAAGATACCATGGTTAAAGCAGTTCCACCCACTCCCAATGGCCCAGCTAAATATGAAGTCCTGTACAATGAGAAGGACCCTCTGTCAGCTGTTGCAGATGACTGGAACTGGGGTCGCGCACAGCCATGTAAAAGAAAGGATTTCTGTGAGGGAGGAAGACGCACCTTACAGATCTGTCAAGGCTCCATGGAATGCCCTAATCTTTCCTGTCCTTTTAAGAAGATCCACAAAGCAACTAATAAGGTTGACTTCACTAAGAAGAAAACCTGTTTACATTGCAAAGCAGTAGCATCAGAAATAAAATGTTCTGCGCGCAAATATGTGGAAAATGACAGGTGCCACACAAAAATGAAAGTGATTTACATCGGTGAGCACTCTTGTCAACCAAGGGTGCGAGAGAGGAAGCCTGACAAAAGCAAAGTTGAAAAGGTTGTGCGTGTTCGACCCACCATTACGCCAGGTCAGCTACAAATGGAGACTGTAAGGGAAGCCCTGTTAAGTGGAAAAAGTGGAGAGGAGGTTGCTGATGTTGCCATGCAGTACAGCAACAGAAGGCACCTCCAATACATTCAAACTAAAATGCAAGAAACAACAAGACCTGGCGGATCAGACATTGAAGCTGTGCGTGTCTTAAAGGAGGACTTTGCGAAGCGTGGTTTAGACAACAATTTAATACTTGAAGTTGGCCATGACTTTGTCATTCTTTCTTCCGAAGAGAAAATTCGTCTTGGGGCCCATATAACACTGGGCATGGTTCATGAGCCAGTAAGTTTGGATGGTTGTGAAAGCCATGCAAAAAACTACTCAGAGGTTGAAATGACAACCTATTATCCTCTAATAAGAAGAAACGTTAAGCTTGTCAGTATGTTTGCCCCAAAGCCTGGCGAGAATTCGGATAACGTTGCAAAGATGGTTTCATCATTTGATGAAGCAGTTAACAAAATTTTACCTCGTGTGGCTGAAGAGCATGGCCACAATCCAGAAGACTTCAGAGGGCGTGGCTTGGATGCCCATGCGTATGTTGGGGATGAGGGTGGTGCCCTCTGGAGTGGCCTTTGCAAGGCCAAAGGCAACGATGTCAAAGACAGAACAGTATCAGACACTTATCATGTTAAACAGGACATACATCGCCACCAAAAGTACTTCAGGGATGCATCTGATAAGACATCGTTTTCAAAGATTATGTCTGATGCAATGAATGCCCCAACCTCTATACAGGCAGACGTAGCTGAGAAAGCCCTAGATAAACTTATTGCAACAAAGGCAACCGATAAAAAGAAGATGACAAATTTCAAGAATTGGTGGTGGAGGAGAAGACTAAGGTGGCAGCGCTGGTGCAAAACAGATGCATCAAGTTCTGCGTCATCTGCAGAAGTCGCAAACTCAAAATCTATCAGCGCTTCTGGTTATCGCAAAAGACTCCTTGATGTTGTCACGACAGAATGTTCATCAGCAATTTTAGAAGCTGCGGAAATTAAGCGCCAACAAATTGGCCTTAAAACGGTGGGACGTGGGCCCTCAATAGCAGATCGTGAGGAACAGCAGGAACAAAACTTGTTTCAAGATCAGCAAGCATCTGCTGATGCAGTTCAATTTGTAGCAGCTAATGCAGAATCATTATTAGCACAGTCTAATCCAATGCAGAGTTTTGGAACGGCAAAAAGGCGATTTTAGAGTCAACACAAGGGACAGCCACAGGTCTGACAAAAGAAAGAAAAATAGCAATACTCAAAACCACCAACCCAAGGAAACAATTTGGCCACTAAGAAGCAGTTGAAATACTTGAAAAGTCAGTTGAAGGAGTATCTATGGATATTCTTGAATATAAAAGTGACATGACTTCTTTTGAATTCTGTATGTTAGATACTATGGGATACTTACAAAATGTTACTATCTCCAAGGAGAACACTACTTGCTCGAGCCCTGCAGGATGCAAAAAAAAAAAAAATTTTCAACATTTAGTGTGGCTGTTGTATAAAATCTTTAATTTTGAGCAGTCCTGTCCATTGATCTACAAGCGCAAGTTCTCCAATGCAGAATGGGAAAAAGTTATCGAGGCATTTCCGCACCGTGTTCCGGTGACAGATGTCAGCAAATGCAGCACAGATAATCAAGTTTTTCACATTGACATCAAGAAAACACGCAAAGAAGCAAAATGTGCAACTTGCAAGAACATAATTTCGTTTGGTGCTCTCCAAGCAAGTACAGAGGGTCCATACAGAACTATTCATTTGACATGGATAAAAAGAACGTTCTTCTTCTGTCCACGAAAAGAATGCATTTCAAAATTGCCAAGAAACTGTTATATTAAACCATTTCAAGCTGGTGTAGCTGTGACATATGATCCTGAGTTGACTTCAGAGCAAAAAGCTTTGATTAATATTAATAATTAATACCACTTGTGCTTCTTTTATTGACTTCATGCATTAATAAAGTTTTGTTTGGAAGAAACAAGGCTTCCTCCATGGCCCGTAACTTGGTTTCCCCTTCAGCTCTATTTTGTATAAAGATATAAATTGTGGAATGTAAATACCCCCGGAAGTGAATGTCACTTATTACCATAGCAACAGTATAACTTGATGAAAACACCCTCTTTTTTTTTATTATTGAGTCATGATCAGGTTGAATTGTAAGGTGGCTCTGAAACTGCTCCTTAGAATTTTTTTTAACTTTATCATTACTCAATAATAAAAAAATGGGTCACTGAGTTCGTTTTTTGACCATTTTATCTAAAATTAAGGGTTTAACAGAGTACCTTTGCTATGGTAACTTGTCATGTCAATACAATAACCATAATTTCTTTTGTCGGTGATTGGGAATTTTTATGAGTACTGATTAGTGCTACCTTTGAAAGCCGAAATACAACTTTATGTCAGTGAAAACCTAAAAATACAGGTCAAGTTTTGTTTTAAATTATTCTATTAGTGCTCTAAGAGTAAAAACAAGTGTCTTGGGCTGCGGATGGCCAGGATGGAAATGGATTGTAAAAAAATGGGCCAAAAGGGGAGGTGGGGGGGGACTCCACAAAATGGTTGCTTTGGGTGACTTCTAATCGTCATTTATTGGGTTCCCTTAGTTTCCTGACTTAACTTTGGCGAAGTTTGATCTCCCGGAGGTAGTTATGAAAGAAAAACCAATCACATCATCCGTACCACAGATTTTTTGCACTCTTGGTGTTTGTTTTCTGGTCACGTGACCTGTTTTCTGAACACCTCGTTGAAATATTGTCCAACCAGTTAGCGTGATTCTCAGACGGTCCGGAGAAAGAGTGCTGGACACGAGCGAACTAGACCGCGTAATCTCATGCCTTCTTACATGAAGTCGCTTTCGTCGCGAGCTATTAATTACTATTTTTTTTTTCATATTAAGCTTGCCTCGCATGCCTCGCATGTCTGGCTCGCATGCCTCGCATGGCTCGCACGCCTCGCACGTCTGCCTCGCATGGCTCGCATGCCTCGCTGGCTCGCATATTGTATACTCTCCTTTAATATGGAAGATCTCGTGCTGGTTGAAAATCGGTTGAATATCTAATGCCACCCTTTCCTCGATTCACAGTATACTTTTTCTTCGTGTTTGCAAAGAAGGTCATATTAGCACTATAAATAGTTTTCAATATAACAGTAGGGTTCAGTTTCATCGTCAATCAATAATTAATTAAATTCACGCTCAGCGATTTTAATGAGTGACGGACCAGGTGACGGATAAAGAATGACAAAGTCAAATTCATGAGCCTGCATAAATTAAATACCGTAAGTTACCAAGCAATTACTTGTTGTCATTTGGAGAGCGGTATGGCGCACTGAAAGTTTCTTGATTTTCCGCTAGTTTCCCTTTTTGTACAGCTTGCTTTTGACTTCTCTGGTGAATTGTCTTTCTTCCCTAATTGATTTCTGTTCCAACCAGATAAAAAGGACTGGACTGATTTTGTAAACAAACCTCTTTACAATCATAATTGTTACCATTCAACCGCTACTAGCGATCGTTAGCGAAAAGGAAAAGATGACGCACATTTTAACAAATCCGGGCTATCCAAATAGCCTTCGCTTTCGCTCCAAGTCTGTTGATGTACTGAGAGAGCGCGAGAAACGAAAAGAGGGTCTTCCAAAGACGGAATTCGACAAAATTCGCAGCCTTTCTCGGCAATCTTGGAAGGATACTTGGCAAGACCCTGGAAATCCGCTGCCTCGCGTGAAAAGCAACCATTTCGTTACCACATACTCAACAACTCACAACTACAGAGCGCTTCGGGAACTCACTCCTTGTCGTCCAACCTCGCCGACAAGAAGAAATAATCCGCATCCAACGAGGTCTGTATTGCTTTTGTTTGTGGAAGTGTTTATATCAACTTATTGGCAATAGGTTTGGCGAGTTACCTCGAGGACAACATTGGGCTTTCATTTGGTTTAAGTGGTAACATTAATATATATGGTGTTGAGAGTACATGGTGTTTTGCAAGGCTTTCTGACGCGACTGCTGGCATGGAATGTTCATATTTTTGTTATTTAAAATCTTCATATTATACTATGGAACGCCAGGATCTCTCCTATTCGGAGGGTGCAAGCACATAAACGTAACACCGGGCGAGAAGGGGCTTTTGCGGGCCTGGGAGGTTGGGATGGGTGATAGACACCGACAGGATTTCTCAATAATAGCTTTTCCCAGCACTCTAGATTCTGGTATACCCTCTAATTTGTGGGGTTTGACAGACAGGAAAAAATAACTGATTCCCATTTTTGGATATTGTAGGGTATTTAAAGAATATACCCATAAAAATCCCAAATTTGGAAGAGTGAGACAAGTCCCAATCAGGGAACTTGGTTGGGAATTCCCTGGTTGGGACTTGTCTCACTTTGCCAAATTTGGGATTTTTATGGGTATTCTTTAAATACCCTAAAATATCCAAAAATGGGAATCCGTTATTTTTTCCTGTGACAGTTATCACTGACACTTAAAGTGAACTTGATGTATGAAAAAATAAGACATCACTCATCACTCGCTAGCGACGGAGTGGGAGTCATAAAAAGTCAGGAGCGTGACATGTTACGATCTAGTGAAAACAGCTTTCTGATTCCTCTTATGATCAAGTGAAAACTAGGTTGTTGGAGTCGCAAGCGGAGGCAGATGAACTAAACCAATCACATTAAAGATTGGGAATGTGCATGGTGATTGGTTTATCCTTCCGCCTCCAATAATCTGGTTTTCACTTGATCTGATTCTTTCGACTCTGATCGATTCCATTGTGCTTATGACGCTCCTCATGTCTCCAATTTTTGATTTTCACCAAGTCATAAGCACTCCTGCAGCTCCAATTACGACTCCGACTCCGTTGCCAGTAAAAATCAGCCTTACAGTTGTCTATCATGATCTACTTTATGGTACACAGTGGAACCTTAGCCTGTATGGCTGGCATTTGAAAGGCAACGAGAAGGGGATTCCCGGCATGGTAGAAGCCTCCCCTCCTCCAGTCTCCTTTGCAATTGTGCAGTCTCACGCCCAAATTCCCTTCCTCTTCCCTTTTGAATGCCTGCCATGCAGCTAGGCTAGTGGAAACCCGACTAATACAGTGGCGTATCCAGGGGGCCTCTGGGGGGTTCCGGAACCCCCCTTACCAGACCTGACACTTGTTTGAGACTGAAATTCTTACACTGACTGAGGATTGTACATCACTTTTTAACTGGCTTATTTTTTTACATGAAATGCCCGTTGCATTTTGCCACTTTAAAACTAAATTTCAGGGATATTCAAAAATGTAATGTGTTTTGGGTACCCCCCTATGATCTGGACCTCCCAATCCAAATTCCTAGATCTTCCCCTGTAATATTGTAATTTCCACTTGAAAAAGTTTTATTGAGTTCATACATGAGGTTAATTATCTACTAGTTAATACTTTTCAGAGAGGAAAACAGTGTTTTTAAGATTCCTTATTTCTTCTTCCTACTTGAATTTTTCCGCAGATCATTTTTGCGTCTTCAGTTGAGAGAAGCTAAAGGGTTTCCAAAAGCAAAAGAAAAGCCTGGACAGGACCCTTATGATGGTAAGCTATTGATAGGCTCAATACACAGTCAGTCAAGTTGTTCTCATTCAGCCTTAAGGCTAGTTTACCTGGCCCCGATTGTTAAGCGCTATCCACTGGATAAATCACAAAACAGGGGATAAGTATTAGCGACAACAATAATGCATTATTCACTGGATAAAGATTTATCCAGAGCATAGCATTATCCACCTTTTAAACATTACTGGGCCGTGGAGCTAGGATGTAAGCATTAACATGCTGTGGGGATCTTACGCAGTCTCATTATGACCATATAAGTGTCTTTAGTTAATGACAGGCACTTATGATCAGTGGCTGATCCTGGAGATCTGGACCCCCTTCATGAAAGCACCCATAGGGCCTAGCCTGTGTCAGAGACGTTATTTAACCTCCGTTAGAAACATCTACAAAGCAGCACCGAGATCCTAGTCCTGGACCCCACAGGACACAACAAATTCCTGGAAGTGGGTTTCTAATTTCCTTTCATTTTGACTGGCAAGTCAACAGTGGCTTGTTGAACAAGCCAACCATGGCACACACTCAAATCCTGGTACACAGGTGGGACCCAGAACAAGGATTTTGGCACTGTTTCACAGACGGACTTGACCAGAGTTTAGTTTCGTCTGTGGCGCAGGCTAATCATCAGCCATGCCAAGAATTTTAATCAATGACTAAGTGTGACTATGTAAGGTTCAACTAGCAATGATGTAATTAAAGTTTCTCAGTAAGAAATAATGTCCACACCCCTTCAAAGGAAGAAAGCATGATTACACAATTGGAACAAAATGGAAATGTCACAAATTTTGACCAAGATACTCTGAGAAAAAATATTTAAAGTGAAATTAGCACAAATGAGAATCTTAAAAACTATTTCATTTTTCTGCACATGCTTGTGCCTTGCATACTTTGTTATTATGCTGTTGTATTTATTTCCTGAAAACATGACCTGCCTAGATTAGCGTAGCTACCTGCGAGCATGTTAAAATTGTATCACAAACTTGAAAACAAATTACAGTTATGTAAGTAAGAAATATCTAAGATTTCCTAACGTTCCTTTTCTAGTTGGTTACAAACCAGATGAACCAAACCATGCCCAACAGACAATGTATTACACCTTATGGGAAATGAAAGATATGCAGAAAAGAGGAACAGATGAGGTAAGACAAAAATAATGTTCTTTAAGTGCAGAGAAAAAGGGTAATTAAAAAAAGTCTAATATACAAAATAATATGGTCCAGAGGAAATATAATAGACGGGAAGAGAGCTTACTGTCGCAATATTTTATTGGCACATAATACAGTCAAACCCTGTTAGCCCTTTAAGCCCTAAGAGTGACCAGCTTCAAATTTCTCCTTGTAATATCAATGCTTTGTAAAACAGAGTGGTCATGAGAATTGTGAACATGATCACACAGGATTGAACTTGCTTGATATTTCATGAACTTCTCCCCACTACTTCTATAGTAAATGAATAGGGGCAACAAATGAGAATTCAAATTTTGATCTAAGGGTTTAAAGAGTTAATAAAGACACTGAAGGAGCCAAAGAAAGTGTCCCTATTAACAGGGTGCCCACATTAAGAGAGTTGAGTTGAGATAAAAATGTAACCACTTTCTTTCCCCAGGCCCAGGGGAAAAGCAAACTGTCCTTAATAATGAGATGTCCACAAATTTTCAGATTTGTTGATCTTACAAGACTAAATTCAATTAGTTCCATTAACATTTATTTCTAGGCTCTAAAAGCTGTCATGAACCCAAGAGCCATACCAGCAATGCAAGCCTGGGTGAAAAACGCTTCCTTGAAAGGTATTTTTTATTTGGTAATCTGTTCATACAGTAATATTACACAAAATAATATTATCACTGAGCTGGAAGTTTTTTTTATTTTTAATCGTTGTTCTAAGTGTAATTTTTCCTTGAGATAACGTAATGTAGGTTATAACACTTCTTTGTAATAATAACAATAATAATAATAGACATTTTTCTTCCGTAAGAACCATTACATGTATTTCAAACAAAATAAGAAAGGCATTGTTTACTGAAAATATTAAATTTTGTCATTTTACCAGACAAGAACATTGTCACCAACATGTTGAATGAAGCATGTGACTCAGCTGAAATGGAAAAGGTAACAAAGATATTTACTTAGACACCATGCCAGTTTGTTACAATAAACAGTTTATGAAAGTGGAAAGGATCCTCGCAGTTGTTTTAACAACCTGAGCGGTTGAAAAAGGGCCTGAAAAAATTCAGGCTTGACCAGGAATCGAACCCTGACCTTTGCGATGACCGGGCACAATGCTCCATCCATTAAGCTAATCAAGCCAACTGGTGTGCAGGACGTTTATTTCTTTATGCGCAGTTAAAAATATGAGTCATTTCCTATGTTTCTATTTAATACATGCAAACAGTTTGTTTATGAACAGGCCCTTAGTTCATTGTGATTTTCCTTCACTTGAACAGACAGTTTCTACAACATTCAAGCCTGATGTTGTCCCAGCTGTTAACCGGTGGTTAAAGAAAGCTGGAAATGAAGGTAAACTACCACTAGCTTGCCCTCTGGGGTGTCTTTTTAAGACAGAATCGACCGAATCTTGTCCAGTTTTGACTTTCCTTTGCTTTAGAAACACACCATAAAATCACATACATTTATGAATTGCCATCCAGTTTTCAAGCTCAATTGGATAAGAGCTTACAAGTTGCTGAGTGGCGGGCCAATGGTTCAAACTCTGGCTGGACCAACACTTGGGGTCTTTAAATAACTGACAAAAAAGTGCTGCCTTTGTAAAGACATCTGCAAAAGGGTTAGACTTTCTAGTCTACTTGGATAAGGATGATAAACCTTAGGCCTGGTCTCACATACCTTGCTCGATCATGTAATAAATTCTGTGGGATGTTAAAGAACCCACACACTCTTCATAAAGAGTAGGGGACGTAGTCCCCAGTCTGATGGTCTATCTCAACTTCACACCTACATAGGGGTCATCATTACTCATCTCTTTACCATGAGCAGTCTGGCAAAGTCCCCAGACCAGTGTTGTAATTTATCCCTGAAAAGCCCCAAGGGGGAGTGAATAATAAGATATTTACAATTTACAATCTCTTCCTTTCATAGAGCAACAAGCAGTAATGAGGTTAATCCGAACCTTGGCTTCAGATCCAGTACGTGAGGGCACAATTGATCCGCACTACACCGGCCAGCAGAACCCAGACCGGTACATCTTAGGAACCTACAGATTACGCCAACCAGATACCAAGGGATTGCATATCAAAGTGCAAACTCGTTTCCCTAAAAAATCTCATTTTCAGGCACATCCTGCCTGGCTGCAGACATAAAATAATTGTTTCTGCTGTGTCTACAAACAGTTGCATCACCAGTGCAGAGTGAAAGTCTCTTCTTTAGCTACTTTTGAACATGTAATGTAGCATCTTTTATTGACTCTACAAAGTTTACAATTTTCCTTCTGTAAGCAAAGGATTTTCACCATGTTCTGGTTATAACAATAATTGTTCCAAAAAGTTCTAAAACCTAAAGATGTGGGTGGTTATGTGACATCTTTTTAACCTAGAATCAAGGATTTTTCCTTTACAGGCTGTGTTATTGGTAAAAAAGAAAGAATGTTTTAGTAAATTATGTTAGCATTTTATATATCACACCTGTACTCCAAGGCGTTGAATAAGTTTATGGAACCTTTTCTTTTTCTCAAAGTAATGCTCATATATCCTGATAGTCATTAATCTTCACCAGTCTGATGAATTCAGTGAAACTATGCTCTGGTTTTGACCATTTTTGAATTTGAATATTTATTTGTTTGTAGTTGTGAAGAAGAAAGAGTTTTCCTGGTCAACTATGGAATTAAATAAGTTTACATATTAAAATTTCCAAAATTTTCAATTAAGATTTATTTGTACAATTCAGATGTGTGTCCATTTATTTGTTATTTGTTGATACATGTACAGTATGTCAGAATCCAAAATAAATGAATTTTTACAAGTAAAAGTCTTGGTACTAACAGATAGTTAGCTAAGAACCCTGCAGATCCAAATTTTCAGCCAATTTTTAGTCAAAAGTAAAAATAGATTGGTATTAACCATCAACTGGGCAAATATCTGTGATAAAGACAAACCGTCTTATTTGGATCTACCCAGGATCTCATTCTGTTTGGTTCCAAATCAACATTTTGAAATCCATTCTTCATTCCGTAAACAGCTAACCTTGCTGCTAATCTTGTGATTGGGCCAGTGTCTGTGTGAGTTATGAGAGTTGATAACTTCATCCACTCGCACTGTGCAATCTCATCTTCACAGTGACTTATTCCGTAACTCAGGGGTGACATCCTGCATATAATGTAGATATCGGACTTGTCAAATGCATTCTTCATTTGGTGCTGCTGCCGAAACATCATCACAGACTTGAATTCTGTGTCAAAACAGGAGAAAAATAAACTAACCAAGAAACTCTGAGGAAATGAAAACACACTGAGCATCTGACATTTTCAGCAAGTTGTTATGCAACAGATGAAACACTTGTTGTTACAGGTATCTTAAATTCCTGTTGTCAGAAGTTTCTTCTTATGCTCAAGGAAATACCTTCAGATTAGTAACCAAAGTGAAAAAAAGAAGTGAGCTTGCTTTGAGGGCAACTGGATACAAAATTAATTTAACACGAATCCAAACCCTAAGTTTGATACCCTATACCTGTTAAATTATATTTTTGTCATGCAATTTTTAGTCATCTACATACGTACAGTACCTGACTTTACTCCAGTCTCCTCATAGACTTCACGAATGGCTGTTTCTTCTACAAAATAACAGTATTATTAAAAGGAGACATCTGACTTGTAGATGATAAGTTTGTGACAGGTTGATACTTCACTACAATAATATAATATTATTATTATTATCATTATTATTTATTCATTTGTTTTGCATATGAAGTAAGTACAGTCAAATTAACAAAACCAATATTAAAATTATACAATAAACTCTCTTTCTCCAGACATTTTTAATGGAGAGGGTGAACTTTTTAGAGAAAAGGGGTATTTAGAACTGGAGAGGCAACCCTTGGTTATAGTAGTTCAATATATTTCATACTAATTTACTCACTCAACGAAAAAATTTTAATATCTCATGTCCCTGTGTAGGGGAACCCAATATCTGACACCAAAATCTTGGATCATTATACATTTCAGGGAAACCGCCCACCTACCCCTCCCATAAGCCAACATTTTTCCCCAAGTGAGAAGTGTTAATGTTGGCTTAGGGGAGGGGTAGGTGGGCAGTTTCCCAGACATGTATAATGATCCAGCCTTTAAGCTTGTGCAGTAACTGTTGTTTCAAAGAATTTTGTTCACATTAAGGGCAGATCCACTTGCACCATACACATATAGCAGTCACATGTGCATGCTTTATTTCTTGTTATACAATCATGTAATTGCACTTAAAAACAATAAAAATTCAAAGAGGAAAATGGGATAGTTAAATGGATATGTTGCAAACAAATCCAACCTCAGTGACTCTTAGAGGTGGTGGGGGCACAACTGCAGCTGGCCTGGACAAGAAATGGACAGGTTCTTGAAAGCACAGAGTTCAAACAGTGTTTTGTCAAGGCAAACAGTGAATAAGGGCTATCAACTCACAAGAATAGTGTCTACTACAAGGCTAGCTGTGCTCTCAGAAAAATTGACGGGATCCCATTACACTGAACCTGTAAAATCCAGGGTGCCCAGGGGATGATTTTTATGAAAAAACAAAGATTTTCTAGTCACCCGGGAGTTAGGCGCCAGGAGCCACTGGGCACTGCCTGAGCACAGCCTTGTATTCAGACAGCTCTAGTATTATTCTACAATATTTAACCATGTTTAACTTTTATTGTTATTAAACTCACCAAGATTTTCTCCTTCATCTGAAAGTCCACCTGGAAATTTCCAAACGGCCTTCCGTTTTTGTCCAATTTTATACTGAGAAATACAAAATAATAGCAGACGTTAGACATGTGTAGGCCAGAACAGAATTTATAAAGTCTCCTATGGAGATGTCCTGCTGTAATTTTGCATGTAAGAACACAACATTGTGAGTGATTTTGGTGGATATGGTCAAATCATTGGGGTGTTTCTTGGTGTTATGTTGGTCCCCTTTTGTGTTGTGGTGTGGTTACTGTTTAATAATTTATTAGTGTCTTATCAATCTTTTCAGGGGCATAGCATGAGATTTTGAACGTGTATGCACACGGGAAAGAAAAGTTGTAGCTACGGTGTCCCAACCTAGGGCATGCTCCCCCAGAAAATTCTTAACTTTAGGGTCTCAGAAATGCCATTTCCAGCACTTTCAACGGGACATTTTCAGCAAATTAGTATGCAGGAAAGTACAGTACTTTTGATTTTTTCATTTCACCCATCTCTCGGTAAGGTGTATGAGTTTACAGGAAAAAAAGGCCAGTGATGCCATCAGAATTATCGAATAATAAATGGACAAAGGAAATATTAACACAAGGACACCAATGTAGTGCGAATAATGTATCAGTCATCCCGATTTCATTATAAAAAATGCTTTTTCTATATTTTTCCATGTTTCAGCTGTACATGTACACACAGGCCCATGTGTGTATTTGGACACTATGCCCCTGCTTTTGTATTATGTAATTTGTTAATTGCATCCGAGCGCAACACCAAGAATCTTTACAATTTATTATTGTTGAAACCACAACTGTAAAAATAGCTGTTTACAAAAAACTGAACTACCACTAACTGTGATGATCTCTGCATTTATCCTGCAGTTCAAAGTTCAAAAATATGAAATTCAACATATATTCATCATTTGAGTACTAATCTCATTATTTAGGGCCAGTGCTATTTTTTTTGGCATAAATTTTATACAATAACTAAGAGTGCTTTTTAATTCATAAATAAAGAGCAATGCATTGAAGTGTACATATACCAATTGCCTATCCTGAACAACCAATACTTCTCCTTTTTCTTCATTAAGAACCATTCCTGAAACCAAACAGCATCAAGCAACCTATCAAATTAAATCAACTTAGGGGATCTATAGCCTGTGTGCAGACATCCCCCTGCAATCAGAAAAAATCGGGAAGAGGGGAGGGGGACATCTGTACACAGGTTAGGGGATCTAAGGGGAAAGGGGAATCTCAAGGCCATGATCAAATGTTAGGGGAAGGTTTGAACACTAACTTGAATTTTTCAGGGGGATTGGAGGGAAGAGTACAGTCTGTGCAAGAGAAGTACGAATATTTTTTGAAGAAAAATATTTGACTCTGAGCCCCATGACATGCAGCATGCAAGTTCTGATGTATACTTATTCAACAACAGGTAACAGTATATGGTTTTCACATGTCTTTCAAATGTGGCTACATGTAATTTAGGCAAGGTTAAACACGAGACAGTGCTGGCCAGCGGTCTCCACTACTAATCGTATATGGGGAGGTCTTGGGGTTTAGCAGGGCCTTTGTGATTTTACAGCTCTGTCGCTGAAGTCAATTATTTGGCTCACGTTGCTTTTGTGTGCAGTAGTTCTAGTTGTTTAATAGTTTTTTCTCTCACTAGCCTGCAAAAAAGCTCTCCCGAGGGTACGGTTTTTCAGCCCACCACCAGAGCACCTCGGACAGCATGCTTGCAGGCTAATCTCTGATGGTTATAATTTGCTATTGGTCCCTCTCACCTGCCACTCCTACTTGGTGAGTAGCATATGGTGGTACCTTGCAAGCCACCCTCTGTGGAAGCCATTTTAACAGCATGGCATAGTCACCAACCGCATGATGGTAACTAAAACCATGAGCAAAAGCCACTGGAATCAAGTAACTTTGAGAAATGGGCACCTTCATCCAAACTGACTTCTTTGCATCCCTTCTCCAATGTAAAACACTCTCTAAAAATGATTCACAGAAGTAAAAAAAACAAAATAACGCACAGCACAACACTCAAGCTAGGGGGCTAGTGTTGCCCAATTTCTTGCTTGGGGGAGGGGGTAGGATGTATTTTATATCCATACCCACCCCCCTCCCCCACTCAAAGGACTTGCCTTTTCTTCTTAAAACTGAAGTTCAAATAAAAGTGCATTTACCCCTGAAGAATGCCATTAAATATGGGTCTACCCACTGAAGAGGTATGGGTCAACCCCTGAAGAATATGCAACCCCTCAAGAATCTTGTGAAAATCAAAGCTTCATCCTCAAAGAATTCCATATTTTTTTCACTCTAGCGCTTAAGAAATCCTCAGTTTTAATAACTTGCCCTTGGAGAAGTCCTGACCATTGGCCCTCCACCAGGTGGGTACGGATATTTAATGCAATTAGCCCAGTTTCATGCAGAATAGGTAATATACTATCCACACCCTTCAGCAGTTGAGGGCTTGCCCATCAAATTCCACACATTTAATGCAGTTGGGAAACCACAGGACTGTTGAAGTAGGCTTTGATATATTCGAATCTGGGGCTGGACATATTCAAACTGGCAACATCCATTCTAATTATATTAACTCCTAAGGAACACATTTCAGTAAGAAAATGTTTAATGCCCCAAGAAAACAGTATGAAACGTATGTTCACCCACAAAGATTCTATTAAGAAAATTATTTTTTCTAATTACTTACCCCTTAGTCTAGCATTAAATTCATCAAGCGAACAATTTTCTCCCAATTGAGCAAGATTCACGTCTACTCCGTTGAACTCAGCTCTCTCCCATTTTAGACAAAGAGCTGATGGAGCAATTTGGACGTTCCTTGATAAACACACTTTTTTACCACTTCGGGTAATATATCTGTTAAGTATGCGCAGCATGTGGGGAAATTTCCTGTATTTTTCTAGGTATAAGTTGCAAAACTATAAAACGAAGCGTTTTCGGCCGCCATATTAAAACGAATTCAGTTCCAGTCTCCACTCGGTCGGCGCCGAAAAACGAAAAACGCGCGCGTTCGTTAATTCTCTCCTTTGATTGGTTCAGAATATCTTACAAGTAACCTGCAGCAGAATACAAGATCGAATGAATTAAAAAGTTGAAATGAATTAGGCATTAGGCAGGCCATAATATTTTAGTACAAAACGACCCCTTTTTTAAATTCTCCCTGAAGACGATCAGATCTTGCTTCGATCTTTGAGGGACATTTTAAAATTTGGCAACAGTTCATTTAAAACGACAGCAAAAATGATTCTAGCAGTCATTTATTTTGTATTCAATAATTATGAACCGCAACGTTTTAATGTATAAAGGGTTGCGACAATGTTATAGAGTGTTTTCACTCACGTGGCCAGCATCTATGCTAATTTATTGGAACAAAAGAAAGCGTTTGCATAAGAAAAAAGTTCAACTCCCAGAGGATTGATTTGGGACACCAACATGGCCGCCGTTTCATTGTTTTGGGACACCAATATGGCCGCCGTGACGTCATGTGAAAACACTCTATACAGTCGAACCCGGCTATTTCAAAGTCCCAAGGGAAATGGAAAAAAGTTCGAAATAGCGGGGCTTCGAAATAACCGGGGAAGCGTAAAGGGGAAGGGTAAATCCAAGGGCATTCGATCTTCCTTCGAAATATCGGGGACTTCGAATTAACCGAGTTCGAAATAGCGAGGTTCGACTGTAGTTACACCACCATAAATCTCTTTCTATTTTTTTAAAGTACATTAACAATGACGCACCTCAGACATCCATTTATATTTGTGTTATTTTAACAGCTAATTTTGTTTCCTCGCTTTGGGAATTTGAATTCATATTTTTATGAGGGATTCTGATTAGGTTTAACGATTTCTTTACAATGTTATTAGTCTGATATTGCTCCAATATTGTTACAATATACTATATAGCAATTTAGTACACTGCGCTCAGTGAGACTGCGCGATATTGGAGAAGAAAGTCAAGATATCATTGATGGTGACTTCAAGGTTGATCATTGAGCCAGGATAACAGCGTTGAATGAGATCTTCAAAATGCTTGTACTGCTGAATAAAATCATCTTGCATCGAGTGCCATACCACCTGAAACGTTCATAAACAAACGTGATTATCCTTAGATTTGCCTCTAGGCATTTCGCTTAGTCACGGGATACGTTTATTCATTTTTGTGTCGTTTATTCCACGTTGCGCGTTTTACCGGCCCAAGCGGGACTTGTTTTGCAGCAAGTGACGGAACTCTGTGCATGTCGTGACTCCCGGGTAATTTTAACAAATAAAACTCAGTATTCACGCAGCTTACAATAGCCTGAGTTGTTGCAAAAGAGGTTTAAACGTGGGTGGTAAAACGCGCAACATCGCTATTCAACTCGTTTTGCAGCAGTGTTGCAAAAGAAATCAGACTCGTACCCAGTCGCTATTTATGTGTTTTGGGGTGAGAGAAGACTGGGGTTAGGTTGAAGCGCTCGGGTACTCATGGGAAGGGACGAAGGAAAAATAGCGTCTCTTCGCCCCTTCCCATGAGTATCCACGTGCCTCAACCTTACCCCAGTCTTCCCTCACCCCCAAAACACATCAATAGCGACTGGGTACGAGTCTGAAAAGAAGTTGCACGTTTTTGTTGCCCGTTTTGCTCTAGCTTAACCGGGTTTACCCTGGGTGAGAGAGGCTTTTCATTGCTCGGCCCTCGGCCGAAGACGTCTCGGCCTGGGCCGACGAAGTTCCTCGTCGCACGCGAGAAAACACCTCTGGTACCTAGGGTAAACGGGGTTCCACTGTAAACAAAAGAATATTAACCTGCTTGCTCAATTATAATAACAGTTATTGACACTGACCTGAAGTAAGTTTTCCTCTTCACACAAGTGCTTTTCAACTTTTTTGTATAATTGTTCTAATCCTTTCTTCAGCTCTTTAGCTGGGTACTCTTTAATATTTTTTCTCAGTTCTTGTTTACTGAACGCCAACTGATAACCAACTTCATCCTCCTTCACTCCTGCTGCTATACGCTCCTGGACGCCCTCAAAAAATATCTGCGAAGAAATATCTGCAGTTGCTGTTGTTGTTGTTATACAGTACGTAACAGGAAATTCTCCCTCGTAACGAGGGCTTTTCCGAGGTTGGTCAATACTAGGTCACATGACATCTACCAATCATCCGCTGGGGGTACTCCCTTATATAAGCCGTATAACTATGTTCCACCCCGAAGGAGAAGGTTTTTAAATCCGTATAGGTCTGAAAGTGGGGTATAGCCTTTGCCCAGTTTGGTCTGGATATCGGGTGTGGTTTTCGAGGGAACTACGGGAGTGTGTGAACGTATTTGTCGTTGTAATTCCAAATAAATAAGGAAGAAAGAGTAATTTACGAATTCGAAGTGGATATTAAGAAATCTTTTTGTTGGAATTTTAAGAGGCCAGGTCTGAAAATGCGTATGGATTTTAGAGGCGAGGTCTAAAAACGAGTGTGGAAAATGACTTTTTTCTCTAGTCCGATATAGGGTCAGGATTTGGAGAACCGGGCAGCACATCCCCACCGAGAATTCCTAGGAGTACCCCACGGGGGAAGCCAGCTTACACTGAGTTTCTCCATAGGTCTTCCCAGCATGTCCTTGACGTACATCTTCTGGCTATCCAAATACTTCTTCTTCGCTTCTCTTTTCTCGTTCTCCAAGCACACGATCTTTAGACGCGTCAAGACCCCTGCGTGAGCAAAAAGCCAAGTAAAAACAACACTCTCACGCATGTTCGTGCCCACGCACGCTGGACCGTCAAGAACGAGAAAAAAATATACAATAGAAAATAACTTAGAAGAAAGAGATAAATTGGAAGCTCCACTAACGGTCACCTCTCTACTATGGCCACTTTTTTGGCAGACAGTTCATACATTGACTCTTGTTTTTAACCAAGTACAGGGGTTTAAAAACCCCTCTACATCGGTCACTTTCTTCTGTCCTCAAGGTGACTGTTGTGAAGAGGTTCACCTGTATTATGAAAAATTTGGAATACTTACGAAATAAATGGTGATAATTCTCTGCGAAATAAAAGAAAACAATAATAGTGAGCTATGAATTGAGAAACAAACTCGCTCCAAGGAACTTTCCCAGCCCCAAAGCAAAGGAAAAAGTCCCGCTGGGAACGAAGATGGTTAACAAATGCATAGCCACGCTCAGCGTCACAAGTGAGTTTACGTAAAAGGACGGCAAAACGCTCGTGTGTGACAAACGTGACAGGGTTATTACTTACGTGTTTTGTCGTGATCTTCAGTTAACATTAGTGTTTTCTGGTCTTTTACAAAAAGATCTGTTTAAAGGAAAGTGAAGTTTGGCGAAAAGTTATTTCAAATAAAATTAATCATTTGTCACGCTTGTCACACAAGGTTTGCCGTCTTCTCTCTCCCGTTCTGTCGCGTAAGTTCACTACTATCTTCCGTTTTCTCTTCTATGTACACGTTGAAATAAAACATCTAAACGATTAATCATGTCAGTATTGTTTAGCCGGCTTACCCATCATGACCACACCCCTTGGTGTTTTCTGGTGTTCCTCTGCCATTCGTTCAACGTTGTCAAACACAACACGAATAAGATGATGATACGCCTTGTCAAGGTCATTGCGACGGTCCGAGTTTTTGAACACACTTTCTGAGATGGCTGCAAATTCCTATGAGAGATACAAGAAATTACCAGGCTCATGACCCACTCATACCATGCAGTGAAAATTCAAATTAAGGCTTCTCCTTTTTGACGCGCCAAACATTACGACGTTTGATTATATTTATCAAAAACCTGTTTTCAACCAAAGACTATTGATGCGAGACAAGCTCTAAATAGATCTAAGAAATTCATAGTCATTGTTCACTTTAACCGACGGAATCTACACTGAAAAATGTCATTTTATAGAGGGAGAGGTTTCATAACTATTACCTTTCAGGGAGTATAATTTAATTTGTTCTTTTTACTTATCGTTGTAACAAGGCATAGTTTAATTCAAGACCTTCGTGAAGTTGAAGCACTTTGTTAGACGTAACAACGCTAGTCTCCATTGGCATGTTTTCAAATTGCATATAAACGTCAAGGCCGTATCCCGTGATTTCAGCCGGAATGAAGGTTAAATTAGTGACGAGTAGGCGAAGAATTCAACCAACACTCACCTCAAACTTACTCACAAAAGGCAAGACTCCACACTTCTTTGTCTTGGGCACCTTCGTTTCTTCAATTTGCTTTTTCAAACTCGTCTAAGGGTAACAACAAAAAAATGTTTGCAACTTTTGTAACAGTCATCATGCAAGGGAAATCATGTAATCGTGGCGGCCATAAGCGAGAAGAGAGCAACGAACGTCAAGCTCGTGTTGAATTGCGGAAAATAACATGCCCAAGAAGGGGTGGAACATGAGCAAAAGGTTGCAAAATTCATAAACAGTAAAATAAAATATTGTGGACCCATTCAAAGCCTCCAACATAGAACAACACAAAGTGGCGGGAAAAAAGGCAACCCCAACCAAGCGTGGGAAACTCAACATATAACAGTTATCAAGCGCTGAAGGAATACAGGGCAAGTTTGAAAAGAGGTTTTCAGTTATGAAGCCTGTTTAGACAAAGAATCAATACACTTTCTGCTGTGATAGTTTGATTTGATTTCGTGGCGAGTCTATTGTGAATTTTTAAACTTTACATGCAGATGAGATACCGTAAGAGGCGCATGAAGTAAACACTTATCTACCAAGGCAGGTTGTTCGCATCTCTCGCGTGCAGAAACAGCCAAATATCCAAACCCGCAAGGAAAACTCGCCCGTGTTAACGAGAATTTTAAGGCATATATAGGAAATACTACCACCCCCCTTCCACAGGCACCTTTGTGACACAGGGAGGCTGGGGAGAAGAGTAAGGTTAGAAAGCGTGCGGGGGATGATGGGAAAGAGAAAGAGAGGGATAGACGCCTTCACCGTTTCATTCGTCCTGTCTCCCCTCCCCCAGCATATTAACTATTTTCAATTATTTCACGGAACACCGCCGACCCCCCCCCACAAACAGGATCCGCCCTGGCGGAGAGAGCAGGAAATTACAAAAGTGGAAGACCAGAAAATCAGAGATGAAGAAGCAGACTGGAAAGGGACTAAGTTAAAGTCACTTACTATAAATTTGTCGAACAGGCGCTTTACAGAAATGAGACAGTTTCCAAGCTGTTGACTGAGATAAGACACTGGGGATCCGGACAGTTGCGTCGTGATAACAAAATGACCGATCTTCACAAGCATATACATGGTGTTACTGCAATATAACAGGACACATGGTTGACACAATCTCCAAGCTAGAGACAATGCAATCTGTTTGATAGACGCAATGATCACTTAATCATCAGAATGTGGATAAAATCCTGCACCACGACCATTCAGATGAAAGGTAGTGAGAGTATTTTCCTGTGGTACTGTTTATTGTTCTTCGGAATGAGTTTCTAACTTGTGAGACTTTGACCAATTGCTTGAAAGGTGCTGAGCAAAATTTTCCGGTGCCACTGTTATCCTGTACAGTGCACGATGGCTCTAACTTTTGAGTCTGTTGATGAAATCCTAAAGTGTAACATTGATACGAAAGCTACCGAGTACTTTCATTTCATTTGAAGTCTTGTTGCCTCAAGTTTCCTCTTTTACCACATTACATAAAAAATGTCATACAAAGAACATACAAGTTATCTAGTCTGTCAGCAAAGTGAATATAACTCTGCAATTCGGTCTCCAGCACATTAAACAATCCTTGCATGATTTTCCTACAAAAGAAAACGCACGAAAAGTTTCAACCACTGCTATGATTTGTTTTTGGCTCTTTTAAAGCTCACCGGCTGTAAAATTTCCCTCCTCATGTACAACCGTAGTCTCCCTCACAGCCGTTTGAGTCTTTGAGTCTGAGTTTGAGTCTTGTCACAAACCACATGAGCGTTGCGTGACGAGACAAAAACGGCTGCGTGGGAGGTGAAAGGGTGAGGTGGGGGAGAGGAAAGCAAAGGGTGCAGTTTACATAGGCTAGAGTGTCCAAGCCAGTAATCACACAGTAAAAATGTTCGTTATTAATCCCATTAAACCCAACACCCTACTGTGCAAGTGCTGAAAGCGGGCAGTTTACGTAGAATTTACTTTGCTTTTAAAGGTGCATTTATGTAACAGTCGTGCAGTTTACAAATTTATAACCAGTTTAGTTTCGCTGAAAGGCTTTAACAACTTTACCTTTGTGCGACTTATTGGTAATATCGAAGTTAAGTTTATGTGGCCTGTTGTTTACAAATTTAGGTTTAGCTCAGCAACAGTGCAATGGGTTAAGGTTTTACATACTTCATATCTTCTCGGTTTTTATTGATCCATTGTTTTCTTCTTCTGGAGGAATAACAGTTAGATCAGATGTAGTTTTGATTAAAGTGTCATTGTGTTAATAAATACTAAAACCTTATTTAAGTCTGCAAAAGATTGCGAAGTCATGATGAAACTGTGACTAAACCACCCGACACTGTAAGGATCCCCAAGCTAAGGAAGAGTCTACTTTAAAGCTTCTGGCATTTACAGGGTACAGTGACTGCACACTGGATAGACATTGACACCGCAAGTATTCATTTCTTCACCTACTCCCGCGCAAAAATGCAAATTACTTTGTTAACTGCTAGGTCTAAGGCTGCTTGGTTAATACGTCAAAGCAGCCACATGAACAATTTGTAGGGGAGTAAACAACCCGGGCAATAACAGTTTTTGTCCCCGATAAGAAAGGCACACTCGCCAGCTTACCAATTGGTATAGGATTTAATGGAGCCAAAACCAATTGTATATTTCTTAGCAACTACTATAATTTGCAGTCTGTCTACTTTGAATACAGATATTTACGATATTACCCTGAGAAAGGTTTTGTTGTCATAGTTACTTGCCTGCTTCCTTTTCCCGCTCTTTTTGGCGGCTACAACTATTTCCTTCAAAATCTGATTGGTTTATCAGACGGTGAACGTCTGCTGTGCCTGGCTATAAAATATATTCTTTTGTTCAAGAAAACCTAATTTAAAAACGGCTGGCAATATCATTACGTTGACCAATGATGAAAGATGGGACAATAAAAAGAACCAACCAGCAACCAGCACCAAGTGCAAATGGCGGGAACCCAACCAGGGCGGGAAAACGCCGAAAGCGGCGCGAGATGTTTTTAGCCAGTGGTATCGTAGCGCAAAACAAAGAGAAAAAAAACAAGATAGTAATTTCGACACTTTTTCTTGTATGTCATTCTACATGGTTCCCGCACATCAATGCAATAGCCTCTGTTACCTGACTTCTTCATTTAGCGGTGTTCTGTCCTTGACATCACTAAATAAAAATGAACATTCGTTAGTTTTGAATAAACGATTTACAAGCAGAAGATCTGTTGTTATTTCTTACTAAACAGAACGGCTGGCGCCGCACTAGGGGACTCAACCAAACTATCTCCAATTAACTAATTAAAGTTTACTCATTTAAGAACAACTGCGAGTGCGGCTGGGTTTTCTGCAGTCTTAGCCAAGTTCTGACCGGGTTATGCAAATCAAGCAAGAACAATAGATTTTCTTAACCAGGTTTAATAGGCTTTTTATCAGGTAATACGCGCTCACTCCAAGGCGAGAGTTATGAGTCGATATGAGCGACCCGAGCGAACGAAAAACAAAACCGCGCGACATTGAATGACTTTGTGAAAGTCTAAATTGAGTCCGGCCGCGACTCCGGCCGCCGAAAAAAAATAACCCGGTTAAACTCTTTTTACCAGGTTACGTTCTGAAAACTTTTTTTACCGGGTTTTTCAAAAACCAACGCGGTTAACTTGCCAAGTGCAGCCGCAGCCAACATAGCCTATATCCATGAACGTGCCATACTTACGTCGAGTCCACAGATTTTGGTCTGCTAGACATGGCTCCATCAGAAGAATCCACACTGAATGGGTTATTTGAAGTCTCTGAGAGCTGAAAAGGACAGACCAAAAAAAAACTAGCACAAACAAAGCGGGATAAACATTGAGCTTTGCTCTCTAAAAATTTATGTTACAACCTCTGTAGCGGCTTTCCCAAGAGTAAATACAAATTTCTCTGTTTTCTGGAAAAAGACAAAGAACAAAAACAAACAAACAAAACAAAAACAAGCCCAAGCCACTAGAAACAGATCACACGTGGAGGTAAGAAGGGACGTTGGATGGTGAAAGCTTATTTAATTGTACCGTAAATCCCCTATTAAGCACCCCAGGGTGCTTATTTATTTCAAGCACGTTTGAGACTGGCTTGGAAGAGAGGGGGCTTATTCAATTTAGCGAAGATGATGGTATCAGTTCTCAATAAAGAATTAGAAAGTAAAGTTGAATAACTCAGGTACATGAAATTGAGGGTCACATGCAGCCGGAGATCAAAAACAAATCCCCACTTCCGGCTCAAACTTACTTCCGGCTCCTCCAAGATAAAATCAAAGAACTTCTGAACGAACTCCTGTTCAGCTGTGCAAACCGGCTCCAGCTCCAATAATAAAATATCAAAAACCTGGTGGGAAGCCAAAAAAATCATTAAATGATACGAGAGGAATCAGGAAAAATGGGCTGATAAAGATCGATTGAACACACCATTTGTCGTGCACCAACTAACACTAAACAGCATTTCTCAAATTATCCGACACTATTTTGGGACAAGAAAGTTGTGTATGTGAGGACTTTACAGATTCAAGAAATATTTTGCTGGTTTTGAAACTTGACCAACTATACTTTCTGTTACAGAAACCTTATGGATGATTAGCAATTATTCCTCGAGCCCGAATGGGCTATGAGTCAATAGCCCGAAAGGCCGAATGGGCTATTGACTCAGAGGCCATGAGGGCGAGAGGAATAATTGTTTTAGTAAAATCCAACTAGTTGGTCAAAATCTCGAGACAAAAAAACTTTAGCTAGTTAAAGCTACACTTTAATCCTTTTTTGCCGCCAAAACGCCAGTGCTTTTCGCTACTAATGGGCTATTACATATAGTCCAATAGTAGCTCAACCAATCAGAACGCAGCATTGATAATAGACCACTATTTTACTAATCACACTTATTACGCTACAACAAGAGTGATCCGGCTTATTGAATCAACGAGGTGAAATTGTAAAGAAGACAACGAATGTGGAATTACAAAGGCCAAAGGCGTTCCTTTGCTGTAGTAACGTGGTATTCACATTTCCAAGGTAGCAGAGAAAGAAAGTGTTCGAAAATCTGATCTTGGCGGAGTTCCTTGTATACTTCTGCTCTCCAAAGCTATTGAAACTTTGAAGAAAAGGGGTCCATATATGGCACAACAACCACGATGACGAGGACAACTGAACGACAACGTCAAAAAACAATTGGTTTTATGAGCAAAACAACAGCTCTGCATGTGCATCACGCCTTTTAGTACATTTCTTTGACGTCCACTGCACGAATACGAAGAGAAATCTCCTAATGCGACGTTTTATAGAGCACGTGAACATACGGCGACAAATTTTCCTGTCTCATTTTGGACCAGGATAAAACCTTGAGAATTCACCTCTACGAAAAATCGCCTACATTTGAGAAATTGAGCGGGTCCAAATAGACGCGATAAAGTTTGTAGTGACGTTTTTCATCAGGGGCACCCAACGAGAATATAGTTCAAAACCACTTAAACATAGAATTGTTAAACGCATTTTAGTATTAAACGGTAGATATAGGCATATTTTTATCCCCTAAAAATTTTTCATCTGTTCGGATTTCTTAGCTGAAAGTCAAGTGATCCGAAAATTATAGGGATCAAAACTTACCTTTTCGAATTTTTTAGCCAGAAAAAAGGCTCGCGAAAATTCTAGGTGACCTTTTTAGGGTAAAAATCCGTTAAAAATAGGCAATTATACCATTTTTTAGATGTCCGAAAATCCTAGGAGAGGCAGACAAGCAAGAAATTTTACAACAAATGTTACGAAAATTCTAGATCTCAAATCGTCTTTCGAACAGATATTTTTCCGAAAATTGTCGTTGGGTGCCCCTGTTTCATTGCTGTCGTCGTCATCGTTGCTTAAGCTTCCTATTAACCGCTCAACATTACCCGTTCAAATTTGCTCCTTCCCTCTTGAAGCTGATCTGACGAATCCATTGAGCTTAGCGATCCTGACCTTGACCTAGAGTCAGAGCCAATCGAGAGCGAGTCGTTGTCTTTACGCTCTTGCGCCTTTTCCTTGGGTCTGAGTGAGCCCTTGCGGGGACTGGGCCGCGGACTCATTCTTGGATCTTCCCTGTTGACCGCAGAGGATGACCCAGTCATCTTGAAGGCGCTATAACCTATTAGAAAAAAACAAAACAAACAACAAATTAACGCATACATAAAAATAAATAGCCAAAGGCTTGTGAAGTGAAGTATGCTTAATTTCTTTACATTACAGACCTTGACTAAAAGGGCTCTGTCAAGCCGTTTGCTATATTTTAGTTTTTTAAAGAAACTAAAGCGCGTCTTCACATCAACTGGATTCCAAAAACAATAATCCAGAGTTGTTACTTTAGACTATATTTAGGCATTGAGACTGTTTCCTGTCGTCTGTTGCCCCCCCGGCCTGGAGGGGGTACTTTAAGACTTTTTGGGTGGGGATATGCTGCTGGGACCCTGGGACACTGGAACCCTTAGCCTATACCAGAGCTAGTTCAAGTGAATTTTGCTACCCTACACTAGACTAAACTCCCCAAATCCCCCTTATCCTAGATTAGCTTTTTTCCAGAAACAACTGAGGTTACTAGCACAGTCCAGCCAAAACAAAACCGATTTGATTTTTTTATATTCTTGAGTGGCAATTCCCGGTTTCCCCAGTCTAGACTAAAATCTTCAGCCAATTGATCAGTTTAAATGGAAAATGATACTCTCTTCTAGACTCAAACTCTCTGATTTATATACCCTATCCCAGAGTAAACTGCTTGAAAACCATACCCGTCACAGTGGCACATACCCATATAGCCTATATATGGCAGTACCCCCCCCCCCCAAATGGGTCAATTTTTGCAAGTTTTAATGCTATACCTGCAGAAGTTACAGAAAAATATTATGGTTAGAGCTCCTTGATGAAACTTGTGTTATACCGTAAAATTCCGAAAATAAGCCCCTCCAAGTGTAAGCCCTTCCAAATATAAGCCCCCCAAATCGTAATGCTAAAAAACCCTCCGTTAAATCGCTCCTCCAAAATTAATATAAGCCCCCTGGGGGGCCTTGTACTTGGAATTTGCCCTCAAATACTAAGGCAAAAATGGTAAATTTCCTTCCCACTACAAGCTAGCCCAATCGATTTTGAAACGCAAATTTCCCTCCGTACATAAGCCCCTCCGAATATAGGCCCCTCCAAAAATAAGCCCCTCCAAAAGGGCCTTTAAAAAATATAAGCCCCAGGGCTTATTTTCGGAATTTTAAGGTATTTTCTTCATAATTCTACAAGAGTATTTTGCGTCTGGGTAAAGGCACTATAAAGTAATAACCTTAGCATAGAATTGACCTGAAACAGCAATATTCTTGTGACACAGCCCATTCGATCAAGAACAAAGCTGATCAGAATACCAAAATGTCTTACATATACCACAATAAAAACTTACCCCGAACGCCCTTTGTTAACGTCCTCTGCTTTGCAGCTTCAAAGAAGTCTTTCAGTTCCCTCTCATACACTTTGCTAAGGCACTGAGTGTAGGCCTAAAAAGAGTTAACACCAGTTAAATGGCAGAGATAGAGTGAAAAGTGCTTTCTGCATGTAAAATTATCATCATAACTGTCAGAACCATCATAATCATCATCATCATCATCACCATCATCATCATCATCATCATCGCTATCAGTAATATTCAATCACATTGACGTCTGTGTTTGTTGCGAGTGTACTTATAGACCATAGCATTGTAATGCACTGAGAGTATATTTTCTCGCAGGCTTTTTAATTTTTGCTGGCACTCTAACGATGCGTTACATGTATTTCTGACAACTGGGGTATCTGAACGGTGCATTTAATCAAGTTCCAAACGTTAGTACACTGGTGCAGGAGCCCATGACCCAGTGACGATAACAGAGTCACATACCTCGCAGAGTTGGAGAAAAACTGTCTGATCCACTTCCTTTAGCCATTTCATGAGATCGGAAAATGGCACCAGATCATTGTGGCAGGCCAAGTGTTTAGGAATACATAACTCACTGGAGTGCTGGACAACAGTTTCTGGCTCTATACCCTGTTACGAATAAATTTCATATTTAACAAAAATTGCATTATTTATATTTCGTGTAATACTTTCATGACTAATTCGTTTTTTCGACACAGTATGCGATTTAATAGATTGGGAGAGGGGATGCTTTAGGGGATAAAGAATCTTCACCGCACTATATCCCTGTTTCTTATCCCAAACCAACAACCATGAACTGGGTTGTTTGAAAGGAACTAATGAGCAGTTCTAGCTTTTGTGGAAGGAGAGGCGTGCTTACATGACGAGTAAAGATTTCAAAGAGATGATGTTTTAATCGCTGAGCAAAGTCACTACTGAGCTTCAATAGCTTATCCCTCTGCTCTTTGACAGCCCTCATTTCAGTCAAACCTGAAAATAAAGAAAAAACAATCGCCCTTAACTTCAAATACCTTATTAAACTATTTTTTGTTCTTTCAACCCCCTAGAATTTGACAATCTTTCCCAGGAGGTACTAGTTCAACAACTGCTCAAGCATTTGCATTTGCTACAAAAACTGTTAGTCCTTTCTCTCTCTCTAATAAAAAAAAACTATCGTTAGTTATAGTAGCACCACCTCTTACAGGCCCCACCTACCTCCCATTTTATTAATCCTCTTCATCTCTTTCCAGTTGAGAAGCAAAGCTCCCAAACTGAACAACAGGCCCCTTATTGCAAATTGAGAATTCCACATGAGAGTTTCTCATAACTTCATTCACTGAAGGAGATTTTTCCAGATCGGTGATGAATCCCGAAAATTTGGTATGGGATTCTTTTTGCCATTCACACACAGATGCCTGGACCAAGAATACAAAAGTCATGGTTTGGTCACGCTAGAATCTGAAGAAAATACTTTGTATCCGGATAAATGTTCTTGGATCTACTGATGAATGCAAAAGCCTGCAAATGCAGATACCCTAAATGCAATAAACATTTATAAATCTGAAAAAATCTCTTGAAGTGTAAATGACGGCTTTGTGATGTACCTGGACTTAAGTCAGTCTGCAAAGCATGGAGCACAGAGAATGCAGCATGAGTACACTCCTTAAGTCCCATACCCTTGGACAGGTCAGCTTCCTGAAGTGCTGCAATGTTACGCTCAGGAACATCCAGCGTACTCTGAATAAAACAACAATCACAACTACAGTCAACTGTCTCAATCTAAGCCCACTCACTTCCAAAAGTGGCCCATTTTTTTTTTTTTTTGTAAAACGCCGAGAAACAAACCGTATCATGTTGAAATACCACCAAAGAGGTTTCATTTGAATGGTCACACCATGGGATTCTGTCCACAGATTCAAAATTTAGAACTACATACAAAACAAATAGTACCACTAGCACTACGCAAGAGGTTTCGTTTAAATGGTCACGCCATAGGATTTCATCCACAAGCTCAAAAGTTAAATCACCTTACCAAACCCATCACGTTCTCTTGCAGTAAAAGTGTTACCCTGGGCCTAGAGGTTTTTCTAAGAAATTTTCAAGAAAAACCTCTTGGACCATGGTATAAAAGGGTTGACGAAGATCTCATATGGCCACCTCCCTAAAACACACACCTAGGGTCAATCCTCACCTTTCTTGAAATTATCCTATTCTTTGACTGTCTATAAGGGAAAGGGAGATAGAAAGACAAACAAACAAAGTTGTATCAAGAAGAGAGGAGAAACTGACCACAAGTGCTTCTACTTCCTCCAAGAGTTTTTTGCGGTTTGTACTCTCAGTTACCATGTGTTTATCCTTGTCTTCCATCACCTCCATCTGTGCACGAACTTCCTGTAAAACATTGATGATTCATTAATAACTATTAATATCGCACACCAGTATCAAAACAAAACATTCTCAAACTCTTGAACCCTTTCCCTAGCGGTCAGTGACAATTTGAGAAAAAATGGCTGGGTGACTTTAATAATAAACTAGCAGATACTCCTTTAAAATTGCTTCATGATTGTAAATGAAACAATAGGACAGTTTGAAATACAATCAACATACTGCACACCCCTTAGCTACTGATCACGACATTTCAAACTTGGAGTCTATGGATCAAATCCGAAGCCACCACAAATCTTACTCCTGCAGTCTATCTTGTTAAACCTTTTGCAAGTGATGCAAAAAATGATTTTTTTCTTAGATTTGAATTGGCCCAGAAAGGGGTGAAAAAGTCAACTTTCAGTGACAAGAAGAGTATATTCCCCTTTTAACACGTACAGCAACAAAACTACATGCAAATATCAAACATTCTTCAAGTGTGGCAATTTTAACTTACTCTTAACAGTGTGTCATAGCCAGTAAGCCGTGTATCCAGATTTTCAAGTTCATTCAGAGCGTCATTTAACAGTTGCATTAGGGATTCAACTTGTGGCTCAGCATTCATGATGGAATGGATATTTGCCTAAAATATCAATACAGTCCTTTAATGTTATTCAATAAGGATGCAGTAAGCCACAAAATGTCCTGTAATCCTTTCTTAGTCAATTTGGGAGGTCCCAACATGATCATCTAAATGCGTAAACATTGTCTTCACAGTTGGGCCATAAATATGATGTATGGAAACAAGAAGATAGAAGATAGTTGACTATATTCCTTTTGGAGACTTTTGTCTCATCAGAGAATAACACAGAAATAAAAGATATTAAAAGAAGAAGACATTTTTCCTCTAGATAGAGACAATAATTTGTGACATCTAAGGTCCTTGAAAGATCTTTCAAATTATTCATTACACAATATCATTAATGCAGATGAAACCAAGCCTTAAGGTTAACCCTTTAAGTCCCAATAGTGTCTTAAGTCAATTTTCTCCTAACGATATCCATACAATGTCAAGAGATTAGGTTATGAGAATTAATAAAATGATCACCTAAGGGAAAATACCTTGATCTTTTATCAAATTCCCTCAAACTTATTCTTAAAGGAAATGTATAGAGATCAGTTTGGAGAATTTGTACGTGGGTATTGGGGCTTAAAGGGTTAAAGTCATACAACATGTGGTTACTTATGCTACAATAATATTAGTTACTTAATATTAATTTTGTAAGCTCTATTACCCCGTCTAAAACGGACAAATCCCTAGACAGCTGTTCTGTGAATGCTTCAATGTTGCTGATTGCATTTTCAGTTTGGGATATCATGTACTCCAAATCGTTCTCCTCTCGTTTTGTCAGCTCCTGGTAGTCTTCAACTGAAAAGTTAAACATGTCTTTACAACTTAGCAAAGCTACCGTGGAAGCCTGATATGATGAAGCCCCAAGAAAAAGCATTTTACCTACAAAAGATCTACATTATATAGGAGACATTAGGGCCATTTATATGAGGAAAAATAAGACGTGTGTTACATAAGCCGCGTCTTAAATAAGACGCGAACTGTACCATTTATACGAGCATGTCTTATCTAAGACGAGAGCAGCTCGTATAAATGGTTCGCGTCTTATTTCTGTTCTTGACTCGTTTTCATGTGAATGTTGCCCGTAGCAACTCCAATCTAACGTAGCGTGCCAAAAATTAACGCATGCGCACTATGCGTTCGCGTCTTGTTTAAGACACGAAGGTCATTTATACGAATTTTTTCTTGTCTTAGCGAAGACGCGTCTTATCTAAGAACAGGTGTTAAGGGCTGTTCTAAAATAAGACGCGTCTTATTTTAGATGAAATGTGCTGTTTATAAGGAAAGTTCACGTCTTATTTAAGGCGCGTCTATGTAAGATGCGTCTTATTTTTCCTTGTATAAATGGCCCTAATAATCCATTTGCCTTTGATAGTTTGCCAAAGCACGGTATGTCATTTGAAGCTAGTAAGGCCTCTGTTCTGAAGTTAAAGTACAGGAAAGAAATAAATTTAAAGTAAAGGAATAAACTTTGTGGAGGCACATTTGAAAAGGTGTTTTGTTACAGGAGGAGTAATACAGTCGACTCCCGATAATTCGGACCTTCAAGGGAAACAGAAAAAAGTTCGATTGGGAGTCCGAGTTATCGCGGGTAAAATTATAATAATAGAAACTGTTCCGAAGGGAAATGAAAATTGCTTCGAGTTAGCGCGAGGTTCGAGTTATAGAGGGTTCGAGTTACCGGGAGTTGACTGTATTAGGTTTTATGAAGCAAACCCCCTTAACTGCACATGAGGGGATGGTTGTTCCTTTACAGACACTTTTAAAAGTGTCATCATGGCAGGTTTATTTGTTGTAGATAAAGCCTGCTAGAATTAAGTTAAAGCTCGGGTTCTAGCCTGGGAACTGATTTCACATGTACCTAGAACATATCCATGGTTAAAAAATATTTCAATAAATTAATTTTACCTCCAGCGCCTTCATCTGTATGCTGTTGTGCTCTACTGCTCTCACCACCATGAATAACATCTAAAACACAAGAAATCATCCAGACTGATCTCCAAACGTCTTCTTAAAGAGTTAGTTAAGATAATTTAATAAGAGATCAAAGCATTTCTCTTTGGTGATCAGTTTTATCAATTCTCAAAATATTTTCAGCTGGTGACGTACTAATTTTGTTAGGAGAAAGTTGATATGGGTCACTCTTTGGATTTAAAGGGTTATTTCGGGCAACAAGAGGAGCCCACAATCCTAATCTGCAGGTTGTTATTGCGCATGCATCACATGTACGTAGCCAGCATTCGTTTGGACTTCCACTAAGAATGAATGGAATGCACAGAATGCAATTTGATTATGCGCGTTTGGACCTTCTATCACTTGAAATCTGATCACACAAATTTGATCATGCACGTTTTGACTATCTGTCATGCGAAACTTATGCAAAGCTCAGCACTGGAGCAAAAAGTGTTTTGACCTTCGATCATTGTCATTCGCACTCCGTAACCTTTGATTATTACTAGTATATAAGGAATCAAAGATAATGCATCTAGAGCCATTATTAAACAGCCATCTCCCAAACATTGCAAGATGTGATTAGAAAATGGAAATGGATGTTTTGAGGGCTCTGTTTTTCAGCACCAGGTATTCTATTTCTGTCTCCAGGGATAAGCATGTAGTAACAATATTACCATAACTGCCAACTCTACCGGTTTTCCTGGGAGTCTCCAAGTTTTCATCAAATCTCCCAGTTAGAGCACCAGATCTTCTGGGAAATACGTACCGTGGCCTTTTTCCAAATTTTTTCATTAATTTTGTTATTTTCGAGATGTCAAAAAGGAAAATAAAACAGGAAGTGGGTTTAGTGCTCTTATCTGAGATGTTCTTGATCGGAAAATGTAAAACAGACCAATCAAATTGATATATATAATTTAACGAGTATAGTTATTGGTCAGAAATCAACCAATCAAATTGGACAATACATGGTAGAAAGTTGGCACGGTTTCGCATGTTGTTATCAACATCGGAAACATTCAGAAGGCCTTTGAGAGAGTATTCAGACATTGTCGAAAATGACTTTCTTACAATGCAAAGATTTCTAAACCTCTTTAGATTTTTGTACTCCGGGGGTTGGCAGGTATGTATTACTCATCTGGTTTCAGTACCTTCAATTACACTGACATGCAACAATTGTGGCTTCCTTTGAGTCAAATGCCTTTCACACAGCTAAACAACAAGAAATAAACAAAAAGTTGAGTTATATTTACTAACATGTGTTGTAACAACTGCTTGTGATCTCCCCACCTAGCTGCAAGCCATTTTTTTACTAAGGTCAGCCAAATAAAAGATATCTATGTCTATTTTATTGAAAAGTCATTTGTGATAGCCTAGCACCTGTATTTAATCAAAATAATAGAAATGCTCTGCCCTGCCAGGATGTGGCAGATTAGTAGCTAGTGTACTGATCTCATGTAATTTTTACAAATTCGATAAGTTAAAAAACAGAAAAAACCCAAGCAAGGAGAAATATTTCAATTTGGAAACTCGTCAGGTTGTTTAGGAAAAGCGCATCCAGCCAATTTTAAGCTTCTAATAGCAAAGCAATATTTTTAATAACATTATTAAATTGAACAAAGAAACTTAAAAGATGATGCTTACCCTCCACAATGCAATGATGAAGTTGTTCTTGTCCTGAACACTGCTTGCTACCCACTTGTAAGTCTTATCAAAATGAAGATGAAACTCTGGATTCTCCTAAATAACAAATCAATGCAAAAGGAAATGAAATTATAACTTGTGTGCTGTAAGAATATCGTGCATGTCATTAACTCCAGCCAAGTCAATGTTGTCTATTCTCACATTTGTTTCATCTTTGCCATCGATGAACTTGAGGTCCTTCAGTCTCCAGTTTGATCTCTTCTTATAAGAATCTTTTTCAGTTCTTTTAACTTGATAAATAGACACTGTTTCTGGTTTCACTTCAGTCACTAAAGAAGAAGAGGACAGAGTAAAAGCAAAAACAAATCTACAACAATTTCAATTTGCAATTAAATAATCATTATTTTGTCACTGAATCTTTTCTTCCTTCCACCATCTGCTTTCTTATTTAGGCTATCCCATTTAATACACATCCCCTCCCCCCCACCTAACCTTTTTCTTCAAGACGTGGAAGCCAAGTACCCTCAGTTGAGGATCCATGGAGTTCTTTAGGGGCACATTATAAAAACTGAGGATTTCGTTAGGGATAGAATAAAAAAATATGGAATTCTTAATGGGGTGGAGCTTTAATTTTCACGAAATTCTTCAGGGGATTTCAGGGGTAGACCTATATTCTTCAGGAGTAAACCCATATTAATTTTTATGGAAGTCCTCAGCGGTGAATGCAATTTTATTTAATCTTGAGGGACAAGAAGACAAAGTTAGTCCTCAACCGGTGGGGTACGTATATTATAGTGCAATAGCCTATTTCTTGCAAAGCCCTGAGAGTTACATGACTGTGACCACCCATATTAAAGCATATAAAATGTAAGTGAGATCAAAATACGCAATTGGTACCCCTCTGGCGGGGAGCTCCCTTGTGAGAAAGCAGGAATGCTTCCGAAAATAAATTCTAGCCGTTAGATATATATACAAATAATTATTCTAGCCATTCAAAATTTCCAGCTCTCTCGTTGGCATAAACTTGACCACACATGTAAACAGACATACGGAAAAAAAACACGACTTTTGAGAAAAGAAATACTAGATGTTAATTTAATACAAATTAATCCATACCAGCCACACAAAGAAAGCTTGCTTTCTTCTTTTTGCCAACTTTAGTCACGCTCACAACCGCATGAAGTCTCTCCTCGTTTGGTTTGAAGAGATCTCGCTGCAGATTGTGTTTGATGGCCGCCATTTTAGGGCCACAACCACTTGTGCCCAGGTTTCCGGGTTGACGCTCATAAAATTCGAAAGAGACTGTAAACTTCCTGTTTATAAATTTTACACGGATTTTTAATTGAGTTACAAATATTCTTTACGCATCATCCTTGTTTTGTGACCTTGTTCTATTAAATTTTAATAAGCATAATTGCTAAATCCAAATCTAATTCTGAAATTTGAACTATCATCAAGCTAAATATTGGAAAGTTATGAAATGGACGGTCAAGAGAAGTTTATTTGAAGCGCAAGAGACTAGCTATCGTAGTTAGCTTTTCCGAGCTTTTTCAAAAAGGCAGTTCTGTTTTTTTTCGAGGACGTCACGAAGGCCCTTCGCCTTGGTAAAAATTTCATCACCAGTTTGCGTCTGCGACGATAACCTCCATATTTGGTAAACGACGCCTTATCGACTGTTCAAGACAATGATCGCGCCACTCGTTTTCAGTCTCCGATAAAAGTCATTTCGGTTAATGAGGAGAGGGACAACAGCGTGTGGACCAACACCAAAAAAAAAATTGTGATTTCAGATGGATTGGAAGGTTTCTAGCGTTTGGCATTCCTTTTGCCATGGCCGACACAGCTAGGAGGCAAGTATCTTGCGCGATCTTTTTTCAAAGTATTTTCAGATTAGGAAGTTGCTCGTCCTCGATCCACTGGGTCCTTTGTCGTATTGTGTTTTCCTTCGGCGCGGGCGTTCAGGATATGCGCGCGGATTTTTTATTTTTTTTACCAGTTTCTTTCTTGTCTTTTGTTCCGTTAATTTAACGAGCTACTGTTTTTCTCACCTAGGAAAGGCACTGATCTGACGGTTAGAATGGCAGGAAAAGTAACTGCAGAGGGAAATCCGATTGTTGTTTCTTCGGGAAGTAGCTCGAAGGCGACAGTCGGTTCACCAACTGGCGATGGAGTGCGCGATGTTCGCGACGACCGTAGTTGGAAAGCTTATGTTTCACAGATGGATTCTACCTTAGCAAATTCGCTACTGGTGAACGGAGAGGACTTAAGTATGGCGTCCAATCTTGGGTTTTTGTACGACTATTACGAAGTCACCGAGGAGTCAAACCCAGCACCCCCTTCTCCTTCTAATCAGGGGTACGTTTTTTTACGCCATGTTTGGTTTAGATAGTGACACAAATCCTGTATAACTCATCGCAGTGTAAGGGACCGATCAGAACTGTTTATCGTTAGCCTTTTTTTATATCCCATGTGGTTAATAAAACCTGGCGAACCAAAAGGTGGATTGATGAATGTAAGCTTTTACGCTTGCTTTGTTGTTAAGCTTATATAACATTTTTTTTGAATAGAAGTCGCTGTAGGTTTTTTCCTCTCGATCATTAAAACCAGTAGTGTTTTGATGTGTCATAATAAACTGTACGCGTCGATGGATCATGTTTTGACAAATACTTTTTTGTTGTCAGGAAAAAGGTATTTACTTTCTGATCCGTACATTTATATTTTATGTCCCGCTTTGATTCAAGATGTTGAGCCAAGTTCATGTAGTTTTACTTTTTATTACATAATATTTTATGCATAGGAACAGGAAACACGCATCACGAGAGGCAAGTCTAAGTGACACTTACAGACTTAATATTTGCCTGTGGAGATGTTACAAAATTTATTTATCCAAACATCTTCTGAAGGTTTATTGAGTTAGACCATGTGTGCATTTGTAGGTGACATAGGTTATCATTGGTTCAAACCTTGGAAAGCGCTCTCCGCCAGATAAAAATCTGTCCAGTGGATTACGCAATAATATTGATTTCCCTAATACTTATCCACTGGATAGTGATTTATCCAGTGAATAGCGCTATCCAATGTTTGAACAACCGGGGCTAGGATGGTAAAGGACAGGAGACGTCAAAACCTTGTGTGACAAGCATGACAGTAATTATGTTTGAAAAAATTTTCTGTCAAACTTCCTTGTAATAAATCTTTTTGTAAAAGACCAGAACACAGTCATGTTAAGTGCATCCTTGGAGACCCAAGGGCAGTCAGTGGGGCTGGGAGAAAAGGTGGGACAAAAGTTTTCAAGCGTGGGTGGAAGAGCCCCTGGGTACTGACTCTCACCAGACCATTTCCAAAGGGTCAAGCGAATGCTGGCTCCTGATTTGGCACAAAAATGCTTTGTATTATTGTGCCCAATCGGCAAATAGGATCTCCTGAGTTATTCTCATGAGTTCGTACACGACAGCTATTGACTCGATCACGGCTTGTCTGGTTCATGCACCAAAGAAATGCATGTAGTCAGGAAACTTTCTGTTTGATATAAACTCCCCATTTCAAAGTACTGCCTACCCTAAAACTAAAACAAGGAAACGTATTTAAGGGTATTTTTATTACAACAGGTATTCACAATTACGTAAATATTAGGGAGTTTAAGATGCGACGATAGCTGATGATCTCAAAAATGTCGCTTGAAAAGTGAATTCGCGTTTTTTCAGTCTCTATCGTGATTATTCCAACACGCTTACTTTGACCTGACTGACTGCCCCTGGGTCTCCGAGGATATGATAAGGGAAGATCGCAGTGAAACACGCAACTAGTAGCCCTGTCATGTTACTTGCACACAGATTTTCTGCCTTTCTCTTCTTTCTACTGTCCTATTGGATAAGTGAACTACAGTGGTAGCTCTCTTAATGGACACTGTCGTAAGCAGATTGGACAGTTCTACTTACGGCCGCGTTCACAAAACCCTGTTACTCTCAACTCCCATACAAACTCTACATTTTTACATTTACCAGTTATGGACACTTTTTGCGTGTTCGAAGGGTGTCCTCTTACAAGAGCTCCCACCGTACAATTAAAGCAGACCTCTTGCATAAACTAGTCCTGTGCTATAGGACACAACTTTCTTTGCATGGGGTCACTTTTTTCGTTTATCTATACTGACCAAGAGCCTGGCACAGGCCACGTTAAGGTTGCCCTTAAAGTACAAGGCAGATGAGGTAGTCTGCTTCCCAGAGGCTCATACAATCTATCTTGGAACTGTATATTCCTATAGTACATCTGGGGGGAACAGTGGACAGGCAAATTCATCAGCTGGAAACAATCACTCTCAAGGAGCAAACAGTGATTCTGATTCTGGGAGTCCATCACAATCTGAGGTAAGCCATTAGAAATCAGCTTGGGAAGCTCTTCAGGTTCTTCCATGGGTCCAAACAAGAAGGTCACATCATGCTGATCACTGCATCCTATGCAAAGAGTGCAAACTAAGATTAGTCGTGACAAGGGACCATAAAAGAATAACTAAAGCTACAGTGTGCAGTGTGTATTTTTTCAAACCATGTTAAATTTGACACCTTTCATAATGTTAACAAGGCTGTGCTTTAACAGCACCCGGTGGCCCATGGTGCCTAACTTTTTCTCCTGGGTGAATAGAAAATCTAAGAGTCAGTTATTTAAATGAAGTCTTTGGACCTCCAGATCTTGTCCTTAGCGGTTTATTTTAAGAATAGAAATGTTTTTCTATTCTACGCCTTATGCCTTCAAGCAACTTTTCATGATAAATAGTGTTAAGATAAAAGCATAAGGTAAACTGAAAATGACTTAAAACATGGTTTTGTTAAACACTGGCTAAACTCTGTGTAATAACTGGCCCCAAGTTTTTTCATAGAAGTAATACACAGGGCACCTTGGATTTCACAGTTTCAGAACATTGGGCTCCCTTCAATTTTTCTTAGAGCGCAATTATTTATTTATAATCATTAAATACTATTCTGCTTTCCTCAGCAAGCCACTCTTAGTTTTCTGCAAGCAGTACAGCAAATTAAAAGCCCAAAGCACAGGTAAGAGTTCAGAGGTTTCTTGTGTATCCCACTTGTGCAAAGGTCTAGCTAATGTTTGTCAATGTTATCAACCTGGAACTAACGTTAACCATTTAAGTCCCAATAGTGACCAAGATCAATTTTCTCCGAACAATATCCATACACTGTCAAGAGATAAGTTATAACAATTAATAAAATGATCACGTGAGAGAAAATGCCCTGATCTGTCATCAAATTCTCTCAAGTAATTCCTTAAGGAAATGCATGGAGATCAGTTTGGAGAATTTGTATGTTGATACTGGGGCTTAAAGGGTTAATAGCTGTTCTGTTGAGATGAGAGAAGCTTATTGGTAGTGAGCAAGCTCTCTGTTAGACAGTAATTAAACAAACAAGTGTTCAACGGACTGGCTCACATACAAAACCCAGTAGGGAAATGTATTATGATAGATCATTCTTAGCTGTGTTTTTGAGTGACTGTCCATCTTTTGTTATTTCAGTGCGTCATCAGTCCAAAGTGACCATGGCAACCACCATGTTACTCCTAAACAAGAAAAAATCCCGTCAAACATAAAGGTACTTTAAAAATGTGTAATGTTTTATTATTTTTATTTGTGATGCGATAAAACTTTTTCTGGTTGTAGTTGTGCTTAATTTCATTGGTGATTTGTACATAGCATTTCACTTCTATTTGTTTTTTTTAATTTTCTCTTCTTCAGGCCATTGCCATAGGGCAACAAATTAAAGTACAGCCAAGGTAAAATTATTTTCACTATGTTAGTATTTTTTGTTTAGATTGTAGTGGAAGATATTCATTTGTCTAAGGTGTGTGCAATTTTGTTGCCAGTTTTGTTTAAATTTTCCTTTATTTTTGCTCATAGTCATACATTAACTTACATAGAAACAGAGGAAAACAATAAATTGAACCAGTCATGAATAATTTGGACGTCAACATTAACCACCCAAGATAATAGAGATCTTGAGATACACCGTTTTCATGTATGGGTATGGGTAAATTACCCATATGCATAGCCATAAATACGGGTAGGTTGCCTCTTACCACAGAGAAATGGTTAGGCTACCAGTTAGAACGGTAACACCATTATCATGTATGAAAAATAATGGTTGCCTTTCATATAACCATGTGGCAAACATGGTCGTCTGCCCGTACCCATAGGCAGAAACGTTTCGTCTGCAGGTCACTATTATCAAGGTAAACGAGTCCCACTCACATAGTAATGAGAAGAACTGACATGATAGGAGGGAGGAAGTTTAAAGAAACTGCATCTATAACATACTGTATTCAAATCACTTGAGATTGATTAGCCTAAGAAAACAGCCAACATTTTGCAACTTCACCACTGGTTTCCATGCAAAATGACATCTGAGGAACAAATGCAGAAATTCCATACTCATGAGGTGTCACTACCCAGGAGCACATTTTGGTGGGTTTCAACTTGCCACCCCAATGCTCCTGCTTCATTGTTAAAAATCGTGTGCTTTTCTTTTTCACTCTTTTGTAACAGTACGTCTAGTTGTAGTCATGCACCCATTTCCATTGGACGTCCGTCTTCGTACCCACCTTCCACAAAAGGAAACCCACAAGTTAGTGATGTGTCGCCACTTTCTCTCAGCACCACACCTCCCGAGGTTAGTTTTGGTATACACCAGGAGTCCATAACCTGTACAGTAGCAATAAATGTGCAAGTACTTGTGAGACTCTGCACGGGTATTTCGGAGGAAATCAAAGTCCCACTCTTGATGAGGCAATGATCATAGAGATTACACCAACAATTGCAATGCCTTTGCGATCAAGTTTGACAATGTTAATGATGTGCAACAACAGCAAAAAAATGTACAAAAAGTGTGCTTTACATTCAAAGTATTTGTTTTGTTTATTAAATCAGTTCCTTTCTTTATATTCTTGTTTTCATCATCATCATTGTGGTTGTGCAGGCTCACTAGTGGCAATACCAAAAATAACAATTACTTCTGGTATTCAACAATTTTGTAGAAAAACCAATAATTCGATGGAAAATGCCAGGTTACCCATAGAGAGGTTCACCAGTGTCACAGCATAATCTCCAACCACTTTTGCAAGAATGATTTTGGTCCAAATTTAGAATATGTGTTAGGTCCCACAAACCTGTCAGCAAAACCTACAGGCCTGAAAATGGTATTTTTTTTACCTTTTAATGGCTTTAAGTTTTCCTTTGTGATATCTTATACTTGCAATGCACTCATAGAGAGAGCAGAGCTTCAATTTCTGAGGGAAAAAGTGCTCTAAAATGAATGAAAAAATAAAGTGATCCGAAAAATGCCGTAACGTCAGCTTAGTATGAGAAAAGCTCACTCTGAGTTATTATGTGCTCTTGTACGTACAGTGTTCTAGAAACTGATCAGTATTGGTGACAAATTCAATATCATCCACAATTTTCCAACCACCAGTTACATTGTTTGGTTTGTAAGTTAATCCTAGTATTCTTTGTGATGTTTGTTCGTATTTTTTGTGTACAGGCTTTTAACTTCTCTCCATACACCCAGTCGCTGAAATCCACACCTACAGTTTTCTCAGCTCAAGACAAGTACGTGTGACTCCTATTATTGTGTTTTCTAATTCTCCTTTCCCAGTTGCTCCTGGAATCATTTTTACTCAAACTTTAGGATAAAAAAGAGCAATTACTAGGCTTACTTTTAAGAGACATATATATCTTTTTAACCTTGCAAAAAGAGGTCATATATACTTAATGAGTGAACAGCCGCTACATCGTATAGCTATATACTGCAAAAATTATTTGCTCACTCATAAGTAAGAAGTTTTTGAAAAAGACATTTGAGTGCATAAAATACATATAGTTACTGTGAATGTTACCTTGATTTAGGTATACGTTCATACTCGAAGCTCCTACGTCTATAATTCAAAGAAGAGGGGATGACACCTTAACATATCTAAACAAAGGTATGGCTTGATCAGAATGTTTGTGATGTTCATTAACCTTACAGAGTTTTTATTTATCCTCTTAACTTCTTGTTCAGTGTTATGCTTAACTTTTTTCTTTGAATTTGTTTAACTATTATATTTTCTCTCTTGTTTAGGACAATTTTATGCCATAGGCTTTGAGGGAAATGTAGATCCTCCTTCCACAGATGGTGACATTCAGAGAGTCAAGGTATGACATTGTTGTTCGACAAGAAGCTTAGAATTTTTTAAAAAGTTTGTGGGAGCTACAGTAATGAAGAGAATTCAGTAAATGAAAAAAAAAGGTAGATGTTAAAACTTATTGTAAGATAATTTGAATCAATATCAATGTATTATTGTTAGCGTTTTGTATTCTATACAACACATGTGTGTTACGGGGTCTCTGAATCTGTACAGAGCACCAAGCAAAATCAAAAATGACCTGAAATGGCCTCGCAAAATCACCTTTGTTTGTTGATCATATTGGTCTCATACTGTTATAGTCCTGACTGATTGTAGTGTCTGGAGTTAAACAGTTTCAAGACTGCGTTGACCACATAATTTTTCTTTTACATTCCCACAGTCATATGTTCACTTGGTTTTCCGAGACGAGAAAGATCCAAGAACAGAATGTGAACACTGGCAATACTGGCACAGTCAGCAACCAAATCCTCAACAGCGCGCATTTGATATTGGTAAGATAATGCTAAAAATGCATATCTCGCAAACTCTCACAATGTCCTCTGTAAAACATTGTTGTCTTGGAAGTGTAACGCCAAAAGCATTTCTTGATCACCAAAATGGTCACAAAAACAGTCACAACAATGGCCGGCAAATTTGTCCCTTGATGAAATTATAATGGACACCCAGAGATACACTGTATATCGAAATATATATGGGCCAAGTTTGCATACTGCTTTGATCCATGTGCTGCACACACAACAAATTTACGAACCTTTGCTTGGCAAAGAAATATTCTCATGCCCTGAATCAAATGAGACAGTAGTGTCATTAACATATTGTGTAAAACCTTGCATGTAACAATCGTTAATTTATTTGTTATTGCATCTTATTACTAGTGAACATCAGAAATAATTATCCTCTTCAACAGGTTTTTTTTCTGTATGAGTTGTCATCAAGATCGTTACATTCCTTATCTGGATATGTTGTCATGTGACAAATGACTGATTAATGTCCGTAATCTTGTAATTTTGTAATAATTTGTAACCTAGTTAACTGTTTTACTACCTGTCTTCAAATTCCTCCTTCAGATCGAAAGTCATGCCAGAATATTGAAGAAAATATCGACGAGATATCTTACAATGCTGCTGGGTTTACATGGAGCCCTCACCTGAATGCAAAGATAGTAATCAGAATTAACTGCTTGAGTACAGATTTCTCCTCACAGAAGGGTGTCAAGGTAGGAAATTCACCTTTTAATTTGTTTTTTTCTCCTTTTGAGGTTCATTGTAACGTGGCATACCTGGGTTGGTGTAAAAGCAACTACGACTGTTTAACTGTGACAATAGACGGATCGAAACACACCAATTACTGATTACAAGTCTTCATAGCCAGTAACATCACGGCTTAACTGATAGACGACCAGTAACATCGCGACATAATTGACCAGTCAGATCAATAACCAGAGTATAATACCATCAACTGACGTGATACAACTCACTTTGACTCTGAAGGTGACTACCCCACAGGAAACGTCAGTCACTGTCAACAACAACAGTCCTATTCAGGACTACGTTCGCCAGGATGATCAAACTCAACCTACTTTTGAAAAGCAATAAAGTTACAAATACATTGAAACCTGTATGAAGCAGACACGTGCACGAACCTTTGCGAGTGTACAAGTTACTTGTAGTTTTTCAAATCACTGTACCTAACTAACAGTATGGATCCATGCACCATTTCATCATAACCAATTCCACGTTAATTTTTCTCTTTGAGCAACAAGTGAAATGTTTCCGATGCAAAGGCCTACATCGATCTAACCAAGACAGAACTTTGAGTTTCCATTCCGCTAAAAGTCCCTTAGTTATAGCTCCAAAATAGGATATCGTAGTGTAATATGACAATTTGCTGACAGTTTAATACACCATGATATTTGTGTGTTCTTTTATATTTCCAGCAGGATAAATAATATCAAAGTCGAACAATCATGTGTCATTCAATGATAGCATAGTTGTTTATGTACTTTAAGCATCTCGTAGTGTCCACTTGTTAATCAAGGCTCTTCTAGATACATAAACTATGCTGAAGTGAGTCTTACAAGGCTAGTTTTTTCTGAGTAATAATAGTTGTGGATTGTTTTCTTGGTAGGGCATCCCTCTTCATCTCCAGATTGACACTTATGAAGACATAAACAATCCTGATGCTGAACCAATTCACAGGGCTTTCTGTCAGATTAAAGTATTTCGGGACAAAGTAAGTACTGAAAACAGAGATGCCAACCTCTGGAGATCTGAAATCTCTCTTTTGAATTTGGCTAAAGACCAAACTAATGTACAGAAAAGTACAAAATTCAACTTTATCGGGAAAGTTTGGTGACCCCAGGGTTTGCAAAGTCTTGAAAAGTCCTTAAATTGCTATGCCAGTCCTTGAAAAGTTCTTGAATTTTCTTCAACTTTGAATGTAGTAGCCTGGAAAGTGTTTTTTTCATGCTTTTTGGTTGTCCAAGACAGAATATGAATCATAGCTCAGAGAATTTAAAGGTTGTTTACACAAAGTGCTCAATGTTTTATGCAGTAATTAACTATCAATTCCAGACAAATGAACTGAAAAATATAGAGAAGTTGGTGAAGCAAACAGTTCAAGCCTTGAAGTCCTGTTAGAATAGACTGGGAATGTGCGTTTTTGTACAATCTGTGAAATTATATTCCTAGTAGGTGGTCCTTGAAAATCTAATGTGGTCCTTGAAAAATGGTTGCAGTTTTTTGTATGAACCGTGGACCCATATGGGAGTGGAACATCTGGGCTCTTTACAGGAGAATCCTGGTTAATCTGGGAGAGTTGGCGTATAATGTATTAAGTTATCATCAAATAACAACATACTCATTGAGAATGAGGTACATTTTTGTGCCCATGTAAAAAGGCTGCTGTTATTCTTACAGGGTGCAGAACGAAAGAACAAAGATGAGTCAAAAAGTGCAGAAAAGAGAATTCAGAAATGGGTGAAACAAAATACATCTGCTTGTGCTGGTGAGTGTTTATCTGAGAGTTTTTTTCCCATACCAATGCTTGATGGAGCTGTAACCAATGCTTCACTGGTTAGCATCTTTGTTTTTAATTGTGGTGTGTTTTACATGTAAGTGTTTAGTTGTGTCATCCTGCATTTTAAGGAATTGCAGTTGTAGAACACTTGTTGCCACTTTATTAACTCTGTTTCAAAAGTTCCTTCTTTATAATAATTGAATGATTTCTTTTCAGATCCCAACATGGTTTCACCTACAACTCTGTTTCATCCTCCAAGTAAATACACCCAGCTTCAGACAACAACCCCATTAGGACCCAAGCCAGTTCTGTTTACACCAGCTGTACACAATGTGCATGTGAGTAAATTTACAGAATACTACACTGTAGATCTAGACATTTGACATTTGATCATTGCACTGAAAACCTTAGGCAGATGATGCACAGGAAATTATACAAAAGTGATTATGACACACTCAGATTTAATGATCAGTGAGATCCATGTCAGAGCAACAAATTGATCACCAAAACTTAGTTATAATCCTTCCTACATGCTTTCGCATAAATTCTCATTCACATTTTATTGCCTTTGCTAAATAGGCCTAGGTATTTGTGCCAGGTTTTAGCTGACAATACTGTGAAATGATCTATAATGTGTAAAAATTATATGAAATGCATTCAAAATGTGAAATGGAGTGGAGAAGTGACAAGTGTAACAGGACATCAACAGGATTCATACCTATGATCATTGTATTAGTAATATTACTTTTAATCCCAAGAGTTTGAATCAGTTTACCTGAAGTACTGATTTCCAATTATTTATGTCTTCACCTTCTCACTCATCGCCTTTTCCTCTTTGCTTACAGGGAGGATTTGAAGAATCTTCTCTGCAGACTTTGTCCCTTTTGGCATCAATTAAGTAAGTATTTTCTTGTGAATGTGAATAGCTTTTGAGTTACTTATGAACAATAACATTGCTTAGTATGTCAATTACCAGAGTTGTGACTTTGTCCTTTTGCCTACTTTAGGGATCGAGAAAATAAAAGGACACTGCAATCACATCTTGTCATGGCAAAGGTATTTTGAGAACTTGTTTTCATGCCTCCTCCTACAAGTAGTATTCTATGATATTTTGAAATTTTCTTAATATGCCTGTTGGTTCCCTTCATCTCGCAGGATGAGCTTGCTGATTTAGAGGTTGTTCCCAGGGTAAAAGTTCAGAAAATCCACAGACCCAATAGACCAGGTTAGAGACAAAATATTTCTTCTGCCAAAGTGTTTCACATCTCTCAGGAAAAATGCATTTAGAAAAAAACAGGGTGCAAAGAAAGTCAAATGCAATGTGACACTTGTTTCTGCAGTTGTCACTTCTGTCAGATCAACTTGCAAAACAGCTTTCAGTCCACGTGAAATTATTAGGAATGTCAATTTGTCTGACAGTTCTTAATGTGTAATTTTAATTTCCAAGAAAACTTACTGGCCGGTGGGTGGAATTTACTAGACTGGTTGTAAAATACACTAGAGTTGGGCTATCGGGCATGACTTTCTTTCATGCGGAATAACCATCCATATTAAAATCCCAGTAGCACTGGACATCCTGGTACTAGAAATCTAACTGTGGTGTTTCCTTCCTTCCACAGCTGTTACCATCTATGTGAAGAAAGAAGAAGAAAAAGTGTACAATGCATTGATGCTGGACAGCTTGACAGTCGGCGATATGGTTGAGGCAGTAAGTTCTTTTGTCTTATCATACCTAATATTCACCGGAAACATCAGTAAATATTCATGCTTGTCCTTTCTTTTAGCCTCTTATCTGCATTTTAATCTTCTGAGTGATCGTTGTTAGAGCTGAGTAAGAACATTTTCAAAATTTATTTTCTTTGTAGGTTGCTAGTAAATATGGCATGCCACCTGAAATGATCAAGAATGTGTACAAAAAGACAAAGAAGGGGTAAGCTATTAAGCAGTGATGTCAATGCACAGTTTCTATATTGTTCCCCATAAATTTCTTTTGACCCTTGTTTGGAGAACTTGCATACATGTATGCTTATATAATACAGTCATTGTAAAAAGTACAAAATGTAGTTTTATCCACTGAAATGTCAGTTGAATTTTAATTATGCCTTTAAAAACATTGAAAAGCTGACGTTTTGAGCTTGGGTTTGGTTGCAAATTTTTGCGTTTCAGTCACTCCCCCATTAACACAGCACCTATTTTGATCTGTATCTCTTAATGAAAAAGGGACATTTCTACCATTTACTAGTATAGGGGGGGAAGGAGGGCCCGGAGCATTTGGAAATATGGTTTTGACCCATCCCTCGCACAAAAATGATACCCACCCCTCAAGGTTGGAAATGCATGACCCACCCCCTAAAAACATGGACATAATAATCCAATAAAACCTTGTTCTGTGCTTTACAAAATTTGTTGATACACTTTTTATCAAAATCACAGAAATCATACCTTTCACTAAAAAGACAAATCGAACAGTACGTGAGTCTTGATCAAATTTATAGTTTATCTGTCACAAAGCATATGAAAATTTCAACAAAGACAACCCATTCCTACACATTACTTGCCGGAAATGCTTAGATTAATCCTCAACGAAAATTTCTTCCACTTGAGTGGAAAGCAATACCTACAAAACCATGGAACTGCAATGGGTACAAAGACAGTAGTTTGGATTCTTTTGCCAATATTTTCATGACATATATTGAAACAACAACTCTAAGCAAAACTGTCTTTAGAACAACAGTTTGGAAATGCCACACACGATATCTTTGCCCTATGGGACATGAGTAAACCAGACATCGAAGCCTTCATTGAACAAGCAACCTTACATCACCTAACTATTGAATTCACGGCGAAACATTTGACACTGAGACTGCGTTTTTTAGACACTGTTGTATACAAAGGCACAAGATTCAAGGAAAAATCTATCCTTGATGCAAAGACACATTTTAAACAAACGGAAAGCTTCTTGCACACACATTTCACCTCGTGTCACCCTCCAAATGTTAAAAAAAGAATTTGTCAAAGGAGAAGCCTGAAGAATCCTACTGAAAAAACTCCTCAGAAACAACCTTTGAGGAAAATAATTCAAATTTTTGACGGACGGAGGCTACCCACAATCTTTCAGGGGCACCCAACGTCAATTTTCGGAAAATATTTGTTCGAAAGACGATTTGAGATCTAGAATTTTCGGTACATTTGTTGTAAAATTTCTTGCTTGTCTGCCCCTCCTAGGATTTTCAAACATCTAAAAAAATGGTATAATTGCCCATTTTTAACGGATTTTTACCCTAAGGTCACCTAGAATTTTCGGGAGCCTTTTTTCTGGCTGAAATTTTCGAATAGTTAAGTTTTGATCCCTATAATTTTCGTATCACTAGACTTTCAGCTAGGAGATCCGAACAGATGAAAAATTTTTAGGGGATAAAAATATGCCTATATCTACTCTTTAAATACTAAAATATGTTTAACAATGCTATGTTTAAGTGGTTTTGAACCATATTCTCGTTGGGTGCCCCCTATCTTTGATAGAAAACCTACTATCAGAAATAAAATTCACAAACGGGAGTCTAAACTTGTAAAACAAAACAACAAGGAGAAAAAAGAAATATTGCCATTTGTGACACAATACCAGCCCTCAGTGTAGATACTATAAAGGAAGCTTGAATGAAAAAATGGAATCTTATACAAAACCAACTATACCTTCAATAAATTTTAAAAGAACCCCCAATCATTTCGTTACAAAAAAGGAAAATTGTTTACGGAACATGCTCGTTAGAGCCGAAAAAAAAAAAAGGTTGACAGAGGGTTCCACGCCCGTATAGATGTGCGGCCTGTCAACCTTTGTATTTTCTCGCACAAAAGGGTTGTGAGTATTTTAGCAATAACTCCAGCTGGCTGTGTTTTATACAACAAGTGTAGTCAACTTTCTCGGTAGTAGTTAGTAAAAAATAGGGTGACCCACCCCCTGAGGGTAGCTGAAAATTGCACGACCCACCCCTTGCACAAGGCTCAAAACCTCATGACCCACCCCTCTCTGCTCTGGCCCACCCCCTATACTTTTTGACCAGTCCCTTATTATCTGAGCTAGAAAGAAAATAAGAAAAGAATAAAAATGCATTTGTGTTTGAAATATTTACCTTGGTTTTTTCCCTTTCTTTCAGTATCCTTGTGAACATGGATGATCGAATGATTGAACAGTTTGTCGACGAAGATGATTTCATCATAAACTTGGATTTTGACAATCAGCTTGGGCATTTTGAGTTAACTCTTCAGTATTGAAATCACCCCATACCATCAAAGGCCAAAAACTATATTATATATAAATATTTTTCCTTTGCTCCGACATCCTTAATGTATTCTTTCTTTCAATTATTAAGCTTAACATATGTGAAGTGAAAGTATAACATGTAGGGTTATTACCGGTACGTTATTATTTAATATCTTCTTGGCATATGGGAACCTGTAAAACCTCACTTCTTCAAGTTAACCCTTTTACAAGCATACAGGAAAAATGCTTGATTTCTCTTTTGTAAAGTATTGAAAGACAGATAGTGTCAAAGTACTGCTGAAGAAGTCTCATTTGAATTGTCACACCATAGAAAATTAGTCCACAAACATAAAGTTAGAACCACATACAAAACAAAAGAACCTTGTAAAAGTACTGTTACATTATATGGTTTTATCAGACTGGGCTCATGATAGGGATTAAGTCCAGAGTCAAATGTTATAGCGACAGTATGTACAAAACAAATAATTAATAGTATCATGTTAAAGTACAGCTAAAGATGTTTCATTTGAATAGCTACACTGTAGGATGTCATCTACAGACTCAAAAGTTAGAACAACTTACAAAGCAGACAGTGCTATGTGAAAGTACTGCCGAAGGTTCTATTTTAAAAAAGGCCACATGACAGGATTTCATCCTCAAACTCAAAAGTTACACAAAAATGGATGTAACCATTATTATTATTATTATTATTATTATTATTATTATGGTAGTACAAACGTCTGGATGCCCAGAGTAAATTATTATTATTATTTTTATTATTAGCTTTGGAGAGTGAGAGGATTAAGTAAGGTAAAAAAAATTCATTTTTACTCTAAAGAGATATAGGTAACAGTAACATTATGATAGCTTAGTCTCAAAGTGACCATTTATCATGAGGTCATAAAATCACATAGTAATTTCATAAAAAACAAACTTGTGTCTTGTATCAAACAGCGCCACAAGGTAGTATTGCTAAAGAGACTTTTTCATGTGAAGAGCAATGTACCAATCCATACTATATGAAAATACTAAAGGAGAAGCTTTCATTCATTTTATATTCCATTTGTCACACTTAAGAATTTGAGCTTAAAATTAAAAAGCTCCTTTACTACATTAAAGCTAAACCTAACATATAGATTGTAGATTTGAAACAATTTTCAGACTGGCATCAAACATGCTCTCCTCACTCGTCAGCTTTCAGGTAAAAGGAAAAATGGCTGATCCAGAATGTAAAAGCAGTCTGGCAGAAGAGTAGATCAAAACTTGTATTTTATTATAACGGTTGGTTACCATTGATAGAGAAGTTTTATAATGCAGTTTTGCTGGGAAAGATTTAGATTCTATTAAGGTCTTCTTGTCTCGTTGTGAAGAAGTTTTGTTAAGAAGTTAGGGTAGCTCCTTTGGTATGCATACATTAAAAGTGCCAACGTTTTGCAATAAATTGTATTGAGATTAACATTGTAGAATGTTGATAGTTTGAACCTTGAATGATTTTTATTTTACCCCTGGAATAAACTGAGCTATTCATCCACCCAACATAAGGCTGTGTGGAGTGAAGCGACAACTGAAGTTCACAGGCTGGCTAACATAGGGTCCACTTAATACAGACTTTGCTGTATATAATAAATTTATACAGCATTGAAATACCAGGTGAGCTTCTGTGAGAAAACATGATATCTTCACATGTGAAAATAACTTGTTTATCTTCCCACATGAAAAGATAACCATTGCTTATAATTACATAAAAAGTCATGTCTATTGCAGCAAAAAATATATATTTTGTTTTTTATAAGTATTTAAAAAATAAAAGAACATTACATGGTTGCTTAGAGATATGACATTTCTTTTCATGTTGAAAAATATTTGACCTGTTCGCTTCACTCATTTTTTAATTTTTTTTTCATGACTTGAAGAGAAATTGTGTCTCCCCTCAGCTATGTAGTAAGTAACTAGTCAATCGAGGATAAGCGTGATTCACATAATTATTAGGGGCTCTACATCTAACCCAAGTGCTTCCCTAGTAAATAATTAATGAGTAGAAACAACTTAGAGACGACTGGGGAGGGGCTTCAAGGTTGGAAACAGTGTAATCCTGTAATGTAACACAATTCGTAAATGTTAAAACAACCAATGAAAAACAACTAATGTGCATATACCATAACCAGTTTTGACAGCAAATCTTCCTATTTTTGAATACCTAAGAAAATTTCTGAACAAATTACACTACCCAAAAAATGAAGCCAAAATCTTCTCTCTAAAAAATAGTTTGCATCATCCGGTCACCGTATCCCAGGCATACCCCCCACTTGGCTTGCCAGATTAAACATATTTTCAGAAAAATCAACATCCAAGATCAATATTGTTTCCATTCTTTATTTTTTTACACCAATGTTATACTTTATACTCAAAGATCAACTGCTGAAACAAACTAAAGCTTTAATAATGCATAGTTGGGCTTTCTAGACCAAAGCCCACTATCAGCAAGAAACGTCGAGCATGCAGAGAATGTGATTACGTAACACAAATTTATGATTGTATGGTGATTTTTTGCCAAAAATTTAGGCTTTATGCCAAAAAATCCTTTTGAATAAGTGTCACAAATAAATGAATTATACAAGTAATTCAATAATATTAGATGCACGTTTAACAATGGATTTGAAGTCACACAAAAACATGATCAACCATCAAGTCACACAATTCATTTGCTTGGAGATGTTTATGAAGTTTAAATCAAGTACACTGTAGCAGCTATCAGTAAAATTACTGCGCTGAAGCCTGAGGCTAGCTCGGATGCTGAAGACCTTATCAAAATTATCTCTCTAGCTCTTTTCTCAGCAACCTTCCTGTTGATGTTAGTTGTACCATTTGGCCACATGGTCATGCAATCTTCACCTTTGACGCCTGCGGTGTATTTCCACGAGTAGTTAAACAGCCTGTTGCAGAACGTTTTCGCATCACCATAGTATTCTTGGAAGGTCTTGCATGGCTTCTTACACATGTTTCCTTGCTTCGTCCAGTTCCAAGTTTTCTGATCCCCCCAGTTATCCGAGCAGGTGTAGTCACCTTTGCAAGCTTCGTACCATGCATCACAGTCTTCGCTGCACATAGGAACATTTTGAAAGCGTTCCTTTCGCGTTACCTTCGACACAGTGTCACGTGTAATCCAGGGGTTCATGTATGGAGAGCATTCGTACATGCATGTATCCACTTCGAAGAATCGACGGCACTTCGGTGACATGGTTTTGCTACACTGATCCCAATGCATGCGGTACAGAGAGAACACGCCGTCTTTTTTGATATTAAACGTCGTGTTCGCCGTGCAGCACGCGTGGTTCTTCCACGGCGTGCAGTGGAAAGTCTGATTAAACACATCAGCTTCGGGCCCTGGTTTCTCTTTATGGTGCTTCGAGTCGATGCAGACATCCAAAAACTCTTCAATCTCCCTGTCTGTTACGGCCAACGATGAAGTGATCGCACAGAGAAGCGCCAGGAACACGTACAGCTTCGCCATCGTAGATTGATCACTTGCTAATAAACCACGTGCTAAACAAACGAGAACAAAACTATTATGATGCAATCAACAATACGATGTCAAAATGCACGGACCTATGTACTGACAATTCTATAAAACGTAAGAGCGATGTATAATTAAGTTGTTTTTTTTTTAACATTGTCGGAAATAAACTCACCAACTCCTAAACATGCTATGGAACTGCCTGATCATGTACTCAGCCTTCTGCGTTTAATCTTTGGGAGATTTCGGCTCCACCAATCAGCGTGCAGTAATTCTCGCGGGAATTTAGAAGGAAAGCATAAACAAATGACTTTGTAATAAACCTTCTGAAATTCCATTTCCTCCTCTGAAAAACATACGGTTTATTTCCGAGGATATATAAACAAATGCTGTTATTCGGTTAACAAGCTTTGACTGCCCTGGAACATTTTCGAATTTCACCGTAAACAAAGAATCCCGTCAAGCGCAAATGACGAAAATGCCAACTGGGGTGCAAAACACCCTCTGTGAGTACCCTACGATTTTGGCTAAAACTGAGTATAGGGGGCACCGCATTAAGGGAAATTAGGAGGGGAAAATACTCTCTTGACAGGTGCAGTATATGTTGGGTGAGTTTCAAGTAATTTCGCCGGGACAGGGTATGAAAAATCCGATGATATTCGCCTAGTTAAGCGTGTCATTTCTCTGCGAGGCAAGGTTTATTTTTGGCATGGTTTTTAGCATTTCTCTGCGAGGCAAGGTTTATTTTTGGCATGGTTTTTAGCATTTGCCAAGTCGCTCGCGTCGCTAACAAGCTTGCCTGCGTGCAGACGTCTCCTATTTCCTTTGTTGCACGCGGAAAAGGTTTCCGCGTGCAACAAAGAAAATAGGAAACGTCTGCACGCAGGCAATAACAAGCTACTACGCGAAACTAGGGGACTCCGCGTATGTTAGAAAGGTGCCGGAAAGAAACGAAGGGGTAGGGTGTCATGCCCCCCCGGTTCCCCCCCCGGCATGCCCGTTTGTGGGAAACTAATCAGTGGTATGAAGATTGGGAGTTTCTGGTTAATCTAGGATAGCGTAGGGATTTTTTGGTCCTTAGGCTTACAGTAACAGGTCTAAAATATAGTAGAAATAAAAGGTGATTGAATAAGTTTCGGTCAAGAGCCCCACAGTCCCAGCGCCCAGCGGCACATCCCCTCCCAAATTACTCAGCCAATTTCGCGATTCCCCCGTGGAGTGTACTAAAATAACGAATGAGTGATACAGTCCAGCGAAACACTGGAATAACAGGATTTTTTTTAGGAGGGGGTGCTTTTGCTTAAAAAAATATATATTGCATCGGCTGGTCAACAATCGAAAATATTCCTTGTGGACATGCAACCCCTGGTTTTCCTTCGAATGGGCAACAATGGGTGTTTCGCGAACTGTATGTCAATATTTTCGCAGTCGATTCAAAAGCTTAAGATCCATTTAATTGCGTATTATTCAAAACTCAAACCTTCACGTACAAAAATCGTTGAGAAAGTTTCGAGTTATCGACTGAAATTCATCGTGAAAATTACTTGATCAAGCAGAAAGATAAGGTAAAAACGGGCCTTTTTTACTGCAGTGAATTTGAACAAATTTTAATCACATTTAACTGGTAGAAATGAAACAAATAAATCTCCGCGCCGGATGAAAATTAGAAGATGACAGGTCGCCGATCTGAAAGATTTTATAATCAGAACGTAACGTAACAAAAACATAGACCGATAAATAGAATCAATGCGTTTTACTGTTTTGAGAAGTCTTTCTTTGTTACCAGTCGTTTGATACCCTGGGTGCCAGAAACTTTTCATGCCCGGTTTCCGGTTTAGCCTGTGACAATTTTCAAAATCAGGCCAAATTAGTAAACCAATGACGCTATGATATGACAACACGTTAGAAATGGGAAATAAAATAAAATTCAATGTTTCGGACGCCAGTACAAACTTTAACACGATATGTTACCGCTTGTTTTCCAGATTCTATAAAGGGCTCAAAACATGGTTCGAGAAATCGGAGGGCAAAAAAATTATATGACAAAAAAGAAAATGTAAAACCGTTAATCGTCAAGGGAAACGAAAATTGGTGTGAGTTAGAGGGAGTCCGATTTATCAAGGGTTCGAGTTACCGAGGGGTAAAATGGGGACGGTAAATATCTACTTCAACACCAATGACGGCAGAATACCAGTTGGAAAATCGATTTTGGTTCGAGTTAGATCCGCCCCTGAGGTTCAAAAAAGTATATTGCGAGGGTTCGTGGTTATCCCGGGAGTCGACTGTATATCTATATCAAAAATGAGTTATGACTCTTGTCCCTACTCGCGTAGGGACACTTCTGTAATTCGGACAATGGAGGGGAGAAGTGTGACGTCAAGTTACCATGGTAGGCAAATTTCTGGATCTCAACAATCTTGCTTGACAGAGATGACTCAGAGATGGCCATTTGCATTGCCAAACGATGAGAGAAAAGTCACCGGCTTCCGTTTTGTTCCTGACTGAAATCATCTAGCCTGCGTAGCAGGCGCTTGGAAGAAGTGGGCGAATGAGAGAACGGGCGCGCGCGAGGGAGACACGCGAGGGGTGAGTCCCCTTCTCGCGCGCCAGTTTTTTTCTTGTGCCCACTACTTCCCAAGCGCCTGCTACGCAGGCTAGAAATCATCATGCACGGGAACTGTCATACGTGTCAATTTTTTTCGTTTTTCTTCTGCCATATTTGCATCTGTTGCATGACCACTTTTTGTTGAGATCCAGAAATTTTGCCACCATAACAACGAGACAAAGCCCTTTGATGGCTCGACTCTCTTCGTAACCATGCGTGGGTGCAGGGCCGAGTGAGCTTGGGAGCGAATTTTCGAAGCGCTCAAGGCACCTTGGGAAGGGCAAAAGAAGCAGCCGCACGCTACACACGTCTCATTTTTTGGTTGACCCTTCCCATGGCCCTTTTTCCTTTTTGGAGATGCTTCGATCTCCAATTAAAATTGCACCACGCTGTCTTTTAAAATTTTGGACAGCGCGCAAAATTTGCGTGAAATAAAAAAAACAACAACAAATGAATGAACAATGAGAGACTGGAACTGACCAACTGTTTATTCGTCGCGGCAATTCAGCAATCATGTGACTAATGAACATTCTACGAACCAATCATATTCCTTGAAATTAAGCAGGTGGTTATGAATTGAATTTCCAAGGGCTTCCTTGGATACCGATATGACAAAATCTCCGGGAATTTCTAGGGATTTCTATAATTTCCCAGCAAGTGATATCTTACCAAAACATAGATAAAAATGTAGGTTTTGCTATGAACCTAACTGTTTTTTGGAAAGCCCGCCTATAAATTCGTCCCTTTAAAATGACTAAAAGCCAAGGCGAATTGTGACGATATTTATTCAACAATCCCTAAATAAAACATGCTGACAGCGATGAAGATCGGCTGTTATAAATAAATAATGACCATCTTGGTTCTTGGGCAAATTATGCATAACAGCCTGATAAAGCTGCCGCGTAATTCTTCCCTTGAAGGTAGTACTTTAACCTTCACACTACTGGGTTCGAAAACGACTAAAACAAGTCTTTTGATACAGTTTTATTAGTTTTAATCCCCGGAGAGAAGGCAGAACTTGTGGTTTCAACATGGCCACAAGTTTAAATACATGCATTACGCTTAAGGTACGTTAAATAGTTTTCGTCGCATCACGTCCGAATTATGGATTTAATCCTAAATCATTTTGGACCATGTATAAAATGGGCTTTTTGACCGTTGTATTATCACAGGTTTTGATGCAAATGCTCTGCTTCGTATTTTTATTTCTTGACACAGGTTTTGTGTCTACTTTTCCTCCATTCTGGATATTCATCCAGCCAGACCACAATGTCATTATCAGGTAAATTGAAGATGTCTTCCCAAATCATCCGCCTTTTTCTCATATTAAAGGTCCATTCCTTTAACTGTGTAAAAAATATTTGCCGCAAAACCTTAGTACACACCTTTTAAATTAAAAAAAAAAACATAAGCAAAATGCTATCACGAGATTCTACGAAGCCTCAGCAACAACTTTCCCCTTCGGGGCAGCTTACACAGTCTGACAAAAGATCTTGAGTGCCATGTAAATATTCGTTCAAGTTTTTTTCATTAAAAAAGTTCTTGTTAGAAATCCCCTAGGCTTCTTTCTCAGTCTTGCAATGTTTTGAAATAAACGTTCCCTCTATTTAAAACTGACTGTTGCACGGGATTCGAATTCGGTTTTCTTGTATATCCTGACTATAGTTTCTTGTGAAGGGAACTGGTTGAGCTGAACAGGTGCAGAAAAGCGTTATCTCGGCTAGTATTTCCAGAAATTAACAGTCGCTGTTTAAAAACACGCAAACAGATAAGAAGTCAAAGTTATGCACCCGAGCTAATTTTAGAGGATGTTTACGCTACGAAAAAATACGCGTGTAGACCTTTTTGATGGCCTGTAGTTTAGTACCAAATTTTTATTCACCAGATTTAGAGGGACTTCAAATCATCTTTTTAAATAGTAAATTCTAAATATTGATCATAACAATTTTCCCTTTCGATTCTGTTTGCTATTTAATTTTGAAATTTATTTCCTCGCATATTTCATTTGCAAATATATAAAGCAAGCCTAATTCCAGGCGGGTGGTACAGGTTTAATTTTTTCCATTTCCAGACCGGAGAACTAAATGCTGACAGTGTGAAAGTGTGAGCGCGTGTTATATACAAATCCTTTTTTTTTTATAAAACCAGATTTAAGGATTTGTCTCTCTTATTTCCTTGCATTCGGGAATTTCATGATCAGTAAAAGTGATATTAAGAGAGGGTTTCTTTAGGTGAGTTCAATGTTTCATGCCAAACATGTCAGCTTCAACGCTTTTTTTATTGTGGTTAAGATTTCCTTTGCCAGATTGTGTTTTTACTCGACAATGTATTTTCCCTTCCTGTTAAATTCTAGGAGGTGGCTTTTCGTGCAAAAATAGTAAAGGCCTATTCAATTAAATTGAAGTCTAACCCTTATATTTGAACTAAAAACATCATATTTGGTAAACATTAGCCGAATGCCTAGTGATTAAGTGTCACGGACAAACGAAACTTGCCGACTCACTTCTAAACTGACGTAAATGTCCGACAAACGTCAAGTAAGATTTTATGTTTCATATGGTGCATTCTCCTGCAATATGAAATATGCCATACAGTGTTGTTTGTCTTCTTGTTTCCATTTGACTACTTGTTCAAACTTTTCCAGTCTTTTTAATTACATTCTCACACCATGAGGGAGAGAAAATCTCTCGATATAAAAGGAGGAAAAACGTTTCCCCCCTTATATTTTTAGTAAAGAAAACAACTTTTCTTAAGAAGCTTTCAGTTATTAAATGAAAACGATTGGCTACAAAAAAATGTCAGACTGGTAAAAGACTTGTTTATCTTCGTTTGGTTCAAATATTTATCATCGTAATCGTATGGGAAGGAATAACTCAAGCTTCAAATTTAAAGGAAAACGGTTGCATTAATTTTTAAAAGCTTTTTGCTAATTACCCATGACCACAAAACAAAACCAGCATGCATCAGAAAATAAAGCAGTGGTATCCATCTTGTATGAAAATAGAAGGCCTGAATTGACGTTTTATTGTTCAATGATTGTATAGCGAGTTTTGTAGGTCTCCTATCGACCTCCACGCCGCCGAACCTTACCTAATCACCCCGGGCCATAATCAGAGCCGAATTGTTTTGTTTTGTTTTGTGTTTCTTTTTGTACATGTTCTACGTAGTTAACTCTTTAAGCCCCAATATCCACCTACAAATTCTCCAAACTGGTCTCTATACATTTCCTTTTGGTAGCAGATCAAAGCATTTTCTCTTAGGTGATCATTTTTTTAACTCTCATAACCATTTCTCTTGGTAACATATGGATATTGTTAGGAGAAATTGATGTTGGTCACTATCGGGACTTAAAGGGTTATTCGGGTAATGGTAAACTGATGGTAAGTCTCAATCTTCCCTAAATATTTGAGAGTTTTAGAATCACTGACGGCAAATTTACGACACTGAAGGCTAATTTGGACCACCTGACCAAGTTTTCTCTTTACATGTCGTTTACAAAAATTGAATGTAGTTTCACGCCACTTTGGTCGTTTATGAGTTCATTTTCTATCTAGCTTGAGTTGTTTGGCGTTTGCTGTTAGCTGTAAACGCGATTCAGACAGTAGGTCCCTTTTCTTATCTAGACTGGCCAGACGATAATCAGCGACTTCTTCAAAAAGAAAACTATAGTTAACTGTTGACAGTAGTATGATTGCGTGTAGGTAGAAAAAACGTGTTCACAAACAGCATGAAATAGGTTCTTTCTTTGGATTAGTTTTTGTCTTCCATTCTGACATAATTTATCCACATTTTTTAGCTGGGAATAGCAATATTCAGCCGTCTCCAACAGTGAGTGAAAGTAACTCGCTCAATGGAAAAGTTGCAGCGATCACTAGTAGCTCTGTAAATGCATCCCTCGTTCTCAATACATCCGGGATAACGGAATCACAGGTTCCAAGTCCATCTTCGGTCACTACTGCCCAGTCTTCCTCAGCTCAGGTAATTTTAAAACTTAAATTTTCATCCATTACTTAATAACAAACAGCCTCTTTATTTCTTCATTTTTTTTTGCAAATCTCATACCCAGATCTTTCTGGCGTCTGTGCATGTCTGTAGGTTTTGTAAATGTGATCTGGGAGCTAATCTGGGAGCGAGATTTGGGATAAGAGCGTGCGCATATATGCACTTCCCTAACAGAGTCTCACAGGCGCTGAGTTGCCCCCAAGCCTCTGTTTCAGAGCGAGGCGAAGTGCGAAGCCTTTCATAAAAAAGATGATTTTTTAATTCTCATTTAGTAAAATTCCTTTTCACAAGACAGGTTTTGCACTTAGCCTTGTTCAGTTTAAAGTGAGAGTTTTTGGAACTTGTCTATTATATAAAGGATCACACTTTTTTGTTGGATAGTAACAGACGCTTATCTTTAGACAGGGGTAGTTATTTTTTGAACGAGCTTGGAAGACAGTAAATATAAAATCAAATTACCGAGATGTGCTGGCAATCCAGCTGTTTATATATCATATATGCATGTTTTGTAGGTAAATCCGATGCCAGAATGGGATAAACAAGAAATCGAACAAATGTTTGGATCTCAAGTGGAAGAGGTATTTAATCGATACAATACAAAAGAAGGAACGTTTATTGTGTGATATCAATACAATCTAAAAAAAGGAACGTACTGCGAACTTTCCCAAAGGGATTTTCCGTATTTCCCGCCCTTCCCAATTTACCTGAGAAAATAAAAGTCTGGGCATGAGCTTCAGGTGTACCTCAATTTTGAAGTCTTCAACACGCTCTTTTAGTTGAGAATTATAATCAATCGAACAAGAATCTTTCCCGCCCACTAAGTCACGATTCCACACTCATCCAAGATGGCCGCCCGTAACGCAAAGTCTTCGATCTCGACGATCTCACGGAAAATAGGGGACTGTGAACAGTCTAGCGTATCAGTAACTGTGATGATCTCCTCTATCTACATTTATTTCTTTATCCCGAAGTTCAAATATATGAAATTCATGATATATTCATCCTTTCAAAGTAAAGTGTGACTTTTTTATTTTCTTGAGTAACAGAGTCCATGTTATCATTAAGTATAGCAAACGAAGCGTTGAACACGAACTTCTACCTTGTGCTGGATATTTGAATATGGAACGAGAAATCAGAAATATCACATCATAATCTGATTTCGTTTTTCTATTCAGCTTGGACAGACTTTTACCAAGCCAATCGATCCATTTACCTCAGACCCAGTTGACGAGAAAGTTATTGAGACGCTGGTTTCCATAACGAAAACGGGCGTGGCTCTCTTGTGGACATACAATGACTCAGGAAACGCAGCTATCGACTACTTAAACATTACTGACAGTCTAGGTAAGTTAGCGAGAGTGTTCAATAAATCCTACCCTTGTGTAATGACTCAGTACATAGGGGAGAGGAGAAGAGTCCAGCAAAATGGCGCAGGTGAGCATCGGAAGTGAGGTTTAACATTCCACCAGGAGGTCGTTGACTCCTGATCCCGCGAAGAAAGACAAAAATGAGCAGAGTGGTGATACGTCAATACCCAGCTCTCTCCTGTCTTTAAATTCCTATACCATAATTGTAAAGATCCAATCCAAGACCTACCCCCTCAGTCCCGTCTCTTTTATTTCAGTTATAGCCTGATTTCGTTTTTTTGGAAGGGGAGAGGTCGTCTGTACACAGGCTATTTCCGTTAAGGTTTAAAGATTCTTTGAAATTCTGCATTTTTGCCTCAGTCATCGATCATCAGGATCAAACAAATACGTTATCTAACTTGTATGTTTTTTCCTTTTAATCCTTCCCAGTGATTTCACTGAAGAAGTTTGACTGTGTCCAAGAGAGAGCTGCTGACATTCCCGACCGCTCCAACAGAAGTACAAGAAAAGATTTGCAAAAGGTCAACGACTTTGTGGAGATGAAATTTGATTGCCCATTGATCGTGATAAATGGTAAGTATAGAACTTGAACGAGTTCGTGATCAAAAACTCTACCTCTGATACAAACCATTAGGGTGACCTAAGGCAATCATCGGGGTAATATTAGACACCATTAGGTTGACCTAAGGTAATTACTCTGTACCCCGGAGCAACATAGGCCGATGTGTTTTAACTCCTGTTATCTCTACCACAGGGTTAACTTTTAACAGAGTATTTGAGATGTCCCTTCCCCTTTCACCAGCAAAGAACTCAACTCTGGTGTCAGTAAGGGGTCGTTTTGACTCGCCTCTCGTCCCATTGTTCCTCGCGTTTTTAAATCAGCAATTATTATAATCAGGAAGTTAGTTTATATGGGCATGGGTGGCTTGGGTTGGAATTCAATTTACCAAGAATGCCATTAATTATGGTCTGGGTACTTTTCTAAAGAGAACGAAATCCACTCTCACAGTCGTTCGACAACGGTAAAAGCTTCCTTATTTTGCGTGATTTCGTGGGTGCCCTGTTTAACCAGGTGGTACAAATCTGGAATTATCCCCTTTATACGGATGAGTGCCATTTCGCTGCCATTTTAAGCCCTTCGGGCCGTCAGACGCAGCCATTAACAGGGTATTATTTAGCTTGCAGGAGCCTCTCCTCATGCTTACATTAAAGCTCGAAAAGGGATTATTCCGTGATTATCTAAATAATTCTTCTGTGTTAAACTTCAAAGCAACTCCTCCGGAAAATTCCCACACAAGAAAGAGACGGGAAGTTCAAATTGAAGTAACCATGGAAGTGAATGGCGTGGAAAATGAGGACGACTTCCACGAGTTCCAGTTACGTCATCATCACTCAAGGTTTAGGAGGGATGCCGCTGAAACGAGGCAGTGCGGCCCACTGAAATGCGGTAGTAAGTATCAAACCTACGGGTTTCTGGGGTGTGTGTTTGACAGAAATATTCCCACACTATCTGTGGCAGTCCATTTTGGCGCGTTTTTCAAGACATAACCGTGGACATAACCGTTTGCTGCGGGTTGATTTTTTGTTATTGATGATGTCTTATTATAATTAACATTACTATCTAAGTTAAGACTTACCATTCCTACCTGTTTTTTTTATTGGAAACTCGCGGTCCATTCCAATTGTAGATCTTTCAATTTGAAATTAAAGCACTGCTAGCGTCTCAAAATAGGAGCGAAGAATTGGTACATTATTAGTACAGTTAAAGCTCTCGTTGCGACGTCTCTCGTAAGCGACCAGCTCTAGTTACTAGCGCGTGCACCTGTGTGAAACCCCATTTGAACTGTAACTTAAACTTAATGAAAAGCTCTCGTAATCGACCGCTCCCGTGAGCCACAGCGATTAACAAAATGGACGTTTTCTTTTGTTTTTAAGCTCTCGTAAGCGACCACTCAGAGTCTAATTCACGTAAATCAACACCCGACAAAACACAAACTGTGCGATTTATTGAACGGCTTCAAAATATGGTGACCTTCATCAAATCATTCGTGCGCTATTATTTAGATTTGTGGTTATTTTGCTCTAGAAAATTAGATGTAATTTTTAGCCCTGTTTATATCAGATATAAAGACACTCATTAAAAATTGATTTCTTTTGTTTTTTCTTTATGAATTATTAATGAGTTTCTGAAGCTCTCTCAAGCGACCACCCTCTATTGTTTTATCATGCGGTCGCTTTCGAGAGCGCATTCCCGTATGCGACCTCTTTTTCGAATTTCCAAGTTGGTCGCTTACGAGAGCTTCGACTATGGTTACGCATGCCAGTTGGTATGACTGAATCTGATTCTAGTTTATTATTTCGACAGTTGAAAGGTTCGAAGTCTCAGGATTAGTCATCACCAACAGATCATGGAGCGAAAATCTTAAAGACAGTAGATCCTCAACGGAGTTCGTAAAATTGTCAACAGAGTTAGAAACTTCGGTATGCATTTTAATCATTGAAATTTGAAAGTCAGTAGTGGTGGGAGGGAGAGAATGGATCTATATAACTCCAAACCAATAAAATTCCAGAATTACTTCCGTACAAAACAGTTCTTATGTGGTTTTAGTTTTATGGTTTTATCAGTGATATGTGATATACTTTAATATGATACTATTTCTTTAGTATGTTGTTCTAACTTTTGAGTCTGTGGGTGAAATCCCGTGGTGTTACCATTCAAACGAAACCTCTTCAGCAGTACTTTCACATGGTACCATTTATTTAGTATGAAGTTCTAACTTTTGAGTCTGTGGGTGAAATCCCGTGGTGTTACCATTCAAATGAAACCTCTTCAGCAGTATTTTCACATGGTACTATTTGGTTTGAATGTAGTTCTAACTTTTAAGTCGTTGGATGAAATCCGAAGGTGTGAGTATCCAAATGACACCTCTTCAGCATTACTTTCACATGGCGCTATGTGTTTTGTATATACAGTGTTTCTAACTTTTGAATCTGTGAATGAAATCTTCTGATTTCCGTTCAAATGAAACAACTCAAATACTACTTTACAAGGTACTAGAAAATTTGGAATTTTTTTGCTTAAGTAAATTTTTTCTCCGACTGCTACTAGGAGATTGCTGTTTTAGCTGATTTATCGATAGAAAAACACTAACGCAAAGCTATTGTATCTTCTTTAGTTGAAGAAAGTTCTGGATCCGTACTTTACAGAGGTGAACAAGATACACAGTTTTACATTTACGAAGTGAGTTATGCCGGTTACAGCTGTTGTTCTTTCATAAGTAGCTGTTAATAGAAAAGTATTGGTATTTTTATATCGTAGTATCTTTGTTACTGTGTCTCCAGTTAGCAGGTATGCTAAAGTTCTATGGCTCGCTAATAAAGGTATAATTATTGTATTTATTTATTAGTCCAATTGACAATATTCTTATGCTTATTGAACTGATGGTGAAATCATCACTGATGGTGAAGTGTGATTAGATTTTTAAACTCTTGGGGAAGCCTGATTTTGTCAAGGTTCCACCAGGGGCAGATAGCTTAGGCCCCCCGGGGGGGGACTCCGCATATGAAAGGGGTGGGGATGCTCGTCGTCTCGCTTTGGGGTGTAAACTTCGGATTTTGGTCTCACTTAGGGTGTGTCCTGGGCAAAACGCCATCATATTTAGCCGTGAAGGTCTCGTTTAGGGTTGCACGCGAAAAAATGTAAAAATATACATTTTGTCAGTGTTTTCACATGGTCTCTTTCAGCGGTCAAAAAAAGCTTTGTCCCCGCCCAGATCGGTCTCCTTTAGGGGTTTAATTCAAAATTTCCGACGAGCATCTCCACCCCTTTCATATGCGGAGTCCCCCCGGGCCGCCCCCCCCGAGTGTCTGGTTCAGACACCGTACTTTTCATGTGCCGAACCTAAACTTGAGGGCCTCTTCACATGGGCCCGGTTGACCGGGAGATCTAGGCAACTGAGGAAGCCTGCCCTCTCATGAACACATCGAAAATTTTACAAAGGATTTAGAGGTAAGGCGAGATCTCCGAAACGGGCCAGCTTGACCGAGCCCATATGAAGAAGCCCTTGATAAGTTCGACATTGGCGCGACATTTGATTCAGACAGCGCACCGTGTGTGGAGCCTGAGTTAAGTACGACAGACTCTGTCGAACTTAACGCTTTTACCGCATCAATCTAAAACTGCTGTACTAAATTGATTGAGACGTCGCTCTTTTGCCGCACTTTATTCATCAGTTGGGTTCGGCACATGAGTGGAGCGACGTCTGAACCGGGCCTTATAGGACGATATTATAATAAATTAAATGTCTTTGAAGAAACAGACTTTTCGGGTGAATAGCTATTCTTCAAATGTTAGACGTTAAATTGAAGCGCGTGCCCGTGTCAATATAGTAGCGCGCGGTTGATGTATGTCACAGTTAAAATGAAGCTTAACTTTAACTAACTGGAAAATCATCCTCATTTCACGCTGCTATATGCAGGTATTCCACTAAAAAGAGTCACACCACGTACCCGAACATCAAAAAATGCTGTGCAGGCCCTTGGAAATGAAATGTTATGCCACTGCAGGAAACCCAGAAGAGTTGTTGCTTATATTTCACAAATGTTCGCTAAGACGACTCCTGAGACTTAATCCAGTTTCAGGTACAAATGTAAAGAACAGGGCTGGCTTAGATACCGGTCATGGTGGGAATTCTTTAATTTACTGTTAACATATCACGTCTTTTAAAGGGACTCCACCAATGTCGCAGCCAAATTTTACCTGGATGTGAATCTTAAAGAGGTCAATGTAACCTCTGCTTTGAAGAAAGCGGCCAACAATGACACGCTTAAGAACTTGAAAGTGGATATGAGAGCTATGTCGATATCGGGACCATTAGATGTGGGTAAGGAAAACTTAGTTTAGTCGGATAGTGGAGAAAAAAAAAACAAAGGCCAAAGTGTTATACAATAGCAAAGCAACTAATTTCGTTTTTTCCTCTTTTTTTTGGTACAATATTTTTTCATTATCTTTTTTTAAAGGATTTTTTAGCTTGCGAATACAGCCGTCTCTACTCGCTTGTCGCCTCTTGGGACGTTTCGAGGGAGAGACTCGCGCGAAACCTCCCTAGCCGTCCAATAGGGACCTTAAGATCCGACGACGGCGACGGTAACGGGAACGCTACAAAAGCAATAGGTTTAATTAGCAAAACAACAATTTTGCACGTGCATCACGCTTTTTTGTACATTTCTTTGCCGTCATTGCACGACTACGACGTGAAAATGCCTAATGTCACGATGTACGGAGGAAGTACACAAGCGACGACGAGATTTCCTCTCTCTTTCTGAACTTGGATATGGTTCTTAGGAATTCACCTTCAGGAGGGTTCGCCTACATTTGACAAAGTTAGTGACTTGGAGTAATCGCGATAAAGATTGAAAGAACGCGAATCGAATTCACTTTTTCAGCGACGTTTTCACTGCCGTCGCCGCCTTCGGATCTTAAGGCCCCTAATAAGCGAGGACAGAAGGCTGCATTCACAGGCAGGCTAAGGATTTATGTAATAGTTCCCTTTTTTTTGTCCTTGTAAACAGTTATCTAAAATAATGATTTTTTTGATAATAGGATAATGTTAATAGGACTGAGTAGAGTCCAATTCGGTCTGTAATCATACAAGTGGTTAACAAAATTGGACGACCGCGATGCGGGAGTCGACCGATTTGTTTAATCACGAGTTACCAATTAATCATAACTGTTACAGTCTGCGAAAAAACAGATGCATTATTTTTTGGTGAAAGAGCATTTGAATACCAAATGTCCAAAATAAGGGGAAATATCACTGGCAGAGACACTGTCTAGTGTTACAAATTCGTCCATTATGGAAAATCCCCAGTTCGGTGGGGTGGTAAGCGTGGTTGTTGCTATGGTTATTGTGATAACTTCATCGGTGGATTTAGCTGAGTGCACTTAAAATTAATATGATTTGTTAGTGCAACTGTCCGATTACAGGTGTCCCATTAAAACCCTACACAATGATTACTGAAAAATCAAGCCGTTAATGCACCAATCAAATTTGAAGAAATTATACTGGTTATGAGTATGAAGTGTATACAGTCAAATCTCCACTTGCGATTACCTCTCGTAAGCGTCGAAATATTCAAAACACCAAAACTTTCCCAGTCAAAGCCCTACAGTTGGATAGAACCTGTCGTAAACGACCACCTCGTGTAAGCGACTGCGACTACTGTTTTGGACTGACGGTATAATGATTTTCCATTGTGTTTAACTTCTTGTAAGCGACTTCTAGACATTTTGTCTGATCTCTTATGTTCACTGTGTTTACTATCCTACTAAGATTATGCGAAGAACTTTAGTAACAACATGGAACTGTACATACCCTAAGATCTCTGTCGTGCCAGGGATGTCGTGTTCTTTTTTAAACGTTAGATTTCTGTGTGGTCAGTGTGTTGGCATTTTTTGTAAATTTCTTTATTCACAGCCCTTAGCAATAGCTCAATGGGCAAATATAGTGACTTAATTGCATGCAATAAATTGGTTCTTTTGTCGTAAGCGACCACTAAGTCTTCACATTTTGGGTGGTCACTTACAGGAAGTTCAACTGAATGAAATAAAGCTCATTTAACTCTATTTTCTTTTATTGCTTAGTTGATGGCAATTATACTAAATGGGGCTCTTGGAGCACGCCCTGTGACACAGACTATCAACAAATGAGAAAACGCACATGTGAAGGCTCTAAGAATGGAGGGCAGTGCTATGGTGACGACAAAGAAATCAGAAAATGTGGTAAGAATTCTTTACGTACAGAAAATGTAACGTGCTTAGAACAAAGGGGTATCTTAAGATAACAGTCCGTCGACTGTCCTGACACAGAATGATGAGGAGACGAACCGAAACTTACATGATGGGATATACTTGTACCATTCGGCCTTACTATCACTGTCTTAGTCGCGTCTAGTACCCTATTTGGCAGACACAATGAATCATTGACAGCCTTGGACTTAGTATGCTCTAAATCTCACATACAGAGCGGGGATGCTGGTCGTTTTGTTTAGAGGTGTAACTGAAGATTTTGGTATCACTTAGCGTCGTACTCAGGACGAAGCTCCGTGCCGGTTATTAGCCTGCGATCAGCAAATCCTTTCTTCCTGAGCCGTCCGCCAACTTCCGTGCTCCTCCCCCCAAAAAGGAACACCTAATCGCAGGTTACGCAGGTGTCGGTAAGGGCTACAGGTAAAGAAATAGAGAGAGAAATAAAGACAGGAAGAAAGAAGGGAATCAATGACAACGTCTTGACTAAGGCTTTTATTTGATGGGCTGTTTTAGAGTGGTATCTTTTAGGGGCCACATAAATCTTGAACCACGCCACAATTAGTTCTTGTTATGAGTTTGATCCCACCCTTTTCATATGACAATCTTCCCAGAGCATGTATGAACTAGTTGAGTCACGCTTTCCGTGACTATGGCAAGCAAACTCTCAGCCTTACTACCAGGCCTTTTGCTCACCTTTTCGCTCCTCCGAGGAGCCCATAATTGGCTCCTGCTCGTCCCTAAAGCTCTTTATCCCCAAGAAACGCTTAATAGACAGTGTAACAGAATCCAATTTCCTTACGTTTAACCGCAACAAGCCAATAGCGACCAACAGGGCAATGAGCTGCAGATAAGCCGAAGGCCGCCACCAATAGAGGGAAACTCGATTTGCAGGATTTATTTTTCTCCTCACTTGTTGGGAAAGTGGCGATAAAATCTAAAACTGATAAAGTAGATTAGCAATAGTTTTCAGCCTCATTTGGAATCCGACCTTTAAATACCTTTCTGTTTCACCACAGCTTGCGGCAACAACACACAAAAGGAAGGTAACATCACCACCCCCCGGTACCCTTCGCACTACCCCACGAATGTCACGTGTGTGTGGGTACTGGAAGCTCCCGAAAACCACACAGTGAAATTATATTTGGAGGAGTTCGAACTGGAAGAAGACAAGAAATGCCTCTACGATTACTTCGAGGTTTTTGAGGGGAACACCACGGATGAAGAGCACAGACTCGGTAACAGGTTATGCGGAAGCCATATTCGTCAGGTGTTTCAATCCAAGGGCAGGAAAATGTCGATTTTATTTAACTCTGATAGGAGCCTCACTTCCAACGGCTTCCGTGCTGAATGGAAAACACAAAAAATAAGTAAGTCAATTTTCAATGGACCTCAACACAATTGTATGTTTGAAAGTTGAACGTATACAGTGGGGAAAATACAAACAATAAAACACACAAGCAAAACCGCCTATATTTGAAATATCACATTTCTGCCGTCTAAAAAGCTATTTTTTTTTCTTAACTGTGTTAGAAATTGTATGGCGATGATGTTTATGACGATCATAGGCGTACGGGCCGGGGGGGGAGGGGGGCTTCAGCCCCCCCAAATTTTGGGCAACTCAGATTTTTTGGGCAGCTAGAGAAAATTTGGGCAAAGCCAGTTTTTAAAGACGTTTCCATGTTTTTTATTAGTCTAAAGAGACAAATATTTTCTATTTTGATCTGAAAAAATCCTGAAGTCAGCGTAATAATCCAGTTACTTTCTCTCGAGACACTCACAGTAGTTTCCTAGCACGTGATGAATTTCTGGTTATAGGGAAGGGTATCATTTGTTGATTTACAAATTTATAGTTTTTTATTGTTGAGCACTGTACTGCACTGCACTGACTGGAATGGGCTCTTTCCAGTCGTGAATTGATTAGAATTAACTTCCGCATATCTTTCTAGAATCATCTCCGCTCGTAGAAATTAACAGTGTATGGCAGATAGCATCAGCAACAGTGGGTCTGAAAATGAAGAAGTTGCTGACTAGTACTCAGCTCGAATTACGAGAAGAATATTAAATTTGTTTAAAAATCTATCAAGCAATAATTTATTAAAGTAGACCGAAATGTTTACAAAACCGCTAACAAGAGCGCCTCGATAGATACTAATGAAATCCTTGTCTCTAGCAATCGGCCGGAGCTATCTCCATGATCATATCTTTTACACACGTTTTTAAAAAGATTGAAGCTACCATGAGGTGAAATTGCCTGTCAAAAGAGCTTCGTTTTCTACAAATAACGGCCAAACATCAAGATTTTTTTTAACCATATTTATAACGATAAAAACTTCATCCCAAAATATCCCAATAACACTCCTCTAGATTCCGTTTTAACTTCACGAACATCGAGGCGACTATTGGAGAAAAAAGCTCCAGTGAACATTTTTGTAGGAACAGGTCCCAGTGCCGAGAAATATTTCTGCAAGTAAAATAGACAATGGCGTCATTTCGTTGCGATGACAATTCTGATGTCATTAAAACACTGCTCACGACAAATCTTCATCTTTATCTAATAAAACTATGGTAGCAATTTTTCCAAATGTTTGTCTATGGCGACGTAGTTATTCTCAAAATTGGGAGGTATTGACCCTGAAAAACTGTCATAGTATTGAGCCACCTTCATATGCCAGTACGGCCTACGTTATTGCATCGTATGGCCCTCGTTTCTTTTCTACTGTTTCGTAAAAATTTGGGCAACTTGCGAGAATTTTTTGAGCAAATGGTTTACCGCCCCCCCTGGCAAAAAATTGCCCGTACGCCTATGATCGCGATATCTTATTATGGATCTTAAGCAACCAAGGCGACAAGAACAAGGAGAACGTCAAAAGACAGTGGGTTACGTTTATTTGAGCAAAGCAACAATTGTGCACGTGCATCATGCTTTTGGTTCTTTTTATTTAACGTCCACTGCACAAATACGGCGTGAAATTAGAACTTGTTATGAGACCTTCTGTTCTGTAGCAGGACGTGAACGTATTTTCGTTTTTGTTCTAAACTTGGATAAAGTCCTTAAAATTCAAACCAGGTTTCGCCTATATTCGATCACTAAAGTCAGCGAGGTTAATAAATGCGATAAAGTTTGAAAGACGTTTTCACCATTTCCTTCGCCGTGGCTCCTTGATAAAGCTACCGATGATGATGATAATGTTGATTTTGATGTCAATGATATTGATTTCGAAGTTGATTTGTCTGTGTATTGTTGATGATAATAATTATGATGCATATTGTCATAAGTTAATGATAAGGATAGTGTCGTTTATCCCAATATTATTCATGATATTGATGCACTTTCCTGACGTTGATGATGAAATGATGATGATGATGATGAACTATCACTTAAAAAATTATCTTTTTTCAGAGGAGGAAATAATCGAGTACGTTCCACAGTATGTGACTGCCTTGACTATGGTTTACAGTCCAAACGTGAACGGAACACATTATCCACTAGGAACCGCCTCTACGTGTATCACGGAAAGGTGTGGTAATCAATAGCTGATCATAGTGGTAGTCTGAGGTCTCTTTTCAGTGCAGTGGGTGTGTCATAGTCAGCTGTGGCCTAGCCTGCGTAGCCTTGGGGATCATTAGCGCCTGTAAAGTTTTGGCAGAGGAACTGCGAAGCCGTGCGGGGAATTGGGAGGACACGCTTTCAAATATCTTTGGAATTTTCTCTCAGCGAACATGAATGCCATTCGCCAACATGCACGAAAATGATTCTGCCAGCTACGCAGGTTAGCTGTAGCCACGGCTTCCTCCTCAAAAGAGTACAAACAAGTTTTGAGATTGTCAAGTGATAAATTAGACAACGATATTAATCGATAATTTTTTATGAACTCAACTAATCACAATATGTGTACTTTTTGTTTTTAGCCAAACCAATGACAAAGAATGTGTCTTTAAGGAAAAAGTATTCGTAATCTCCCGGATAATAACTAGCCATATTGACCGTGATCTTTCACTGGCCGGTGATAACAGAATTGTGATCAATTTTGAACACATCATGGTAAGGAAATATAGCTAGAGAGAAAATATCTTGAAAAATGCGAGCTTTAAGAAACAAAATTTACAAAAGAACGAATCATTAGTAATAGTAGCATTGGAGGAGAAGGTCATGGATTGGAAACCTGTTGGGAAAATCCGCCTCTTTTCGTTCCGAATCGCTTGTATTAAAAAAGATCACTAACTGAATGACTATAATTCTGATACATCCAACTTTGTAATAGATATATGATATACAATACAGAAGCTTGCCGTATTCATAGACTGCGGCATTCACGAGTTGTTCCGTACGAGGTTAGCGGGGGTTAAGATATGTAGACTGGTTATCTGCCATTTTGGCCGTATTCGATTCTGAACAAACCCTAACTATCATAACGATCGTAGCGATCATATGGAAACCAGGCTTAGGAACTCTTGACTCTAAGCTGAGTTAGTGGTGAGTTCTGCTCGGGTCCTTGGACGTACAAGGCTCTCCCTCTCTGGTCGTCAAAATTTTGAATGTTAGTAGAACTTAGGAGATTGAGATTGTGGTTTGTTTTATTTACTTTCTTAACAAGAAAGTGTGTAGAAAAAGTGCCTTGTAAATGAGGAAGAGAAGAAACAAAAAAGAAACTATGATGAGATCAACAGGCAATATCCTTCTTCGAGCCCGGTAAATAAGCACATAAATAAACAACAAAATGCTGGAAAAATTCTTTCACTAGAGAATTAATTGATCACTACACCTTCCGTTCAATTTCAGAACGAAAATCTGTTCCCCATGTTTTACAACGGCAAAAAGTACTGCGTTAGTTGGAATCAAAAAGCCAAGTAAGTAACTTAACCCCCCAAAATAAGTAGTAATTTAAGTGATTTGTTTTTCAGCGAGACACTCGTGTCTTTCCTCCGCCGTGATCATCTGCGGTGCAAAGTTTTCATCATATGGAAACAGCAAACACGGTCGGATGTGTCGTATGAGCAAAGTTCAAACTATGGACGAAAAGGAAAAAACTATTTTTAAAACTACAAAAAATCCAAAAAAAGATATTTTTCTCTTGAGGACGAGACAACAGCTAAATCTAAATTAGCGAATGCTCCAAAATGCTCTAAATTTCACTGGACTATCGATTTGTAAATCAAATCTCCAGTTTCAATTTTGAGACAAGAGTTACTAGTTAATGTTGGACATGGTTCATATTTCCAGGAAAGAACAGCCCGTTGCATTTGACGATTTTGATCAGTAAGTTCCTCGATTTTTCCACTGAAGTATAGAACCAACTGGAGTTGTTAGTTATGCTTTTTATAAAGATTTACACTTGCACTTGAGAAGGAAAAACGCCTTCCGCTGAATGCGACGACTGCATTCGGCCCAGGCTTTTTTGGCCAGCTTTTAACTGAATTTAGCCGGGACGTTTTGTGTCGGCTTACATGACGGAATACCAGGATTGATGACTTCAAAGTATTGTGCTCTCTTCGCTTTTTATAGTTTTTAGTTGACTGTATAAACTCAAACTTAAGCAAGCGTGCGTTTCTCTTATAGTCGACCTCGAAGCTAAGGTTTAGTTACCTAAAAGGTTTGGAACATGTATCTGAATGAAAAGTATAAAAGACAGATTGGCAGAAGACCAGGCCGACAGAAACATTGCACTAAAAATTTGGAGAATCAAACTGAGGAGGAGTGCTAATATCACAGGGGGCCCACACAATCTGTTTGTGTAGCCGATTGTTATTTTATAGTAAATGTACTGGATTTACCGTTTGCTTCACCTATAGCGATATATCGCTAACTATGTATATAAATCAATAATAAATAAACGTTGAATTACCTTACCTGTGGTGTATAGTCGTCCTTTTGCCTCAAAAGCGGTTTTTTGAGCGATTTTGAAGGAGTTTGAGTTCGCCGTTGACTGTTCCATATATGATATATGAGCGATTTTGAAGGAGTTTGAGTTCGCCGTTGACTGTTCCATATATGGAACAGTCAACGGCGAACTCAAACTCCTTCAAAATCGCTCAAAAAACCGCTTTGAGGCAAAAGGACGACTATACACCACAGGTAAGGTAATTCAACGTTTATTTATTATTGATTTATATACATAGTTAGCGATATATCGCTATAGGTGAAGCAAACGGTAAATCCAGTACATTTACTATAAAATAACAATCGGCTACACAAACAGATTGTGTGGGCTCCCTGTGCTAATATGCGGAGATTAAGGACTTTAAAAGTCGTTAGTAAAAGGCGACAGAAACTGAGGAAGAAAAGCGACCGATAATGAGAATTAAGACGGCCCAAAAGCTTAGAGGTTGCTTTCTATCTCTAAAATGTGACTAATTCACAAGGATTGGAATTTCACAACACAAGGCTCTAACATGAGCTGTTAATGAAAAGTAAATTTGTTGTGATTTTGGCTAAAGTTGTGGATTTATTTTCTTTTGATTGTACCGTGCTTGCAGGCTTCAGACCACTGGTAGCTGGACGAGGCGAGGATGCTCGGTTCTGAAAACAAACATAACGCATACTTCCTGCGCTTGTGATCATCAAGGAATATTTGCTGTCCTGGGACAAGAAAAGGTATGGATCAAAAGTTAATGTTCTTTGTACGTGCTCAAAGGACATAACCAGCAAAGCAAGAGAGTATGTCCCCTAAAGCCATTAAATGGAAGTCTTGGGAAGGAAACTGGTAACTAAGAAAAAATTAAAGATTTCTTTCACCTGGTCGAGAAGGAAATTATGACCAATAATTCTAATTTAACTTCACATTTAGAGCCCCCTAGATAGCTCGCTCTCAGGCTACATTTAACGTAGCTTGTACAATTTGTTCAACATTGTAATTCAGTGTCATCTTTCAGGACTAAAATACCCTAGCTCTCGAAAATCTTTTTCTTACTGGTGACTCAGTTGAGAACTTTTTGCAAAACTTCCGATTTCTTGTTTGTTTTTTAGATTGATTCCAGCAAACTTAACCTGTTGGCAAATACGTACATTGGAATTGGGATTTCATATTTCATTCTCATCTTGGCCATTGTGCATATTGTCTGGAAAGTGTAAGTATCAGTAGAACCATCGGTATTCAAATAAGTGTGGGAGGAAGCTATGCCATTTTTATATCTTTTTTGTTCACTAAGACCTTCTCTTTGCTAGCGTATTGGGAAAGAATTGAAATTTTGCCTTCTTCTGAACAATGTCAGGTTTATTCGCTACAAAAAAGAAGTTTCCTTTGCATTTTTATATGTATTTCGTTAATTATAATTATATTGACTCTTTTTAGCGAAATCCACGGTGGAGAAGTCATGCGCATTAACATGTGTGTCGCCATTATGATCATGCAGTCTGTGTTCCTGATTGGCGCCCATGTCAAGGCTCAACAGGTAATAAAAAATGTCAGCAGATTGAAATGAAAATGGTCGCGCCGGAAAGGACAATATTTGTCCTATCACAGATAAAAGATGACACTGTGTTTAGTTACTGGCCATTCTCAGCACCGACAAAGTCCATAAATCTGAAGAAAATACTCTTGATATATTAATTGTAAAAATCCAGCAACCTAAGTCGCCATTATGAATCTGCTTAGCAGCTTGGCCCTCTTTGATTTCATTCCGTCTAAATTGGCGGGAAACTCGAGAGGCCGGGTTGTAGGTTAAGGTAGCAGGCAGTTACTATCTGATATGTAGCCTAAGAAAACAGCTAACATTTCGGGACCTTCGCAACTGGAGAAATGACATCTGGGAAATGAGTGCAGAAATTCCATACTGATAACAAGGCACTACCCAGATCTGAGTGGTAACACGTCATCAGTTTGGAATATCTGTGCTCGTTTTCAGACGTCCTTTCGCGGGAATACCAGTAGTGACGTCGCGCAAAATGTCGGCTGTTATCTCAGGCTATCAGATATCTAAAAAGTACGCCTTCCTTCACCCGAAATCCTAAATTTTAACAAGAGAGCCATGATACTGTTCTTTCCCCATCAATCTAGCCTTGTCCTCATCGTTTTATTAAAACTTTTGTTCGCAGGCTCTTTGTGGATTTCTTTCCTTCGCCGTTTATTTCTCTGTTTTGGCTGAGTTCTGCTGGCTCCTTCTTCATGCTCTGAGAATCCATGGCAAAATCAAGAAACTCTTTGCTTCCAATCTCAACATTGAGATTGTGTATTTCGGAATTGGATGGGGTATGAATATTTAAGTTGCTCGGTCATTTGAACTTTCCTATTGATTGCAATTTGCACCGATCTGCAAAACCTCCCGTCAAACCCACCTTCATTTATTAATGAATTATGCGCCAATAATTAAAATTTGTCGGCTTGCTCTTGAAGTAACTCTGTGACTTAAAAAACAAATCAAAAGTCATTAAGTTTTAGATTCACACTATGCGATTTCTCTCACAGACAGTCAAAACTAGAACTTAAGGTTTTCTTCATATCAGAGGGCAGTAAGAAGCACAACGTCAGCAAATTCGTTGAATCGTTGAACAGTAAATGAGACTGTCAGCATTGTCCATATCCTCGTTTAAAATACTGTATTTATTTTCTCAGAGAATAAACCACTGAAAGAGGCGACAGGGTCATTTGACTAAATCAACGATTTGCGTTAGCCATAGCTTCTTATAGATTAGCTTAGTTAAATTCACTAACTATCTCACGATGACATTTTGATGTTGCTTACATGCAGGGTTGCCGCTGCTTTTGGGACTTATTGCCATTGGTGTAAAGATCAACTTGAAGAATCCAGATGACGTGTAAGTACCTTTCCTTACATTCAGTTACCGCTCTAATATTTCTGCTAAGCATGTCTCCGATTATTTCTCAAACTGTTGACATTCTTTTTTGGTCATTTGACAGCTGCTGGGAGGCGGCAGTTGGAGGAGCCATGTGGGGATATGCGATGCCTGTCATTGCCATCGCTTTGGTAAGCAACGGCTCATAATGAGTCAGGGAATTAATTTTGTGAAGTCGTATTTATTTGCATTATCCCTCCGAAAAGGTGATTTCCTTGTTTTTGAAGGCATGGATGAGCGGTTGTACTAGCAAGAGATCAGATCCAATGATCGCTCTGCCATTAATATACATCGCATGCTCTGAAACCGCGGAAGTTGCTGCGTGTCTTTCTTGGTGAATTTTGGTTCAATTTTCATGCCCTGTATCACATTTTGTGTTTTCTTGCTGGTTCTCGCGCGCCCGACGCGCCTAACACCCAGTCTATTTTCATTTCGCCCTGCTGTTAACGTGATTTGTTTCCCTAAATTCCTCTTTAATGTTCTTGGCATTAATGATAAAAACGTTTGAAACCCTCGGTTGTTTTTCCAGTTAAATGTGGCTGTCTTGGTGAAGCTGCTCACTCCAACTCAGGATGTGAGAGACGGTTACGATTATGAAGAAATGAGGTAAGTATAAAACTGGTACGCATTATTTGCACAAAGGAGATGCTCTGTAAAAGCTTGCAAATTACTCAATTTTTGTAAATACAAGACGGTCTCAGCAGAGAAAAAAATACAGTAGGGGACATCTCTGCTTTTGGGTGCCAGTCAACCAATGGTAAACCAGGAATGGATAACCTTTAAGACTTACGGGATTCGCTCAAAGAAAATTCAGCAGTTGATGTGAAAGAACTGAAGGAGAGGACGCAGATAGGAGAAAGTCAGAAGAACATCATTTATCGAGATTGTGAAAAATTTTTATCTCGGAAAAAGTAAACTTTAAAGATAAAATTACTGAGATGACTATTTCTTTACCGCGGCAGGAGTCGCAGGACTGGAGCTCAGTCGGTAGAGAACTTGACTGCAGAGCGGGAGGTCGAGGGTTCGATTCCCGGGGCAGGACAAATACTCAGTTTCTTAAGTAGCTGAGAAATAAATGTACTGCCCTTGCCCTGAAGCGGCTTGCCTTTCGCGTAGCTGGGATGACCATGTAAAATGGCGGTTCCTTCTCCGAATAGTATCCTCAATTACCTTCGTGTTCAATACGTTGACATTCAAATAAAGTGCATTTTTTTTATTTTTAACGAAGCTTACTCATTGCAGGTATCGCGTGATTAAAGACATGTTTATTCTGCTGTGTTTTGGGTTAACCTGCACATTCGCTTACCAGGCCGTGGAAGAAGAACGATTCCTTGAGCAGTATCTGCTCTCTTCTTTTGTCATCATGCAGGTAAGTCACGCGACTATTCATTAGCTGCCTGGTCGTGACACAGCTGTCACGTAAAATGCAATGTTGCTACTGAAGATTATCATTCGTTCCACATTTTCTGTCACCACACCCTTTGAACTGTTATAGGCTGGTTTTCACTGGCAACGGATTCGGATTCGGAGTCGGAGTAGTAATCAGAAGCGTAGCACTTTACGATCTAGTGAAAACAGGGCTCTGTTTCTTCTGATTCCGCTTACGACATTGTCGTTTATTTTACGATCAAGTGAAAGCTGGGTCGTCGGAGTCGCAAGTAGAAGCGGAAGAACTAAACCAGTCACAAAGCGTGGAAACGTGCATTGTGATTGGTTTATCCTTCCGCTTCTCTTTCCGACTCCGACAATCTGGTTTTCACTATATAGATCATAAACGGAACCTAAGTGACGAAGTCGTGAGAGGAGTCGGAAGAAAATGGAAAACGTTCTGATTCTTCTGACTCCGATTACGTCGCGCTTATGACCCCGCTTACGACTCCGATTTTTGATTTTCACCAGGTCATAAGCGCTCTTGTGACTCAGTTTACGACTCCGACTCCGTCGCTAGTGAAAACCAGCCCTAAGTTTCGAGCTTTTATCCAACTGATCTGGTGAATGCTTTTTTTTTCTTATTCTAGGCTCTTGCCATGTTTGTCTTCGGAAGGGAGGTAAGAATTTTAAAACGGATGAGGGAATGTGCAATTGAAATGAAATTTGAAGTAAAAACGTCTTGAAGTGTCGAATGTATCTAGCTGAGAGAAAATCATCCTCAATATATACAGGAGAAATCTAAGCAGAGAGGTTACAGAAATTTTATGTGATAAAGAAATGTAATGCATTATAAAATGCAAGAGAAATGAATAAGGTAAAGACTGACTGAAACAATAAGAAAACGAATGAATGAATGAAAATTGAAAGGGATACGGTTAAGTAGGTCTTAAAAGAATTGCAAATAATCATCACTTATAAGTGAGACTGGCAAAAACGAGTTTCCACAGTAACTGAAACTTCGGCAAAACCGCAAAAGAGTTGAATATTTTTTAATGACGACTTGAACGATCTTTGTCAGAACTCCCTAGAGAAAGCTTTGAACTTAACCAATTACAAGACCTTCATATAGGAGTTCTTATCTTGAAGTTTGTTTCGAGATTTTTTAGGTTCTTTAAGAAGAAACAACAAAGAAGAACAACTGCTTGTTCCTGTTCTCTACCGAGATAACAAAGTGATATCATAGACCGGCTGTACTTTGCTCCCAGGGAGACCACGTGACTTAGTTTAATCCCATCATTCCCTACGTGTACTCAAAGACGGCGAGTTAAGAGTAGCCTGCCAGACGTTTTTGAGCGACGCACATCCATATTCTGCAGTTGTTCGCCCACATTTTTGGGCAAGAGCAGTACAACCAGGCATTACCAATTTTGCAGCGTCAAGATGTATTAAAGGGAAGAAGGCCTCACTTCCGATTGACGAACGTCACTCAGGTGTAGCAGACTAACTTCGTTGTGAAATACTCATAAACATGTCTCTTGAATTTTCAGGGTCGGAAAGATTTCATTAAGCGCGTCGAGAAAGCCAGAGCGGAAACGGAACCCGAACCTGCAAAAGAAGAACCCGTAGAAAATATTTACGAGGATATCGAAGAAGAAAAGGCTCCCGAGGAAAAAAATGCAGAGAAAGGACGAGTTAAGAGGACTCGAAAAAGAGCATCAGTGAGTTAAAGTAGCTTCTTTTTAAAAGCTGAACGTCTTGCTGACGCCTCGAAATCACACCTAGGTTCAAAGATGCCAAATTAACTTGACAGAGTGACTACTTCTATATTAATAGGTGGTGTGAGAACGGCATATTTAACGGCAAAAAAAATTTGCTAATAAGCAAAACAAGGCCATATCAAGCGCATCGAAGTTAGTCAAAAATGCTCCACTACGCGTTGTATTTCGATTTCCCTTCTGTTGGATATGTCATAAATCACTGTATTTCGTGTTAATATTACCTTAATATTAACTCTGAATCATGTCTTTCAGAACAAACCACCAGAGAGGATTGCCGTTTCCACGTTGAAAAACCTCAATATCTACAAGGAGGGTGACCAGTACGTCATCGAAGCTTGAGCCTATCAAAATCGCCGATTTTCATGAAACTTTTTTGCAAAAAAATGTAGATATTACAGCTGAGGAGAACATCCGTATATTCAAGATTGAAATAACTCTTCATCCATCAAGCTTCAGGCAGTTTTGAGCAATTTTTGTTACAGTCGTTATCGGATCATTTGAGGCTTCTGGTTAACTGACCTCCTACCCTTCCCCTAAGTCACCCTAAGTTTTGTCTTAAGTGAGAAGTAAGTGCTAATGTTGAATTAGGGGAGGAGTGGGTGGTCAGTTACACAGAACCCTCAAATGATACTAGGGAGCTTAAGGGCCTGTTTGCATGAAGGTGGGGAACCCCAGGTAGGTGAGGTAACATGTGGCGGGTTACCCGACCTAACATGTAAACGTGATCACATTAATTGCGTGAACAGGCGGGTTACCCCACCTAAGCGGGTTACCTCACCTACCTGGAGCCCGCCACCTCCATGTAAACAGGCCCTAAGCAAAAACGACGGCGGCGGCTACGAAAACGTCACTTAAAAAGTTAAGAAGCGCTGTTTCAAACTTTATCTCGCTTATTCCATCTCGTTCAATTCGTCAAATGTTGGCAATTTGAATTCTAACAGGCTGTTTCGCAGTTTAGGAAAAGAAAAAGAAAGTCGTTGGTTTCGTTCACGTCCTCCAGTTGTCCTCCACAAAACGTGAAATTAGGCATTTTCACGTTGTAGTTGTGCAGTGACGGCAAAGAAATGTACAAAAAAGCGTGATGCACGTGCAGAGTTGGTATTTTTTAGACCTATTGTTTGTTTGCCGGTCTCGTTGACGTCACCGGCGTCGTTGCTTAAGCCCTGGCGACATTAGAACAGTCGTATTTAATGTGTACTACTATGAAATGTGTAACTGTTAATGTGTACTCTCTTTTGAAGATGAAGGAAAGTTTCTTATTAAACTAGTGAACATTGTAACAGTCGTGTTTAATGCGAACTCTTTTGTAGATGAAGAAAAGTTTCTTATTTAATTACTTTGTTTATGTGCGGTAACTTCTGTCTTCGGTCGTCTTAGGCTCATACTGCTTTTCACAGAAGAATTATTATTAAAAGAACTTTCTAGAGACATGGAGCACTCTATTATTACGCGGCAGTAGCTATTACGAATATCGTAATACCAATTGGTAACTTGCGGTCAAGCCGTTTGAATATTCCACTGTAGATCTTTCGTACCAGGATAAATTTTTTGCCGTTATACTGGTCTGAAGCGGACTCCAAACGTTTTCTGCCGTATACTGAGGCTATTTGCTTCGTCTTTTGCGCGCAAAAACTAGAATTCGCTTACAAAATAGTCCAAAAACCATGAGCAAACTGACTTTTGTGATAGTTTCTTTCCCGTAAATTCGATCAATCATAATTTTGATTCAACCATAAAATGATATGGAATATTAAATACCCTCACTATTAAAAAAAAATAGAGAAAAAGAGAGAGAGAGAGACAAATTATAGATATATCCTACTTTGGTGTGACAAAAACTGAATAATTATTTCACTGACAAATTATGTCACAAAATAAATCAAAGTTACTTAGGATACATTAAGGCAATGTTATTACCCACCACCTAATCCTGAATAAGCATGACAATTGTTTCTTAGAACTTTCTAGGCTTTCTGAAAAGAACCTGCCGTGACTTGAAGTAAATAAAATATTGCTATAACAATGGATGTTTTGGTTTCCTACCGACCGCATCTATTGGCTGACAGTAACTTCCGGGTTGCTTGTGTCACACAGGCTGTTTCGTCTGAAGGGCAAACAAATTTATATTAGTTAAATTTGAATACACTGCTCATATTATTTACAATTTGGAAGGGTTTTTTGAAGTTCGTACCCGGAATATGCGGGTTCGCAGTTCGTCTGATGTCTATTTTACGCGAAGGAAAGCTAACTTAAGATGTAAGACCTCCTAAACTCAAGTAAGTAACAATCATTTGCGACGACAACCGACTTATTAGTGGTTTCAAATGGTGTTGTGCGTTGCAGACGTGAATTTTTCAAATTTAATCTTCACTATTCAAACCGATGGTCTCGGAATTACTTCGTGGATTAAAGGGGTTTGTTCCCGTTATTGTCACAAGTTTATTGTTGAGCTGTTATGAATGTGTTGTAAATCAGACATTCAATATGACCGATTTCAGGTAAAACGTGATGTTGGTGTGAACTCTCATTTAAAATTGCTTTTATATCAGTGTCTGGTGTTTTCCGATCAGGGGCACCCAACGACTGTTTTCTGTAAAATATCTGTTCGGAGAAGCAAATATTACCTAGAATTTTCTATAACTTGAGGACGGCTAAAAATGTATTCATGTAGAATTTTCGACGATTTTCCAATAAATTCACTACTGCGTCTATTGTCTGAAGTTTAATTTCACATTTTACTCCCCACGTTAGGCTATTTTCGTAGTAAAAAGGAAACCTAAAATTTTCGGATTCAAAAATGCGATGTAGAGAGGAATTAGAAAAATTCTCACTTTCGTAATAAGACGTTAAATTACACCTAAAATTCTCGGGAAAGTACCACTGGAGCCCCAATAATTTCCAACAGACTCAAGTTGCCCTATAGGATGACCGAACAGATACAAATTTTATAGCGCCGCTTAGAATGCATTTCTAGAGATCTAAAAGTACTCTGGATAGCCTAAAAGGTGTTTTCAATGTATGTAGGAGGAAACTGTCGTTGGGTGCCCCTGTCCGATGCAAAGGAAAACAGCAGCTAAGGGCTACAGATGAGAAAGGGAAAATTGGCAACGCTCTGAAACATGAATCACAGTTTCTTTGTAAACATATATTATGAGCGAATTGTTATGTCTGGCTGAATAAGGCTTGTTAACTCAGAATGGTCTTGATCTTATAGAGTTTTATAGGCAAAATAATATTAAGTAACATACGTGTATGTTGAGATTGAGACATGAAGCCAGGGCAAATATTTTGTTTTTGACATAGGTTAGCGAGAGTTCAGTCGCGAGTAGCCAAAACCTGCGGGTTTATATAAGCAGGCCTGTTAAAATAACCAGAGGTCATAATTAACTCTTCGTGCTTTGGCTGCGTGACTGGATGTTAAAAATTGTTGTGGCTCCGTCGCGCGGGCCGTTCTTTCTCGCACTCAATAGGGACAGCTACGAAAACGTCACTTACAAATTGAATTCATGCTGCTTCAAACTTTATCGCGCCTATTCCAACTCGTTCAGTTCGTCAAATGTTGGTGTTTTTTTCTGGATTTGAATTTTAAGAGACTGTATCGAAGTTCAGGAAAGGATAAAGAACGGTCATTGTCTGTGTTCACGTGCTAAATTTTAAAGCATTTTCACGTCGTATTCGTGCTTTACCAAGCGCCAGCTACGCAGGCCATAGGTTTTGTTATTAAACCTGGCAGCCTTTTAAGATTGAATACTTAAGATCGGCTTTTGAATCCTATGCGGGGTGGTCATTTTTTCTTAACTAATACAGTCGATGTAGTAAGCCAGGGAGCTGAGGGAGGATACTTTGTGGTTTTTCAGCTCATGCGTTTTCTTGACTTCGAAGATCACCAAGGATTATCTCTTGATCAGACTCTGTGGTATGAATTGCATGGTACAGTTTCAGTGCTTTAATAAGGACCATAAGAATGACATATCTTTCAATAATAGCTTTAAACTAATGCTACAAAGGCAATGCAAGCCAATCGTGAGGTGGTAACGCAACCCCATCCGATGGCATGCAACATCCCCTGTAGCCTATTACTAGGAAGTACCCCCTCCCCTCCACCATCCAGGGGTTGGAGATCTGCAACAGCAGGAGTTTGTATCAAAAGTTAAAGTTCTACTGTTTTTTAATTCATCAACCCCGTTGGTATTTGGTTTACAGAGATCTACACGGGACTCAGCTTCTACAGTCACGCACGTCATTAATGAATTCAGAACATGCGACAAAACTTCGGTCTATTTGTTCCCTCGTTATCGGACGAGACGAAAAGCACTTTTACGTTTAACTGATAGAAACACGATTATATTGGTTGCAGGAATCGGCTGTACTATACCATGCAACTCAACATGGACGCCAGGAACCATTTCGCCATGAGGGCTCGAATTGAGATGCACCAAGGGAATTATCAAGAAGCCTTGCGATTTCTATCCATGGCTCTTAATCAAATACCTCCCTTCCTTGGCAAAGTTGCCGCTCCTCTTCTTGCTGATCGAGCAGAGTGCTTTTGGCAGCTGGGTCATGCTGGAAAAGCAGTGCAGGAGATGATGAATGCCAGAGACGCTGGATTACCTGCTTACGGCGAGAACTCAGAGGTAGCTTTTGTATTTTTACTGTACCAGCGTTGTTTCTTCTTTGATTGAGCGCTTGATTGAGCGCTATCTACAGAAGAATTCCGATTTCTTGAACCCTCGTTTTTCTGGGGACGTTTCGCGAGGAAACGGCGAAACCAAAGCTAACGGCAATTTTCGGGAAAATATCTGTTCCAACAGTCAAACACATTTGTTGTAATTTCGATTTTCGAACATCTTTTAATTACTCAATTTTAACAGATTTGACCCTAAAAAAAGGCCACCTAGAATTTTGGGAGCCTTTTCCTGGCTGAAATTTTTGAATTATTTTCGGATCACTAGATTTTCCTCCGAACAGATGAAAAGTTTTTTGTTTTGTATATCTTTGAATACTAAAAAGTTCAACAATGCTATTTAAGTGGTTTTGAAAAATCCAGTTTCGAGGAGAAACGGATGTTTTCGCAGGCTACTTGAACCCTCGGTTTTTCGAAATTCCCGAAAATTCGAACCAAAGCTAACTTTCCTCCAACAGTCAAACACTGTAATTTCATTTTTTTAAGGGAAAAGCCCTGGGAACGAGGTTGAATTATACACCTCTATTTGTTTTATATTATTCAACCATCTGAAAACCAGCCATTAAGATTTTTCTGTGAGACATCGTTACTTGGGAACGGAGGTGGTGGGTCAGCCTCTACTTATGCACTATGAAAATATCATTACATGCAACAACAACAACAACACTAACAACAAGAAGATTTTATTCAAATCGTTCAGTCATATAAAGACATTGCTCTAAGCCCGTAATTAGCTTAAGAGGTAGCCGAGACGGGCTCAAGAGAAAAGAAAAACATATATTACAGTACCATGCGAGCAGAGGTTTAGCCTTTACGAAGTCACAGGTTGTAAACAAACCAACTACGTGACAGGCAAGCCACCCGAATGACCTCGCGAACGCTAAAAGCCATCCAAGAGAGAAACCTGTGCTCGTAGGTTAATATTACAGGAAAAGACAATAAAAGAATACAAACCCAGATGCACCCTAGTTTTTATCTATTTAGTAATTTTGTTAATTAATCAAAGAGAAAAGCGTGAGTTATAGACACGGCAGACTAGCTCGTAATTGACACTGGTGATTATTTTGCATTAAGTCTTTGAAAAATGTTGTTTTTACAATAGATAGATAGATAGATAGATAGATAGATAGATAGATAATCTTTATTTATCCACGGTACAAAATTCGTCAGCTTTAAAAATGCCTAATACTAATATAATAAAAATATTTAAATAAAAAAGCTGCTTTCCACGAATGCCGTGCCTTACAGTTCTTTGAGTAATCGTTTAAATTGCCCAAGGGACTCTGCTTCCCTTAAGTTACAAGGAAGACTGTTCCAGAGAATGGCGCCACTATAGCTGAAGCTGTTTTTGTAATAGTTTGTGCGCGGTAATGGAACATTGAGTTTATTTTCAGAGTCCCTTAGGTTATATGCGACTTCTCGCCTTTCAAATTTAGAACTAAGATAGTTTGGAGCCAACCCGTGCAGAGACCTGTAAACCATCGTAGCTCTTTGAGGCATCAATTATTTAAGCTTGGAGGCATCAACGTAACACTTCTTTGCCCAGGTTTTGAATTTGGTCTTTTACCTTTGAATTCTCCTATCTGCTCCTCTTTAGTTCGCTCATGATCCTCCAATTACACGACCTCTATGAGTGACTAAACACATGCGTCCGCCATGTTTGCCGCCCAAAAGTATTTTTGTCTACCCATATTGTTGCATATTTTTCCACTTTCGATTTATTATTTCCCAGGAAGAAGCATGGACATGGACCAATCGTGGATTTTGTCTCTTTCGAGGACAAAGCTACCACCTTGCTGAGTGTTGCGCAAGTGTCGCCTTGCATTTTAACAATCCTTTCTGTAGACCTCAAACGTTTTTGTGCCGAGCTTTATCCAGGTACCAACTTGGAAACATTCATGGAACGCTGAGCGACGCAAAGGAGATAAAACAACTCGATAATAATTATGCAAGGGTAAGGGTAACATTTTTATCAGCTGATCTGATCACTTGGCAACAAAATTTTTGCGTGGGCCTGTGCTTCCTTTTGTGATTTGCTGTGTTATATTATATGCCTTCTTTTAATGTTTTGAGCGGTTATTTTTATGTTTCTCCCCCAGGGGGTACTCCCTTATATTTGCCTTACAGGTATGTGCCGCCCCAAAGGGTATGGTTTTTGGGCCGATTTGGTCTGAAAACGGGTATAGCCTTTGCCTATTTTGGTCTGAGTTTGGGTATGGTTTTTGAGGGATTTCGGGGGTGGATGGACCTATTTGTCGTTTGAATTCCAAATAAATAAGAAAGAAAGAAGGAGAGATATGCGAACTCGAAACGGATTTTAGGAAATCTTTTTGTTGGCGTGCACGCCCCCACCATAAATTCCCGGGAATAACCCCCCCAGGGTTTCGCTCCAATTTGGTGGTAGTTCCCACTGTTCATGACACAGCTCCTTTGATCTCTGCAGGGATCTGCTCATGATCAAAAGGAAGCTGCTATCCAGCTGTTTCAGCAGCACAACTACGAAGAAGCGTTGAAATTATTTAAGCTGGCCCTCTTGCTTCATCCTGAAGATAGTTCTGCTTCGAAGTTCAGACGTTCTGTGGAGAGCCATCAGGCAGCTGCTTATTTCAAATTAAGGCAGTACAGGAAAGCGCTTGAGGTTGGAGAGACGTCTTACAGGTCAAATTCATCTCTAAAATCGACGGTGAGATCAAGAATAACAAGTATTCTAGTGGAACCGAACCTCCAGTCTCGTACCTCAGGGGCGGATCCAGGATTTTTTTAGGAGGGGGTGCACTCGTCTCAACACTTCAACACCGATAAATCACATAGTTTTTTTTAATTTTTTTGCAGAATACCAATTTTATTAGAAAACCGCAGGTCATCCCGGGGGGGGGGGGGTGCGCACTATCTGCACCCTTCCCCTAGATCCGCCCCTGTACCTAGATCACCCACGGTGTTTAGACAAACTGAACCGAGTGCGATGAGATTACAAAGAGCCCAAAACTACTTAAATGTTTACTTTAGGGCGAAAGACTATAAAGGGTCGCTCTGAACAGAGTATGTTCTTGGTGTATTTCTTGGATCCTGTTTTTATAGACCGGCATGTTTGATGTTTTGAGTCGCGGACAATATAGACCCCGGTCAGTCTAAAGACTAAACAGGAAAGTTTCATTTCTTTTTAGAAAACTCTTAGAGCGTTTGTTGATAAGAACGATAATATGCCACTGCGAACTGCAAATGCGTATGTGGCGAACTCTGGCAAAACTGGGTGTTGCACTCTAGTTGAGAGCTGCCGGTCGCATTTTGTTACAACGGCACAATAGAATATTCAGAGTACGTGTAGGAGTCTTGCACTAGAGCCCGTAGCTTTTTCTCTGATTAAAGAGTCCGTCAAACTTACTTCTCTCGTTGAAAAAACAACCGTACGTTTGCACGGGAATACGCTGAGTAGGCAAATTTTCGACAAACTGCACGTGGAAATTGCGCACAAACGTAAAGTGTACATGAAGCGTTGATTACCTAATGAATATTATGGTATTTTTTGCAATGCTTATGCGTGTTGCGTATTGTTTTTTCTACAGGAAGAAGCAAAAAGGTGGAAAGAAAGAGGCAATCATCTCTCGAGGGAACCCGATTCAGTGGAGCTAGCGATCGCTTACTATTCACTTGCACTTAGTTACACTCCACCAAATGAAAGAGATCTTAAAGCGACCATTCTTTCAAACCGATCTTTGATGTACAAAAAGACAGGAAAAGATGAGGAGGCGCTCCGTGATGCCCAGCAGTGCGTGCAAAACAATCCCAATTGGGCAAAGGTAACTAAATCATAAGGCTCTCTTTTTTATTTAATTTGGCAAGCCACGGCACACCGAATGTCGCAGGGGGAAAAGTGTTGCGATTTGTTTCCATTCGTGAAAAATTTCGGGTTTGTTTCGGTGTACTGAAGAACCTGTACTTTTTCTTTGTTTCGCACCTTATTTCTTACTTCTTACATGACTCCGAGGCTCTATGGACAAAATTGGCAAATTTTTCACGACTCCATTCTCTCGCAATTCCCAGAAAAGACTTGAGCTCAAAGGAAAGCGAATCAAATACAGAAATACCGTAAAATTCCGAAAATAAGCCCCTCCAGATGAGCCCCTCAAACTCGTAACGAGGGGGACATGGGGGTTTACGGTATTGCGGTATTGGGCTTTTTTTCATGCGGTATTTCGGTAATTTTAATTTTAACGTGCGGTATTGCGGTATCATCTAGCTCTGCGGTATGCGGTTTTTCATCATTTTGACTGACGGTATTCGGTGAAATAAGATTGTTCACGGTATTACGGTACCGTTTATTTGCGCTTTCCTTTCGATACAATACGCAAAACAAAACACAGTAAGACATAAAGGTCAATAAAAGTTAATATTTAGAAGTCTTGAGACATAACGGTAAATGATTACACCATTTGTGGGTCATTTTGTGACAGTTAATGGTCGATAATATACAATGTGATTGTTGTTGCATCCAATCATAATGAGTCGTCTTAAGTTACCTTACCAGGCTTGTCGATCTGTGTACCTGCGCCGGTAATTCGAGGTCTTAAACGTTTTCTCACAATGTCTGAGGTCTCTGAGGTTGAAGACGGCGTGGTCATCATTGACTGTGTGGCAATTTTTTATGAAGAGGGCGAAGGAGGCGAACATTATCGCAACAAGAATAAGTTTAGATGATGGGTTTCGAGAATTGAAAAACGCCTTGTAAAGTACAAAGCGAAAATTTGGTAAGTTTGCTTCTTAACAGCGCGGCGTCATCCTCGGAGACCCGGGGCAGATAAAGGGGGCGAGGGAAAGTCTAAACGGGCGGAAAAATATATATGGAACGAAGAAAAGTAAAGAACGGCGAGAAGAGCCCCTGGGACAATGTCTTACCAGACCAGTTCCAAACCGTCGCCGCCGTTCTGGCTTCTGATTGGTGCCAGTGTTTTTCTGGCACCAATCAGAAGCCAAAACGGCGGCGACCGTTTGGAACTGGTCTGGTAAGACATTGTCCCAGGGGCTCTTCTCGCCGTTCTTTACTTTTCTTCGTTCCATATATATTTTTCCGCCCGTTTAGACTTTCCCTCGTCCCCACTATCTGCCCCTGGGTCTCCGAGGATGGCGCGGCGTCTGATCTGACCCCTGAGAGACTGACGTGCTAGACTAGACTCACTTTATATCAAAACTCGCACTAGACGTGCGTGAAAGGGTTTTGGTTGGTTTGTTTTTCGCGCTTTCAAGAGTTATTTTTATTGGAGTTAATTAGCTGTTGGGTCGAAATACCAAAAGGCTGAACGAATGTAGTTTATTTTTCAGTGAAAATTTGCGGAAAATTGCGAACTACCAAAATATTTTAAAAAAACATGGACATCTGGTGCATAAATGCCTGAGATAATTAAACGCGCTAGATGGAAGCAACCATAACTATGCGCAACCGATTATAAATGTGATTAAAATATGCGGTATCGGTATTTAGACGATTTTCGACGCGGTATTTCGGTATCTGCCATTTTTTCTTACGGTATTGCGGTATTGGGTACCCCCCAATGTCCCCCTCCGTAACGCAAAAAACCCACCGTTAAATCGCCCCACCAGATATAAGGCGCCCGGGGGCTTGTGCTTGGAAAATTGCCCTCAAATACAAAGTAAAACAAAGCCAAAACGGTAAATTTACTTCCAACTATAAGGCTAGACCAATCGATTTTGAAACGCAAATTTCCCTCCGTATAAAAGCCCTTCCAAAAATAAGCCCCTCAAAAAGGGCCTTTGAAAAATATAAGCCCCGAGGCTTATTTTCAGAATTTTACGGTATGACCAGAAAGCCTCAGAGCCATCCTAGAATTTTAATATATCGAACGTGGGCTATTAATATGCAGTGAGCTTAATACACGTGTCACTGTAATTCGTTTGGAATCATTTTCTTGCAGCCTTAACTTATTGATTCCTCAACCGATTAAGGTGTAACTTTGGTGTATGACACAAGTGGATATGCTTGTTCAAGGTAACTGTACTCTTTGCCTTTTCATTTTCGCATGCTTTATTTAGGCCCAATACCGTCTAGGATCGTGTCTTTTTGCTCGCGAAAGATTTAAAGAAGCTTTGGACGCGTTCTCAAGATCTTTGCATTCACTACTGAACGACTCCTCAAGCTCAGAGAAAGACAGAATGACCACTTTGAATCAACTTTTGCAAGTGGCATTAAAACACCCAGGTATTTTTGTTTAGTTTATTTACTTCATTAACATGCGCTTCTTGTTTTGAAAACGAGGTACAAAAATGTTTATTTTGAATTATTGGCTTAACCTAAGCCGATTTTAGAGGGATTTGTACAATTTGGAAATGGGTCTTGTTTCATCGTGTTCTTTCTGGATATTCCAACCTATCCCATAATTTCACAATTTAGTTTTTGTGACGTCATCTCTTCTGGTCTCAATGTCAAAATCATTGATCTGACAGACAGCAGCACATATTACGGAAACATTTCGAAAGAATTCATCTTCCAAACCATGGAAACGTAGAGCCTCACACACACGAGATTTATGTATTCAATATTGTGAAGCACACGTTTTAGTCAGCTTGTGCTCTTGAAACGTCCAACTTTTCGTAAGCCAGGTAATGAAATCATACCACCTATCTTTAGGTGGCACATCTGGTATCCACTACAGCGTTCCTCGAAACCTACTCCAAACAGTAATCACTGAGGCTGTGGATGATAAAGACTGGTACCGACTTCATCTTCTCTTCATGGGCGGTGGAGGAGAAAAACGTTTTCAGAAAGGCTCAGGGGGCCTGGGAACTGGCTGCGACGCAAGTAGTGTTCCCTTGGAAGAAGTCATTCACTGCGATTTCAAAGATCTTACAGACTTTATAAGCGTCTTATTGGATCACAAAGCCAGCTGTGATCCTCCAAAGGGGCGCGAAAATCCTGTTGATGTTGCCATTCAATTGCGCAAATTTGATGTTGTGAATATTCTGATGAACAGATGCAAAAAAGCAGGGCCGTTCCGCGAGACAACCAGCACAAGTAAACCCGTTAAGGTATGAATGAACATGAGAAGCGACTTTTTTCTGCGAACCTGCATAGATTCATTGGATTGTCTCAGTTAAAAATCTCTGTGAAGGTTTATAAGCGGCGTCACACGCTCCAAGGAATCGGAGTTTGAAGGATCCCAACGTTAAAAATTTTAATTCTTACTATGCATACAACTTACCGCTTACGATCTCGTGAAAACCAGGCTTCTGTAGTAACAAGTAGAATCGGAAAAATAATTCAGTCACATCACTGGTTATCACATTGATATTCCTCCCACTTTATTTTTTCAGCGAACGTTCAAGGCCGATGCTTTGGAAGCTATACGTAAGGACGACAATGGCAAAGCAATTGAACTGTTAAAGCTGTCTTTAAAACACGACAAAAGCGGCATTGAAGAAGAACGCAAAACGCTTAAGAGTTTGTGCGAGTTGTACTTTAGAGAGGCCTCGTTCAAGGAATGTCTCGAAACAGGAAAGAAGTTAAAATCTACTTTCTGGGGAGAGAAAAGTGAGGATAATAATTCCTTCAGGGTAAGTTCATCATCAGCACCATGGCCACCATCATCTTCAAATTCACCATCACCGTCATCATCATCGTCATGATTATCGTCGTCATCATCATCATCATCATCATTATCGGCCTCGTCATCATTATTATCATCATCGTCGTCATCATCATTATCATCATCGTCATAGTCAGCGTCATCAGCATCTTCATCATCATCATCATCATTATCATCATCATTATCATCATCATCATCGTCATCATCATCGTCATCATCTTGTATCTGTACTGTGCATGCGGTAGCTCCGCTTTGCTTGCGTGTAATTGTTATGGATGCTTTTTTGTCTTTTGCTAGATCGAACAAGCTAAGCAATGGAAAAAATGGGGCAACGAGCTTCACAAGGAAAGCAAATACGAGTTCATGGCTGAGTTCTACAGTCTTGCTTTGGCGTTCACACCGCTATCAAACAAGGAGATAATGACAGCTCTCCTCTCTAACCGATGTTTGGCGTTTAATAAGTTGGAAAAGTTCAAAGAAGCTTTAGCAGACGCAGAAGAATGCATCAAAATTAAGCCTGAATGGTTCAGGGTGAGTCGCCTTTTTAGCTTTGAAAATGTTCACAAATCTCAAAGACCATTAGTATAGGTAATAGCAAGATTTGTAGTGATATTTGGCATAAATACCACAAGTGATATTTCAAAATTGTTATACATAATTTCACGAGCCGTTAGGCGAGTGAAATTTGAGACAACTTTGAAATATCTCGAGTGGTATTTATGCCAAATATCACGTACAAATCATGCTATTATTTGTTTATACTACTACCCACAAAAGGGTTGTAATTTTCACATGTAGGTATTTCAAATGAAGCTGAAATACCATTGCTCTAAGCCAATCAAATTGCAGAAATTTCTCATGTAGTAATATAAAATAAGAAATAAAAGGTATGGGTACAGATCTAGATGCGATATGACTGATGTCGTGCTGTTTAGTCATCTCTGTGCTCGTCTTGAAAATGGTTAAATCTTGGGAGTGTTTTATTGAAGTGCAAAAAGTTTCAAGGTGCATTATGTGTTGATGATATAGAGGCTTCTAGGTAAATCTCACACGCCCTTCCCATAATTGTTACTTCTGTAAACCTATCTTGCTCCATTTTTTTTCTGTTAGGGACATTCGCGTCAGGGAACTTGCCTATGTCACCTAAAACGAAAGGAAGAAGCTCTTGAAGCGTTCTGTAAAGCACATACCTACGCTTTAACTGAGAAAGACAAAAATGCCACTGCCGATGACGTAATTTCCGTCGCTATGGACATAGAAGGTTGGTGACCTGCCTTGGACCTTTCCAAATAGACAACCGTGACAAGAAGCTGCTGATACAATAACGATATCTAACAATAAAAGCAATAAATTGAGATCCGTTCACACACACAGTAGGTGTAAATCTATACGTTCAACGAGAAACGCCTAATGCTCTTAGACTGGTTGGCTATTTGTACATGTGTCACCAAGCAATTCTTCTTTTTCCTGTTTTTGAGTTGAACCGAGATTGGTGGTCATAAGCTCGTGACTTGTTTTTTAAAAAGCATCAGAAGTATTATTATTAGTATTTATTCTACCCCCTCAACTAGACAATCTTTCTTTCTATTAGACTACTTCTCTTTCAAAGGTTCTAATAAAGGCTCACACAGCCTTTTTCCCTTTGAGATTAACCTCGTATAGTCGACCAGTTCTTGCACCAACCCACTCACGGTCTCTTCTGAGGCTGGCAAACGAACCTTACTATTCCAACAGGAATCATATATTTTCATAGTTTTTTCCTCCTTCGTGACAATTTTCTGGGGGTCCAAGATGCAGTGGTTATGTCCAAGCCATTGGATACTCCGCATAACAAGTCATACCACCTTGCCTGGGTATGAATGGCAGACATTTCCCTCGAAAATAACCGACACATATGGGAAAGTAACCGCATGTTTCTGTTTAGTTGCAGATAGAGAAAGCCGGATTACTTGCCACTTCTCTCCCGATACACTTCAGCATCTGGTTAAAGAGGCATCGGAGAGGAAAGAGTGGATGAAACTAAGATTATTGTTTCTTGGTTCAGCGAATATGGCAGCCAGAGGAGTATGTTTCGAATGTGACGCCTCATGTGTTCCCTTGGATCTCCTCATTGAGTCGAATGTCGAGGATTTACACAATCTTGTTTTCCATCTCCTCCAACGAGGTGCCTTGCCCGATGGTTTGAAAGAATGTAGAAGACCTCCTCTATTGGCTGCAATGGAAATGAGGAAATTCCCTTTAGCTGTGACGTTGTTAAGAAACCAAGCTGACCCTTCGTGCATTGTTGGGCATGGAATATATATAAATAAGGAGGTACGTGAAGTAAAACGAAACATGCAACTCATCAACCATTCGATCCCACACTAAATATAATGTATAAGAAATATCGAGCTCAAGAGGGATCTAGGATTTGAGCCATTACGACACTAATACATCATCATTTCTTGTAGGGTCAACCGAAGCAGTGGCTTCACCTTGGTCGCAAAGCAGTTGAGAGCGGAAACCATAAAAAGGCAGTCATGCTCCTCAACATGTGCATTCATCTCTCCGATTCTGGCCAAGATGTGTCAATATTAACAGCGGCGTACCAAGCTTTGGCAGAGGCACACTTCAAGCTGGAAGAGCATGAACAATCTATCAACGCTGGAAAGGAATGCTTTAAATTTCGTCCACATAAATCAGAGGTATTCTTCAATTGTTGAGATCATTCTTTGAAGGACGATTTTAAATTGTTAAGTTAAAAGCAAAGTGATGGTATCCAGAGACTCAAAGGCAAACAGGAGCATGACAATAATGTACGCAAGTTGTAAAAGGAACTGAAAAGACACGAATAAGTCTCTGGGTCTGCTTCTGACTCGCATTTCTGATCAGTCAGGTACAGATATGTAAACATGCACAGTTATCTAATTTTCCCCTTTGATTGAATAAAGGAGATGGTGAGATTCCGCTCTTCAGCTAAGGAAACAAATTCACGTACATAAACAAGGGATAGATAACAATGTGATGGCGCTGATAACAAGAAAATAAATACCAATTCATTAAAAAATACATATACACGTAGATCATTCAATATATTCCTTAATTTCTACGTTAATCTTTATTAAAGGATGAAGCCAAAAGTTGGCAATTTCGGGCATCCCACATCTATGATTTAGGTCTCTACCTGCCCTGTATCGAGTGCATTAACCTGGCTTTGAAGTACACCCCAGCGGAGTCCACAAGGACCTTCTCACTTCTGTTATGTCAACGGTCTAAGGCTGAGCGGCAGTTAGGTCAACATTTAAGCGGCTTGGAAGATGCAAAAAGAGCCTCAATGATGACACCAGATATGCTGGAGGTAAGCAAAATTAACTTTAAGTACCCCTCTTGCTGCGGCTGTAGATGGTAGGTGTATAGGACGTGTCTGCCAGTTCAAATCAGTAGATTTCTGGCCTCGTGTTAAATCATAGCCATTTATTTTTGGAAAAAAGTGCACACATAGTAACGTTTCAGACCGTGGTGTATCCCTCAACAGTGTCGGAAGGCCAAGGGAAGTGCGAGTATGATGGGGGAAACATCGGAAAAGAAATCATAGTATCTGCCCAGAACTGGGATCGGGGTAGCTTTGTGACTGTTGGTTTTACCTTGGTGGGGGTTAAGGATGATATATTTTGAGGAGAGCTAAATATGGCCATCCTACACTCAGCTCTCGCTGATCAGGTGGGTCTTCGTGCCATGGCATAGTGAGGCTAGAGACAAAATGATGATATCTGATGAAGTTCATTTCATTTTTTTCTAGGGGTATTTGAATCACTACCGTTGTCTTCAAGCACTTAACAGAGGAAGTGAAGCGATGCAAGCGATAAATGAGTGCCTAAAACGGACGACAAATGAAACATTATTGGGCGACCTTCTAAACAATGCACTCGACATTGCTGTTACCCTTGAAGGTACCACGATACAGTTTTAGCCAATTTTGAAAGTTCCACAGCAGTGTACAAAGAAAGTAGTGTCCGATAGCCTGGGGCTAGTAGATTTTGTTATCGGGCGAGTGAATTCTGTTTTTAACTTGCCCGAAGGGCAAGTGATGTATTTTGAGGAATTCGAATAACAAAAGAACTGTGCAATCAATTCTGCTCGTCGCAAAGCTTTTGGGGCTACTTGAAATGACGTCTGGGCTAGTAAATGCTAGCTTCAGCTTGCCCGAATGGCAAGCTGTAAAAGTGATTTTCTTTGCACCCTGCACAGTATACGTTTTTTAACACTAACGAAAGAAAATAATTGCTGTCACATCACAGTTTCTAAGCTCAAACTCGGTGGCTGTGTTTTCGGTTGTTCTGCATCTGGTTGTTTCTCGCAAACAACATTTAAAATTAAACGGTGCGTTAAGTTTCACCAAACGTTGCCATCATTTATGGGGAACAAACGGCAGCTGAACTGAAATTTTTCCTATTCGTTTTCAGAAAGAACATTGGCTCTCACCAACCCAATCCCAAGATATCTTCTCGTCAACTTGTTGAACTACGTTATTGAGACAAAGGACTGGAACAAACTTAAAGTCCTTTATCTTGGAGGAGGAGGGCCTTCGTCCCTGCCAGTAGGAGTGGGAGGCCTGGCTACTAACATAGACATTGCCAGTGTTCCACTGGGAGAAGTCATTCGCCATCTTGGCCTTAAAGACCCCCTGCTAATATCAGTCTTAGTTGAGCATGGGGCATCAGTGAACTTGATTGGAGGATCGGATGTCATACCTTTGAACGAGGCAATGAACAAAGAACAGTTACCTCTGGTTAAAATGCTAGTCAAGAAAGGAGCAAATTGTTGTGCTACGGACAATGAAGGAGAACCGATCATTCACAAAGCCCTGCGAAAAGGCCTTAGTGGTGGTAATTATATTGGTTTAATTTCTCTTTTGCTACAGTACTCATGCATGCATTCAATTTTGACTAGCTCATACAGGCTACTTTTGGTAGCCTATATATAAATGTTACAAATAGTCGGTCGCCAGGGGTGTGTACTTAGGAATTACACGCATACCAGCAGAATGAAACTATAGGAGCGAATGTGTCGAGGGACGTTCTTCACCGATAGTAGGCTTACTTCATGATACCCTTCTCATGGTATCTCACCGTCTCGTCATTTACCATCAAAACGTGTCTGGATGAATTTTTTTTCAGTTACTAATTTGTTGTTTTTTGCCAGGTGATTTCAGATTCCTGGAGGCAATGATAAAATCTAAAAATCCTGAGATCGAGAACGTTCGAGACGCCAACGACAGCACCCTTTATCATATTGTCTGTGCTGGCCGTAAGCCCAACAAAAAATCACCAGCGTACGATCGCAAGTGTGACGCAATCCAGTTTCTTCGAGAAGCAAACGTCAACCCGAACCTTCCAAACAAGAAGGGTCTTCGTCCTCTTGAAATGGTTACTAAGAAAGATCATCGCTGGAAGATGATTAGTACGTCGATAGCATCTTACAGGTCTAACGCCACTGCTCCTTCCTCCTCTGAAGTACACCATGAAATTGCATTTCAAGAGGAAAAGGACAATGCTAATAGCAAACTAGCTACGCAAGACGATGACTGGTCCCGTGGTAGTGAGCTTGGTTTAACTCGAGAAGAGGGAACTTCAGAATCCACAAAAGTCAACAAAAGTAACAGGCTTGATGATAAACAAAAACACAGAATACAACTAAGGCAAAGGATTGGTGGCCTAATAGAAGTTTTATCTCCACTTGTGTCTGTTCGAATGGTAGAAAATGTAGAACAAGAAGAAAATGACATTCTGGATGAGACGTCCCTAATTTTTGACGTGACGCGCTTTGATAAGACACGAGCAGAAGAGAGAAATTTGGACGTGTCTGCTATTGATGACTACAGACAAACTGATCCCGCTGAGAAAGAACTTACAGATGACGAAATAGAGGCTGAAATTGACTTCAAAACTCCTTTTGAAGACCTTCCTTGGGAAGTCGACTGTACTGATCGAGTGTGGAAGGTAATGAGAAGCAAAAAGATCGACAACAACATGCGAAGACGTATTATCGAAAAAGTGCAAATGTTAGCAAATGGGAGATGGAGCAAGACACTTTGCAAAAGGCTGGAAGGTGAGCCAAAGAAACAGGGTATCCATCTTTATGAGTCAAAGTTGACCAAAGGTCAGCGAATACTATGGGAGGAAACTGTCGCCTTTTCCGGTAGGCTCAGTGACCTACCTGAGAACCGTTTAAACGAAGAAACTTCTCAAGGTCGAATCTACTCGGATATCATTCGTGTTTGGGACGTTGTGTTGGACCATGACAAACTTCAACGTTCAATTGACCACATCGTCAAGTCACATGACCGAGGAATGCATTGTCTAATCAAAAAGAAATTAAAAGGTATACCGGTGGAATCTCGAAATTCAAACATTGCATCAGGTGAACGCTTGCCCAACAAGTACGTGGAAATAGCAGATCCGAACATCCCAACCGAGTCAATCCACAAAAAGAGTATTTCAAAGAAGACATCTGTAAGTGACAGTTTGCCTCAAATGTTCTTCCCACCTGCAAGCGCAAATGAACAGGAATACCATATTCTCAAGTTTTACTCGTTTAACACACCCCTGGTGAAGACAGTTCTGGAAAGTGATACCTCTACAAAGGTCGACTTCCCCTTCAAGATCACAGAGCTGGAACATGCCATTGTTAACCTTCGTCCGGACCCTCCAGCTCCCATCATTCTCCTCGGTCGTAGTGGCACCGGCAAAACCACCTGCTGTCTTTATCGCTTATGGGATAATTTTCAAAGGTACTGGGAAAGCGCAGCAACTGCTGGTCCCCACATTCCACAGTATGCCCGGCCTGTAAAGGTCTGTGGAAGCGTCAGCGAAGTAGAATCCCTACCTAGATCATCCGAACAGGTTGCATGTGGCCTAAACTGCAGCCCACTTACCAAACGTATTAAGCTCGAAGACTGTGCTATGCAAAATGAAGAAAGTTCTCACAAGTCAAGCAGTTCAGATATTCCCTATTCTAGACAAGGCCTTCAATGTGAAGATGGTGTTCCTGACAATTCTTATGGTGCTTGCATGTACGAGCACTTGCACCAGATATTTATCACCAAGAATAATGTTCTCTGCAGCGAAGTTGAAAAAAACTTTAAAGAACTCTGTCGAGCGTGTCAGGCTGCGGAGCAACGTCTGCAGTATGAAGAACGATCCACCCCGAAAAAGATTCAAGATGTTGCTGAGGAGGAGTGGCCACTTTTTGTGAACTCTAGAGACTGGCTTTTGATGCTGGATGCTTCTCTTCCAGGAGAAACATTCTTCAAGCGTGCGGATGATGGAACCTTAGAACGAAAAATTGAGGGATGGGGAGAGGAGGACAATCATTTACAATTTATCCCAGCTTCTGAATCAGATGTAGAAAGTGATGAAGAGGACGACGAAGAAGAAAAAGCGAAAGTCCCCAAAGAAAACAGAGACCCAAGAAGAGAAATCACGTACCATGTTTTTCAACACGAAATTTGGCCAAAGATGAAGAAGTCTTCAAAGGAAACAGTTGACTATCATCCAACTTTGGTTTGGACAGAAATAAGATCCTTTATAAAAGGTTCTGCTGAGGCCCTGATGAGCGAGAATGGATTCCTCTCACTCGAAGACTATGAGTCTCTTGGTAGAAAAAAGGCACCAAACTTTTCCGCGAATAGAAAAGTAGTGTACGACCTCTTCCTTGTGTACCAGCAACAACGTTCGCGGTATCGAATGTTTGATGAAGCAGACCTAGTGTTCAACATTCATCGACGCCTGTTAAGTAGTCCTGCACTTGATTGGTCAATTCACCAGTTCTACGTGGACGAAACCCAAGACTTCACCCAAGCCGAGTTGTCCTTATTAATTCGCTGCTGTCGTTTTCCAAATGAGCTGTTCTTCACTGGTGACACTGCTCAGAGTATAATGAGAGGGATTGCGTTTCGCTTTGATGACCTTAAAACTCTGTTCCACCATGCAAGGAAAGCAGTTGCCATTAAGGAGGGGCATCACAATTTTATTCGGGTCCCAAAGAGGCTCTATCAGCTAACTCATAACTACCGGTCACACGCCGGGATTCTTCGTTTGGCTTCAAGTGTTGTCGATTTGCTACTCTCTTACTTTCCTGATTCATTTGACCGGCTACAAAAAGACGAAGGTTTGTTCGAGGGACCTAACCCGGTGCTATTAGAAGCCTGCAGTCCCACGGACCTCGCCCTGATTCTTCAAGGAAATCAGCGACAGTCGTCCAGAATTGAATTTGGGGCGCACCAGGTAGTTCTTGTGGTTTCTAATGAGGCCAGAGAGGCAATGCCAGATGAGCTTAAGCAGGGGCTAGTGATGACCATCTATGAAGCCAAGGGACTGGAGTTTGACGACGTCTTGATTTACAATTTCTTCAAAGATTCACAGGTAAGCGGAGTACGGTCCTTCCATTGCTTAATAGATAACAAGTAAAGAAGGCTGTTGAATGTACCCTAGGACTAAGCTACTTTCGGATTCGGTTTGTTTTCAGCTACACCAAACTGGAATTATTTGACATGACTGTTATTAATTAAACCGCGCTTTCAGTGATGTCGCAATAGTGAGAGTGCTCACTGCACTTTCCACTTATGTGGCCTGGGTTGGATTCCCAGCGTCTGCATGTTGGTTTAGCTTATCGACTTTCTTTTATCTGTTCCGGAAGAGGTTTCTCTCCAACATCCCAAATTCCAATGCAATCTTGTAGAGTGTCCTTGTGAAGTGTCGTCTACCATCAAAATGTACTTTTTAACTAAAGAGCTTCCTTTTTTGGAACTAATTTGAATCGAACCAATTTTGCAACGAAAAACAGTAGGGTTAGATAAGCCTTCATTGCTATTTTTATCATACTAGGCTGGAAAAGAATGGAGAGTTGTCACAAGTTTTGTGGAGCAACAAGACGTGGTGGATGAGTCTGGTTCCACTGGGCTGGCAGAGGTAACTGAGGAAAGCGTTCAAGTAAAACGCTCGCGTCCACTAGAATTTGATCGCGAAAAGCACAAGGTTTTAAATTCTGAGTTCAAGTATCTGTACACTGCCATTACTCGAGCCAGGGTGAACGTTTGGTTTTTCGACGAAGACGAGGAAGCTCGTGCACCGGTGTTCGAATATTTCCGCAGACTGAACCTGGTTAATGTGGTGACGTTAGAAGATCAAGGAAAGGGGACAGGTCAACTGGCTAACATGTTTGCTGTTAAGTCAACACCAGAAGAATGGCGAAAAGGAGGAATGCGCTTTTACAAGAAGAGATTGTGGGTAGCAGCGATACAGTGCTTCACATTTGCTGGCGATATGTTAATGCTCCAGAAAAGTCAAGCACAACAACAGGCAGCAGAGGCCATCAAGTTCCGTTCATCAAACCGCCAAATGATGCGAGACGGGTTCCTACGTGCTGGTGAAAGCTTCCTGCAATGTCAAATGTATGATGAAGCTGCGATTTGTCTGAACAATGCACGAGAATGGATTCTTTTGGCCAAGTTTTACGAGAAAACAGGGAAGGTAAATATAGAATTTTATACTTGTATTTTTGTGCCTTTGCAGACGTTTTTGGCATAAGCCCTTGAAGAAGGGGTGCACGTTTCTTTACTTATTGAATATTTGCCCCAAATATACTTAATCTTGACGGGCAAAAAAATCGAGCTGACATAACAATACTGATATCTGTTCTACTCTCTTTTTTACAATGATTTCTAGTATCAAGATGCTGCTCGACTCTTCAAAAAGAAAAGATTGTATCAAGAAGCAAGCAGATGCTTTGAATCGCAGAACAACTACCGCGATGCTATCGAAACCTTATGCTTTGCTGGTCGTATCGAGGAAGCTTTAAACGCCTTAGAGCGTTTCAAAATCCTCTCCTCAAGTGGTGATTCAGACGGACGACAAGGAATTATTCCACCCAAAACTACTCGTACTGTGGAAAGGATGCATTATCAATTGGCTGACAAGCATTTTAAGGAAGGAAACAAGGAAAAAATGGAGGAAGTTCTCCAACATCTTCCATCAACCAACGACCGCATTACATTCTTGAAGAATCGTGGATGTGTAATCGAGGCAGCAAGAGTAATGAGAGAAGAAGGAAAGAGAGATGAGGCGGCGTCTCTTCTGAGAAACGAAGGGATGTTTCAAGAGGCAATTAAGTACTCAACTGATCCCAAGTTTACGGCTGACTGTCTGTTATCACAAGCGCGCACAGCAAATGACTCCAAAGACACGCCGGGGATTCTTCATATGGCATTAGAAAAGTACCAACAGTGCGAAAACCTCAGAGGCCAGGCAGAGGCATTGCTAATGCTGGGTCAACTATCAAACGACGTTGGCAAGATACAAGAAGCTGGCAGATTGTTTGATAAGTGCAGAAATTGCTGCGGGGAGGTCGAGAGTGTAACACAGCTGCTTAAAACATCATCTTTCTCACCACCAGAGAGCTTAAGTCAGTGGATCATTGTAAGGGCTTTAGAGAGATTACTACGTCTTATCACTCTTTTGTACAAGCCTATCGAGCAGCGTTCATTGGGGGAGCGTAGTGAAGTGGAAAAGTGCGAAGAACACTTTGGACTTTTCGCAACTGAAAGTGAACGACAAAAGGCGTATTTTTGCAAACAAGGTGGGAGGTTCTCCTACGTAGATCCTGACTTTGCACAGCACCATGCGTCTAAAAGTAAGGCGATGGTTGACACAGCCGAGGTTCACCTGAAGATTGGTCGCTTCCTGATAAACTCATCCTTAAGCCTCATATGTATGATTCAAAAGATGTTAGAAAACACTTTTGCTAAAAATTCTCTGTGCAAGAAAGTAGTCGAGGGAATTGTCTGTGACGATTCAAGTTGTACCTACCAGCACGAAGATTCAGAAGAGCGTTTTAATCAGCGCTTTCATGCCTTGTTCAACTTCACATATCTGGAATCAGTTGTTGAGAAAAGCATTTCAGAGATGACTGCTAACAATAATATAAACGACATTTCTCCGTTAATTGACAGGGACTTCCAGAAATTCTCTGCATGCCAGCGTTTTTATAACTTTCTATTTCCTTCCTCTGGCTGTCGCAGATATCACCTCACTTGGCCACTCGTTCGTAATATTAGAATGACAAAAGCGGTAAACAGACGTATTTTGCAGTTCGCAACCGTCTCATGGAAGGAGACGTCTGAGGAAAAACGCCGTTCAGACACGGACAACTTTCTAAAAGTTTCATCCTCTCTACAGCTGATTGGCTGTTCTTCATTTATGGTGAAATGGATTTGCGAAGAGGAGATCGAGTTTCAGACACAGACAAGAAATTCGCAAAAGCCAACGATTTCCCAGTTAATGCTATCGAAGAATGGAATGGTTTTCAACAAGGATAATGATCGTTGCGAAAGCTATCTTCAATGGTGGGAGGACGGCAAGAAAAGGTTATACGTGCACGGAGATGTTGAAAACGCCGCCCACCTGATTGTAAGACGTTTCCTTACCCTTACAGCGAAGCGGAGTGGTATGATCTATCCTTCAATTGCCAACACGGTGATGATTTTAGAGCACCAGCTAACTGCTTGTCTTGCACTATACACCAGATTGTGTACAACCCACCAATTCCCAATTTGTTTGCCAGGAAGCTATTTAACCATGGTAAGGCTCTGGGATAACTTCAGACCAAATGTCGACAAGGGCACCTTTACCCTGTATGAGGCAGTTGAGGAAAATGTAAGCCAGGAGAGAAATATACCAAGACTGCTCAACGCCATCCGTTCACTTTTGAATCACATGGTGAAGTTGACATGTGGTGAGGTGGCATCACTGTTTGACGTTTTGGGAGACGCCCTGAGTTCTGACGGAAATCCAACATACAGCACTTCTGTAGAATCTGAAAGGACTCTGGTATTTTTCCTCACTATGCTTTGCAATTGTGGAAAAGGGATCTCGGCTTCCATGGAAGGAACCATGCTGGCAAAAATCTTCAATATCACACCAAATCCTTGCTTGCCAAACCGCATCAAGGAAGTGTTGGTTGCAGTCCACGAGGCAAAAGGATACCGTGACCTCGTAAAAGTGTTGAATGAATTTTTACAGAGTCGGGGCGAGGCTTTGTATGATCTTCGCTGGTATAATCGCAAGCTTTGGAAAGATGGCCCAGCCAATCCAAGTTATTACCATGAAAGTTTCTACACCGACATATCCAAGATACATGAAGAATTACGACAAGTGCAAGTAGCAAGTCCCCAATGTGAAGAAGCAGGCGACTCAAACAATGCAGGTTCAGACGTAGATTTTGATGCGACTACAGACAACATGGAAGTGAGGTATACAGACGAGGAATTGAAAGAAAAAGAGAATACCAGAAAAGAAGTAGCTGCCACCATGACCCAAAGTTCGCTCAAAGAAGTAAGGCAAGCAGATGTCTTCCGTCTTACAAATCTAACGAAGTCAAAATCTACCGAGGAGCAAATGGCGGCAACAGATGCTGCTGAAGAGCACTTTTTAAGGTTTAAAATGGACTCGTCAGCTTGCGGGATCTGTGGAACAAAGTTTAAATCATCAACAGACGATCATCCACTTATAAATCAGGAGGATTATGAAGGTGGACCACTTTGATCATTTGTTTCTGTTATTTCTTGAATTCATCCACCCTTTTGCTACTTCCTTGTCCACTCCCCCCCTCCCCCTATACGTCCCTTTCTTCATTCATCCAGCCATCAAACATCGATCCCATCTAACCACTGATTCATGCATGCTTGCATTCATGCTTCCGTCTTTCCATCTATCCATCAATCCATTCTCTCATCCATAAATACACTTTTTTGTTGGCTGATTCATTCATTTAGCATCTGTTCATAGTCTCGTACATCTGCTTCTGTGTTCTTTAGTCTCGACATAGTGTTTGTTTGCCCGCCGAAAATAATCTTATCCCTTTTAGGAACTATAGCAGGTGGGGAGATTGAGACGGTAGAAGCCCACAAAAACTCGCGGACTCATGCGATGAAAGAAGAACAATTCCAGCTGTATAAAGAGATCTACTCAGCAGAGATCCATCCCTGTTTGGTAAAAGAAGAAGAGCTACGAAAAATGGCAGGGACTATTTCGTTATCTGCTGACATAGGGCTGGATTTAGACAGACTGGAAACGCCCCTGTCTAAAGTAAAGAAAAGAGTGCAGGCCATCGAGGCATCACTGGACTGGGCAAATACTAGTTTGCTTATGAGCGAAGTAAAAGAACTAGAAACTAAATTGCAAGGAATTTTCAAACTTTTAGAGCAAGGTATGTTTAGAAGGCAGAAGTTCGTATTCTCTATGATTCAAGCACAGACATAAAACTATTTTCCCTCTTGGGTTTGCATACTATTCACGATTTTGGAACCTCGTGCTCGTTTAATTTCTACCTTCGTACTCTAACTAAAAAACAACTATTTTTGATCTTTTTTACGGACGGTACCTTCCCAAAAAATTCGTCAAGAGGTGTCAGTTTTTCTCTAGATTTAAGTCTATAGCAATTTATTTTGAAAGAAGTCTATGAATGACAAGTAACCATCTCGATCCTTCGTCTATACGTCTGTATAATGTGTACCTTTTTCCCCAGCAAAAACAGATTCTCCAACAGACTTACCCAAGGCGGAAGGCGACGACACTGAAGAACAAAATGACGAATTGGAGGAAGAAGAAGGAGGAGAGGACCCAATCATGGACATGCATCAGGATGTACCACGGAGAAAGCGTCGAAAGGCCCAGAAAAAGAAGCAATGATTTACTGAAGTGACTTCCTTTCCAAAATAATACCGCTTGGTTTTTAGTATTTCGAGATGCTGTCATTAGGTTAAACGTTCTAAAATAAATAATGTAGTGTTATCTAATACAGGAGCCCTCTATTACGAGTACTTCGAGTGAAAATTTTGAATATAAAATCAGCCGGTTTGTTGCCAGAACTGTCATTATTAATTTTCGTGTCGCTGAGAGAAAGTTGAGGGTCTTCAGGAATGCTATTGGTGTGACAACCTGGATCTTCTAAACCTGTCACAAACTTAAGTCAGAAGTCGTACTTGCACTCAAGAGAGTAGTCCAGCTTGTAGGTCCCTAGTTCGTTTTTGAGAGACAACACAGTGAATAGGCCTTTTGCGATAGTTAGTCACGTGATCAACTTTCTGTAAACACAAAAATGGATTGATTTTGGAAAATGTTGTTAGCGGGAACTGAAAGAGCATATTAAAATTAAGTAAACTGTAAATTTTAGCCGTGTGTCTCAAAAGCAGCGATTGCAATGGCCGCCGAAAATTAGAACGATTTGTATGAGAAAAACAACTCTTGCCACCCAGTCACGGTTGAGTGGTTTTCGATACAAATCCTTGTAAATTTTGAAATTTTTAAACGGTCGTTAAATCTTTCCCTTAGGCATTTAAGGGCTCAAATTGCCTGTTATGAACAAAAAAGATATTTGAGCCCCGTAATGCTTAAGGAAATATTTTACAACAGTTTGAAAATTTCGAAATTTACGCGGATTTATTTGGGAAACCACTCAAGCATGACTGGGTGAGAAGAGTTGTTTTTCCCACACAAATCGTTCTAATTTTTGGCGGCCGTTGCAATCCTTACTTTTGAGATAAACGTCTTAAAACGTACCGGTTACCTAATTTTGATATGCTCTTTCAGTTCGAGCTAACAAAACTTCAAAAGCGAACTGTTTTTCGTGTTTACAGAAAGTTGATCACGTGATAAGCCAATGCAAATAGCCTATTCTCTCACAATAGACACTCTATTGTACTAGTATTTCTCTAAGGACACCTAGCGTTGTTCCCTTTTTACTCTCTTTAATTCGGGCACATTATGACTTTGCATCTCAGGGAGAATTGACTGTATTGAGTACATGACGTAGAAAGATAGCAAGAATGAACAATTATTACTTTATTTCAAATATTTAAGTTTTATAGCGAATTGAAAACATATATATTGTGTGATCTACTGTAGCGCAGAGTCGACTATAAATATAGGTAAATCTAAAAGGTTTAGATAGCAGAAATAATATCGATCGCCGCATAAACAAAACAACTTCCTTTAATTTACCAGACATGTTTCGACGGTACATTTGTCATTGTGAAATCGCCTTTGAATTTAGATCGCCCGCGATGTTACAAAGTTCTTTACATTGCGTTGACGATATTGCGTGCTTAAAGGTTTAAATTAGTGCCAAAAAAATAATCAAATTAGTACATCTATATTTAACAAACTTGAGGTGATAAAACTAACATGGGTTCTGAAGGCTTCTAACGGACTCTACGGGTCAGTTATTTAAACGAAGTTTAACTTAGAACGCGGTTTGAGAAATCTTTTGACCATCAGATCTCTTCCTTAGCGGGTTAATTTACCAAGTAAGAAGATAAATGCTTTTCTAGTCCACACTATATGCTTTAATGAAACTGTTCAAGACCAATGGTGTTTAGATAAAAGTGTTGGGCAAACTCAAAGTGACTTAGAACGCGGTTTTGTTAAACACTGGTTAACCCCGTTTAAATAACCGGCCCTATGTATCTATGTATCTAGGGACGGGCAGCAGGCCGAAGACAAATGTTTGGGGTCGCGGACAATACTTTTTACGACATTGGACTGAAATATATTGTACTTATAAAATTTCAAATAGCGTGTTTTCTCGCTTTGCTGACTGGTACATGCACGCAACTTGACATTTCAAGACCCGAAGATTCTCCGAACTCTCACGACATATTTCTTGACCATTGATTTCCCAGAATCGATCCCAGGAACAATTGCGTGCCCCTTTTTAGGCTCCAGTTCCCCTCTCGTGGCGAATAGACGTAACAAGCCACACACTAAATTAACTAAAATAATTCAGGAAATAGCAGACATTCCTCGAGTCGGCGCGGGCAAGATACTTGTCTTAAAACCTGCTGTAAACAACTTTGCTCCAGCCATATAATGATATGAAATATACAATATCCTCTCTAATAAGAAAAAAGAGAAAGAGATAAATTATACATATATTCTTTGGTTTGACAAGTCTTTCTTATAAGGAGAAAACTGAATAATTAATTACCTATTTCACAAAATAAATCATAGTTACTTAGGATACGTAAAGGAAATGATTACCCACTGCCTAACTTAACCGGAAAAAATAGGTCCGCAATGCGTACATGTGTCTAGTGCTGGGTATTTGAGTAATGTGTATATGGTTATATAGGATTGTATTAGACTTCGTGAATGCAATTAGGATTTATCCGCCATAGAGTACAGGAGTGGAGGCTGGGGTATAATGTGAAGCTCTAACAGTCTAGCAAAGAAATATGGCTAGAACTAACAAACGTAATGAAGGTGATATAGAAAAGTGAGGAGGAGTAGAGGTTGGTCTGCTTTGGGGTGTGGTTGAAATTATTGCAGACATTTTTCTGGAAGTAGTGCCAACTATTATGAATTTGTTATTTTTAACATCACATTGGTAACGATGAAATGAATTGAACACAACTTTATTTCAAGGCAACTAGTTGTAAATGAGAAAAACAAAAAGTTTGTGTAATTTTTTAAGTTACTTAAAGAAGCATCTTTCTTCATACATATGAATTAAAAACAATAAAATGCAAAATTCATAAGAATAATTAAATGGCGGTTTAGTGACTAACATTTTCAACTATTCTACTTCATCAACTATAAGTTATAAAAGGATGGCGAAGTAAACAGTATAGATTCTATGTCTGTAATCAATAGTTCAACAATAAGGTGGAACCTACTGACAATGCAGTTTGATCACAGACATTTTGCTCAGGGCCTGGATTTAACTCGATGTCACCGGACATCAAAAGCTTCATTTTCGATACACAATATCTTTTGGTACAGCTACATGATTTCACTGTTTTGTGCTCAACTAAACAATGCATACTTGCTTGTTTACTATTTTGTAAAAACTTGTTTGCTGCCCATCTTTTAAGACTTGCAAAGTTGGAAAAAAACAGTCGCATCTGTGTACGTATGTTACATACCATAACTTATAGTCAGTTGTTAACTTTTGCAAACTTGAAGATTTAGGCGTAGATTTCCTGAAAATGCGCTTCAGCTTGCGTCTAGCTTTTCTGTTGTTCATGTAGCTCATAATCTTTTTTATCGGTAATCTTGAAGGCTCTCGGTCTCTATGACGTTTTTGCTGTACTTTGAAATGCCTATCAAATTCTCTCTCACACCGCGAGCACACGTCCTCATCAGTGCTAACCATCGCATAGAACGATTTAGTGAAAACGACCCTTGGGTGATATTTAACAAGATTACGAGTTCAAGTATGACTTTGTCGGAAAGAAATCGCCACAGCTTTCGTATATGTTTGGCTAATAAAAGGTATTTTCACATTAAATCCTTCAGCGGCGAAAGATTTTCTGCCGTTTACATTTCCCTGACAGGGCTTATTTAATCCCTCAGCGGGCTTTGTTATCCCCAAAAGGGGCTCAATATTTCCCATAACGGGCTCTTCTTTCCCCAAATGGGGCTCATAAAGCTTAATTTGTATCATCTTCGCAGGCGGTCGCAAAATTGCAGCATGGAGATTCTGTCGGCGCCAAGTACCTTGATCTTCAACTTTGAAGCACCTTTCGAAACCTTTCATTCGGCCGGATTGACACATATTTCGAAAACTGCGGCATACTGAGAAAATACGTCTTAAGAAATTCATCACAAAGTAAGAAACTAAAAAGGACAACTCGTATCACACTCGTCGAAGAAAGCAACGAAAGCAAATCGTCGTAAAGAGTTTTCTTGCAGTTGGCTGGAGTTGTCGTGGAAAGCACATGGTGTTGGCGCAATTGTCGTCTCTACTAATACACATTCGACTGGTTCCGATTGTCATTGGTTGTTTATTTCGGGTCACGAAGACCCGAGTGATTATCGATGATATTACCCTCCTAGTACGCAGAAAAGAATGCTTCATGTAATTTGTCACGTAGGAGAAACCTCAGTGAAACTTTATTCGTATGACGTAATAATTTGCCATATATGAAGCACTTACCAGAGGATTTTAGCGTTTTCTCATAGTGTCTGTGCTTCGCACTAGACACAACAAACATGATAATGGTTTCTTAGAAATTGCTAGGTTTCCGAGAAAAACCTGCCGTGACTTGAAGTAAATATAATCTTTCTAGAACAATGAATGTTTTAGTTTCACACGAAATCTATTGGCTGACAGTACCTTCCCGGTTGTGTGTTGTCACGGCTGCTTGGACTGGCAAGCAAATTTGAATACTGCTCCGCATTATTCACAAATTGAAAGTGATTTCGTAACGAATGTTCTCGCACTATGTGAATGCCTTTACAGTCTGTTTTATCGGAGGGAGTTAAAATTAAAATGTAAGGCCCAGTAAAATCAGGTAAGCGTCATCTAAGTGAGTTGACATTCAAATTTATTACTGTGAGCGGGTTCATCGTTTTGCGAATCAGGGTATTCCTGTATTCTTAAACGCTGTAAAACTGTTAATGCGTAAAATCTTCATGGATCTGTTAGCTCCACCGTTTCATTTTTTACTCCTGTTACTGCTTCCTTTATTATTGTAGATTTGTGTACAGACATTCAGGGGCACCCAACGTCAACTTTCGGAAAATATCTGTTCGGAAGACGATTTGAGGTCTAGAAATTGCACAACATTTGTTGTAAAATTTCTTGCTTGCCTGCCTCTCCTAAGGTTTTCGAACATCTAAAAAATGGTATAATTGCCCATTCTTAACGGATTGTTACCCTAAAAAGGTCACCTGGAATTTTAAGGAGCCTTTTTCTGGCTGATATTTTCGAAAAGGTAAGTTTTGATCCCTATAATTTTCGGATCACTAGACTTTCAGCTAGGAAATCCGAACAGATGAAAATCTTTTAGGGGATCAAAATATGCCTATATCTACCGTTTAAATACTAAAATACGTTTAACAATGCTATGTTTACTGAGTGGTTTTATATATTCTCGTTGGGTGACCCTGGACATTCTCGAAATGATAGGTTACCGTCCATGATACTAGCGGATCGAAAAAGTTTTCCGGTGTTGTGATATCCGTTACTTTGATTCAGTTCTGCATACATGTTGATGTCTAACATTTAATTCGAATTATTTGTACTAATATATACTGTTGAGGGAAAAGGGAAACTGGAATTGCACTAAGTGATATGTTGAGAGCCTTTATCTAAAGATATCATGGACGAAAACTTGTGTCTGGCGGATTCGTAAATTAGGCTGAAGAAGTGAAGCGCAAAAGCAGGCCAGCTCTGTGCCGGCTTTGCTAGAAAATAAGGTACATGAAAGTAGACACCAAGTGCGATTTGCCACTGGCTTAAAAGCAATGCCAATGCAGGCAGTGGCACATTCTAGTTGGCTTGGTTATCATCTGATTATTTGCTAATCTGAGCTGAAAGAAGAACTTGCTAAGGTAAAAACATCTGCAAAACAGTATGTGATAGAATTGTGCTGAGGTTGTTTATGAGTTCCGTTGAGGAATGTGCGGCTAACTTCATGATGGCCCTGAGCGGTTTGTATGTGGAACAAAGCCGCCTAGGCCCTTTGCAGCTTGCCATACACGTGGTTCAAAACCGCCATGCTGGGACGCAAGAGTCGCACTGGGGCAAGACAAACCAACGGCATACATAATTTTAAATCGTAATTCCCCGTTTGATTGTCTGTCCCAGTGCGACTTTTGCGTCCCAGCATGGCGGTTTTGTACCACGAAAATGGCAAGCTGCAAAGGGCCTAGCAGTTGGGTGTTTTCACTGAACTAACTGATAAACTGTTTAAGTTTGTTTTATCGATAACATGAACCCTTGTGAATCGATTGTGAAGGCTTTCGGTCTAAAAAGACTCCCTGCTCAAGACACATTTCATTGAAGACTCAAGACCTTGAAACCCATACCCTGTTCGGCGGCACATGAGTAAGTTTACTCGTTTATGAAAAACGGGAGAAACCGACGGGACTTACACGATATTGACAACGATCCATCCCATCCTACGCGCTGTAGTAAAGCAGAAAGTTTCAACAGCTAAGCATAATTCCGTATATACAAGATTTGTTTTTTTTTTCAGCTAGGAACCGGCTGTTGTAAATATGGACCCAAATCAATGTGGCCTGATGGCCCAAATAGCAATGAGTCAGGGGAACTTTATAGAGGCCCTGAACCTTATTTCCATGGCCCTGCGTCAAATACCGCCTGATCTCATAAACACGCCATTTGGTGCTCCTTTCATTGCCGATCGAGCAGAGTGCTTTTGGCAGTTGGGTGATGCTGAAGAAGCAGCGAATAACATGAGGATTGCCATTAGTAATGGATTACCGGATGACGCCGCAAACTCAGAGGTTAAGTTTTAAGTGCTGGTGATAACTGTTTTTTATTGAGCACTTTCAACGAGTGATGATGATCTGATGATGACAGACAGAATGCGGACATACAGTTTACCCAGGAGATCGAGGAAAATGATAACAACAGACTAAGAACGACAATTTACAGAAAACCGACGTCCGACACATAAATGATGCGATTGCATGCCATGATCTCTCTTGAACGCCTATTTACATCGAGTGCGATCGAGCTATCGCCCAGTCTTATCTCGTTTACCACAATACTCAGCAAACTTATGATGATGATAATGATGATGATCAATCAGTGATGATAGTGATAATAGGACAATCACATTACTTTTAGAGGGCATATAGTCATGTGATTATCATTATTACCATTACACAAGGCAAATCGAACAAATTTATTTCATAAGAAAAGACTGACTAACATGAAATCAAGTTGCGGGCTGCAAATTCCATTTACAGCCCGCACTTTGCCGTTTGGCCCGCGAAAAGGAGCGTTTTAGAGAGGGCAGTTTTTCAGTCGGCCGCGTGTAGGATTATAGGCTTCTCATTTAAACTATGACCTGCATGTACCTTTTTTTTTCAGGAGGAGGCCGCGAAATGGACCAGTCGTGGTGTTTCTTTATATCGAGACCATAACTATGTTCTCGCTGAGCAGTGCACAAGTTTCGCTTTGTATTTTCGTGTGGACAATCCCTTTTTTAAGGCTCAATCCTTTTTGTACCGAGCTCTGTCAAGGTTTGAACTTGGAAATATTTCAGGAACACAAAGCGACGCACAGGAAGTCAAAAGACTTGATAAAAATTTCGCAAGGGTAAGAGAGTTACTTTCTGCTAAAATTTTGAATAATGCTTTTAATGAACTAAAGCTGATCACGTGCTAAAGCTGATCAGGCGTTCTGGTGGATTCGTATCTGTGTAGATGGGAGAATCAAGAAGCGAGGGGGTTGGGGAGGGATTTTCTTTGTAAGATGTTGGAAACTCGGCATTTATTATTGTTACTTTTTCATCAAATCGGAAGAAATTAAAATTTGATGGGAACTAGTTGAAATAGTTAAGTTCAAGCTAACGAGACATACATTTTTATTCACTATTGTGCAACATCTTTAACTGCAGGCCACAGCTCAAAAACAAAAAGAGGAAGCAATGGAAAAGTTTAGACGACACAGCTACGACAAAGCGGTGGAATTATTTCAACTCTGTCTTCTGTTTCATCCGGACGATAGCTCAGGCGTGAAGTTTAGACGTTCGGTTCAGAGTCATCAAGCGACTGCTTACTTCCATTTAAATAAGTACAGAAAAGCTCTTGAGGTTGGAAAGAAGTCGTACAATTCTAATCCAACATTTAAGTCTAAGGTAAGATATATATATTCTTGCTAGTAAAGCTCCCACAATCTTCCAGAAGGGAACCAAAGTATCGACGGACAAGAAGGAACGAAGCTCTCACTTGCCAACAGCTTTCCTGGTTTTGCCTTTTGTGATTTCATTAGATGTTATAGTTCATTGTTTTTTTTTTCATTAGTAGCAACTCAACTGCTTACCCTGTCTGCTGTCTGGATTATCAACTTTGGGCTTTGTGAGCAGATTGGAACTAAGCTCTGGAGCGTTTACCATTTGTAAGAAAATTTCGGTAAAAAAATTTCTGACAAATGGCAATGGACTTAAAAACGTCTCCGAAAAGAGAAATAGGTTAGAGTTGTATTATTTGCAAAATACCAGATAACGAGTGGAACTGGGTTAAAACAAATCACCTTCCGCCTTTAAAGGAAGCCTGGCACTGGTTAACTAGACAAATGGTACAAATAATTTCGGTTGTTTCGGTAAAAACGAAAAAAAGGTATACGTAATACCTCGAAAGGGATTACTTTTTTTCCGGAAAATTTCCACCGGGATAAACCATTCCATTTGAATTCTCCACGGAATTACCGGGTTTTCCATACAAATGGTAAGCGCTCCTGGTCTTATGACGTTTGGTAGCTAGGAGTAGCCTAAATAGAATTTAGCGAGTCTGGAAAGACGGTCTTAACATTACTGAACCTTAGTGTGCACTGGCCTTATTTACAGGATGAAGCAGAAAGATGGAAGGACAGAGGAAATCGCCTCTCCAAAGAACCCAATTCGTTAGACCTAGCAATCGACTGTTATTCACTTGCACTTAAATATGCAGACGAGAGGGACCTTAAAGCAAAAATTTGGTCTAACCGATCTCTGATGTATAAAAATACAGAAAGATACGAAGAGGCACTATGTGATGCCCAGCGTTGTGTAGAGAACAAACCAAACTGGGAAAAGGTAAAACGAGGCCTCTTTGCTTTTACATTGGTGCGGGTGGAGATTTAGAATCAAGTTTACAGCGAACGGTACACGTGACATTTCAAATTGACAATTTCTCAATTCGCGAAGAGAGCCAACAAAAACTGGGCTCTGAAAATATTCTTGTTTATAAACATGACCGCTGATATAACTGCGGATTAACAACTAGTAAAGGGAAAAGTTGACGTTTGCCATTTTTCGTTAACGTGATTCCAAATCTCTCTATAACCCATTTTCAGGATGACGACATTTTACTACCACTACCAGAATTCACTTCGTTTTTGCTTTCTTATTTTAGTTTCTCAATCCCGCTGAGTTTAAAACACAGTAGCCTTAATTTGCACAAGGAAACAACAAACTGAAGCATTCTGGTACTTGTGGTAAAATGACGTCATCGTGCTATTGTCCTGTGACGATTACTGAAATCTTGTGTCACTTGCTCGGCCAATCAAGAGTAAAATCAAAATCGTACCAGTCGTGACTTATTTGCACGTGATTTCTCTTGATGGGCCTGGCTACATGTCTTTGTTTTAAGATCCGATAGGTTCATCGGATTGTCTTCCATTGCCTGAATTGTAATTGACTTGTTACCAAATTGAAACTGCTCCAATTAAAAATAGTCTTTACTTTGCGCAGTGAAGAAAACTACCCACAATGAAAAATTATTGGTACGGCTACATCGCGGTTCAATATGGTAAATTTTTTCAGGCCTGAAACTGACTCGTCTCCAGTTGACTCTCATCACTCCGTAGCGGCGCGCAGGGTTGGATGGAAACTAACGCGAAAAGGGAGAGAATTCTTCTCTTCGTTCCATCACCCTTTGCTCCCGTCGCTGTTCGAGTTTAACACGAAGACGACTGGAAACGAGTCAGGGCTGAAATTTCTTCCCGATCAGTTCTTTGATGCTGGTTCCTTTACTTAGTTTTGAGATATCTACACAGTTTCTGCACTAGCTCTTATCCTTTATATTTATATTTATTACACGTCAGGCGCAGTACCGTTTAGGATCTTGTCTATTTGCATGCGAAAGATACAGTGAAGCTCTGGAGCCCTTTTCAAGATCTCTACAGCTACTACTTAACAATCCCTCAAGTACAGAGCATGATAAAGTGGATACCTTAAATCAAGTTTTGTCGGTGGCACAAAAACATCCAGGTACGTAGTCAACTTCAAACACATATTAAGGGAAAGAGATACCATTTGGAAAAGTATATAAAAACTGTCAAAGGTGTTATCGAAGTATTTGTCATTAAATATGGCAAAGTAACACTTTTTCTTTATTTCTTGATAAAGTCGAGCCACTCCAAAACGGCCACATTGAGGACAGAAGATAGTGACCGTTTACCCTGGTCCCAGAGGTTTTTCTGGATTTTTCTTCGCGAAAGAGATGAAGAGCAAGCCGCGAAGCGGCGACAACGAGTCGCGAAAGCGACGAGGAGAGAGAGAAAAAACCTCTGGTAACCTTGGCCTCGAATCTCACTTTCATGCAGACGAGAGGGTCAGGATCTGACCCTCGGGCGTTGATTGGTTGATATTTTTTCAAACACGCAAACCAATTTGATTGGCCCGTTTAATTGTAACTACCGAGGGGACGCTGAGGATTTTCACACCTCATTTTGCCTCTCTCTACCAGAGAAGAAAATTTTTTGTATGCTGCACTCGCAATAACATTTGCACGGGACCAAGGCACGTAAAGGCACGCCATATTTCGAGATTTTGACATGGATGTTGTTCCTGAAAGAATATTCGAAGAAATTTGGACCTCGGTACTTGATGAGCGCTTTCCTGAGTCTCACTGAACAACAAAAGAAAGCTTTGTTCGCCGCGTTGAGTCGAAAGGATGTGTTCACCATTCTATCAACCGGACATGGAAAGTATATAATATTTCAGTCGTTACCTGATGTTTGCGAGTACCTTTCCTTAAGAGGCTACTCATACCCTCGCCATGCAATAATTTTGGTTGTCTGTCCTCTCAAGTCTCTTGTGGACTCGCATATCCGCGAACTGCGAAACCGTGGCGTCTCAGCAACCAGTTTGAGCAGTCCAGACGTTGACGACCAGAATCTCGTGTCTCGATGTATTTACCATTTTCTGTTACAATACTGTCATTCCATTAAATAAACTAACATGTTTAGGGCAGCAAAATATCAATCTCCGAATACGAAATGAAAGTTTCCTGTAGGGAAAAAAACATACAACTTTGTACAAGTACGTAATCATTTTCGGTGCAGCTTGCATTTTCCTGCGACGCCAAATATTTATCTTTAAAGATCTAACCAACGTTATTTTTGGCATTGGGTCAACAAAAACCTCTGAAAGTCCATTCCGAGCCTTAAGGGTTTGTTGTGCTGCATGACTCTTCCTAGCGCCGTTGTTCCACAAAAAAAGGAAATGGAACCGCCAAACCAAAATGCGAGCAAGATTGTCAGAACACATATTAATATTACTATTTTGAAGGGAATGCCTGCGAATCGACGCGAACGGCGCGCCCCGCAGAAGTAAACAATATAATAAGCGCGATTGATAGACTCTTGCAAACTTTACAACTTCCCGGTGGCACTTCTGACAGATAATCCCTTTGAGTCATGTACACAGCCGACAGAACAGAAGACAATGTTTGTGAAAAATCCTTGTTATTATACCCAAAAACGTTGATTTTAGATCGGCCACTTATTTTTACATAAATTCTGCAAATCCTGCAGCAGTCGTGTGGAACAATGTTGGTTTCTTTGTAAAGTGGTGTTCTTATTCCTGGACTCTTGTCGCCCAACTTTAACACATGCTTTAGCTTGACCCCGATTAACAAATCACTCTTTACCACGGAAGTGGAGATGGTTTGTTCATAACATAATTTCCCCAGGTCTACCCCCACTTAAAAAAATAGCGGCTGATAAGCACGTGTTTGCTAAATTGCCATTGGTCACTCTTTTTATTAGCAATTTGACGCGTTTGACAGCTGTCGTCTGCATGAAAGTGAGATTCGAGGCCAAGGTAACCAGAGGTTTTTCTCTCTCTTCTCGTCGCTTTCGCCACTCGTTGTCGCCGCTTTGCGGCTTGCTCTTGATATCTTTCGCGAAGAAAAATCAAGAAAAACCTCTGGGACCAGGGTAGTGACCGTTATGGGGAGGTAGTGGTGTAATATTTCAAATTTTGTTTTAGGGAGTACAACATGTTAATTGTTGCTAAGTTCATGCTTCCTTAATCCCACAAATATATTCCAGTCATATATAATATATATATAGATTACCTTAGTCAGAAAACCCGTATTCAATTTTCTGACACGCGTTTGTTTTATAGCTTAAAAAGTTGAATAGTTCATAAACTACTAGTCTCGTATCACGTATCTAATTCAGGTGGCACGTGTGGTATCCAATACGATGTCCCTCAAAACCTAATTCAAACGGCAGTCGACAAGGCTGTTGCCGAAAAAGACTGGCAGCGACTTCATCTTCTCTTCATGGGCGGTGGAGGAGAAAAACGTTTTCAGAAAGGATCAGGGGGCCTGGGAACTGGCTGCGACGCAAGTAGTGTTCCCTTGGAAGAAATCATTCACTGCGATTTCAAAGATCTTACAGACTTTATAAGCGTCTTATTGGATCACAAAGCCAGGAAAACAAACAGCACAAGTGAAGCCCATAAGGTATGAGAATACGTGGCGCGACAAAAGAAATTCAGAATTTGACAAACAAGTTGTAAATTACATTTCTTTCTTCTTCTTCTTCTTCTTCTTCTTCTTCTTATTACTATTATTATTATTATTTTTATTATTATTAGTTATTATGTTGATAAAGTCTCACACCTACAGGTCGCCTTTTCCCTAAATCATCAAGCTACATCCTATAGTCTTAGGCTTGTTGTTCCCAACAACCGAGCTTTATTATTATTATTATTGTTATTATTACTATCATTATTATTATTATTACTGAATAACATAATAATTTTATTGAACTTTAAAAAATATGTACATAATTTGCAGAAATATTTGAAGTAAGAATTTAAAAGCACTATATAACATTAAGAATTATATAAATCACATTATTATTATTATTATTATGACAAATCAACAGACACCATATCTGAAAGTGGCTTGTAGCGGTAAGCTATCACTTGTTTCGAGCATCTCCGTTATGCAAGTTAAATCATGTTTCTCGAGATATGAACGGCTTTAATTTGTTACTAATATAGGGTATCTTGTTTTGTATTGTGTTTCTCCGACTGGGTTACTTTAAGTGTATTCGCTAAAACCCCAATAGAAAACTGAACTTCCCTTTTCGTTATCTCCTTCGTCGGCAGAGAACGTTCAAGGGTGATGGTCTCGAAGCACTTCGTAAAGGGGACAACAAGAAAGCATTAGAACTGTTGCAAATCTCTTTGAAACAACAAGAAGGCGATGTTAGAGAACAGCGCGACACTCTTAAACTTCTCAGTGAGCTTTGCTTTAAAGAAAAGTCCTTTAGTAAATGTTTGGAGACAGGAAGGAAGTTAAAAGCCTCTTTACCGGAAGAGAATCATGAGGAAAACAACTCTCTCAGGGTATGTTTAACACTCGTAAACGTTAAAATTTTATGACGACGATGACGGCATCCAAATCCTGATGCTTTAATTCAACTTAAATATTGCAGAAAAAAAAAACATTATTCTAGTTAATTAGAATTATTGTGACCATCCCACTTTTAAGACTAAGATGAAAACTTGCGTAACTACATGACGCACTCAGGTTATGTGAACAAACCAACTATAAGATGATATAATAAGGAAAGATACAGCCTTGCGGCAGATTAGAATAGCGTTCAAAGGGACTCAAAGCCTCACTTATCGCCCCACCACAGTGGGATGAGGACAAAGGAATTTATAGCAGAGTCTTTCTTTTCTTGCCGGCGCTGCATGGGCTGGTTTGATCAAGATATAACTGAAAAGGCAAAGGAATGAGATAACAGAAGTCCAGACTAATTCGACTAGCGATGGCTAAAAAATCCGTCAAGCTAATTACCCAGAGCCATGATGATTGTTTCAACAGGCTAAATGTTAAATGTTTCATTTTTCCGTTCTGCTAGGTCGAATGGGCTAAACAGTGGAAGGATTGGGGCAACGAGCTGTACGGGGAGAATAAATACGATTTAATGGCTGAGTTTAACAGTCTTGCCATGGAGTTTACTCCAGAATCGAACAAGGATCTAATGAAAGCTCTTCTCAGTAATCGCTGTTTGGCGTACCTTAACTTGAACAAATATAAGGAAGCTCTAGAAGACGCGGAAAAATGTATCAAAACCATGCCCCAGTGGTTCAGGGTAAGTCGTAACACAACAATTTTCATGCAGGACACTGTTAGTCTGCGCTAAGCGAAGTGTGATTTTGCTTTGGCCATATGTATTTCCCACTCTCTATCAGTTTCAGTCTTGCAACAACTAGTAGCAAGTAAACTAGCAATACAATGCAGACCCTCGCGAGGCAGGAGCTAACGGCCAGAAGTAGGAAGATTGGGAAAGAAGCTAGTAGGGAGAAGAAAATATATGGAAAAGAAATCAAAAATAAAACAAAGCATCAATCACAAAGGGTTCTGCGATTCACTTATTTCTAGTATATACTACTTTTTTTCTTTAAGGGGCATTCACGTCGTGGAAATTGCTTGCTTAAACTAAAAAGAAAAAAAGAAGCTCTAGTAGCGTTTTGCAAAGGACATACCTATGCTTCAAGTGATCGCGAAAAGAACTTCACTGCCAAAGAAGCGATTTCGACTGCTACGGAGTTACCAGGTTAGTCATTTATTCTTTTGGAACAGAAACAAGTTACATTTCAAAATATGTTTAAGTTCACCAAAGGCCAAGGACAAAATTGAGCCACAACAGTGTCTAATATGAAATCAAGGACCAATAGCCATATTCAGAGGGGGAAATTTTGGAGAAAAAATGGAGGAACTGTAAGTTAGCGTACGGACCGTGAAAAAGACGCTTTTAAGAGCATGTTTCTTTCTTTAAAACAAGAAATAGGCCCTCTACGAAACAACGTTTTGTTAGCTTTTTAAAATGATAAATTGCATTTGTATCGGTAATTAGAGTTGAAGGAAATGAGAAAATCCTTCCCGTTTAGACTTTAGCCCATATTAACAGTACATTGGGAGAGGGTGGATTCATTTGCGACAGAGCAGTCACTGATTTGTTCGGTAGATTTGTTTTCTGTTGTATAGCTAAAAAACAAGAAAAAAATTCCGGCAAATACGACGGCTATGTATCGCTAGAAATGAATCCACTTTAAACCTGCGTTTTGCACCGTTTTTAGTTACCTGTACTTTGCTTTATAACTGTAGATGGAGAGACCCGAATCTCTTGCACCTTTTCGCCCCGCACAATTGAGTTTCTGGTAAAAGAGGCATCCAAGAATTTCGAATGGAAAGAACTACGATTCTTGTATCTTGGTACCACAGCAAGTGACACATCTAAAGGAATAGCTATTGAGTGTGACGCCTCCTGTGTGCCTTTAGAGCTCCTCATTGAGTCAGATGTTAAAGATCTACATAGGCTCGTTTCACGTCTCTTGGAGTGTGGTGCCTTGCCAGATGGATTAAAAGATTGTAAACGACCCCCACTGTTAACAGCAATGGAGTTAATGAAGTTTCCTATTGCTGTGACGTTGTTACGAAACAAAGCCGACCCTTCCTGTGTCATAGGCAATGAAATATTCATCAACAGAGAGGTATCTAAAAACCTGTAATAGATCGATGTAATGCTCTCTTGCAATAGAGAATTCAAAACACCTGAACATTTTGTAATAACTAATAAACCATTATTTCACGAGCGCGCATCTGATGTGAGTCGATGCTAAATCAACTAAGTTGACATGTGAAAAGCGGATGTCCTATCTCTTTTCTGGTCCCTCCTTACAATCCACTCGCCAGTTTGTTCAGAGATGATACACTGCTCGACAACTATAAAGCCATCTATGATATTAACGAAAAGAGGTTTAAATATTCTTAAACGTTTTTGTGAGTTTCATTTCTGATGCACTAACAAAAGTAAAACTGTAACGCTTGAGTAAAGCATGCCACAGTTTTTGACCACGCTGGTTTTGTTGAACGAGAACAGAAGCTAGAAAAAAATAACTGGTTTTAGCAGTGGATAAATTTCTAGCTTGTTTGGTTTCATCTGGTTGGTTGAGAATGATCTTTGACAGCTAAACAGGCTGCGGATTTCTCTCGCCGATTTCGGCAAGTCCCGCGCTTAAAGATGCTTAGCGCCTAATTAAATTTCTCTTTGAGACAAAACGTTTTTCTTCGGTCCCTACATGTAATATGTCCTCCACACAAAAAAATTATCATCTCCAAGTTTTACTGCTGATAGTTTTGGTTTATTAACTTAGCAGTCCACGTGTTTCTTTATCGGTCTTTATCAAACCTGAGTCTCGCCGGCAAAATTGAAATGTCCGAAGAGAAAAGTGTAATACTTAAGGTTAATAAGTATTTACCTAGGTATTAATCACCTTGATACATCTTCTGCAGGGTCAATCGAGGCAGTGGTTTCAGCTTGGTCGCAAAGCATTTGCCAATGAGGACCTTATGAAAGCAGTTATGTTTTTTAACATGTGCCTTCACCTCTCTGACTCCAGCACAGAGCCGTCCATCTTAATAAAGACAAATCATACTTTAGCGGAAGCCTACTTCAAGCAAAACAAACATGAACTAGCCGTCAACGCGGGAAACGAATGTTTTAGATTGCGTTCAGTTAGATCAGAGGTATTACTCAATTATTTCACTTAAAAGAAATAAACTACTAAATTGTGCACTGCCCAAGAGTTAAATTGGAGCAGTGACATCTGGTGTGATCAAAGACAAGTTACACTGTGAAAAAAAATCAGAAAGCAAGAAAAACACCGGAAAAACACTCTTAAAGCTGACACGCAGAGGGAATAAAACTGAAGAAGCATGCTTAGAATTTTTCTCGTGTTTCATCTGCATGCCGTTGACCTGGGGTAACCTAAACTGGGAAATGGGTAGTGGAATTTCATTGTTTGCTCAAGTAAGCAGACAATTTGGGCAGGAGAGAGCCTCTTGAATAATCCAACCCAAGCTTTTGTTAAAGAAGATGGAAGAAATAGTTAATAAGTTGCATTCCTGCCAAGGCATCATTCTGATACTAAGTGGAGATTAAAATTGTCTTAAAAAATACTTTTGCCGACTATGTCTTTAAAGGAAGAAGCAAAGAGATGGCAAGTTCGTGCATCCCATGTTTTTTCCTTGGGTCTTTACAAGCTATGTGTCCAGTGCGTCAATTTAGGTTTAAAGTACACTCCTGTTGAATCCAAACAAACCTTCTCACGTTTTCTGTGCCAACGTTCCGAGGCTGAGCAGCAGTTAGGGGATTATGTAAGAGGCCTGGAAGATGCTAGAAGCGCCTTAAAGATGACTTCAGAACTGCTGGAGGTAATTAAAACTAAACTTTTTTTTTTCACACAGTCTGTAAATTTCCATGAGTAAAAAGAAAATAGTACATGTGTAGATTTAGGTCATTCCTCATTTCGTACTTTCAAGTTAGTGTTAAAATTAAAACTGTACTTGCACAAATGTTAAACTAAAACAGTTTGGCATAATTGGCTTAACTGAGCGCGTTTGGCTTGAAGCCGCCGTTCAAACTTACTCGGACTTCGTCGCCGACTATGGAGCTGCTATTAATATGTGGTCCTTGGTCCAGAAAGTTCGCGATGCCCTTGGTCCGCGACTTTTCCGAAAATGATAAGATATTTCGTCGCGAAAAAAAATACGTTGAATAATGAAAGATATCGTGATTTACTGATTAGCATTCTTTAATCGAAGTTTTATGACGAAGTTTCGGCTTTCTTGTTGTGGGTGAAGGCGCGAAATTAAAGTTTGTTGACGGGTACTACGGGTTAATTTGTCTTTCTTGAAGTTTGGGCATTTGCGGCGCTGTAAATTATATGGTCAAGTTTACTTACCCTGCGAATGAATAAAACGCAACGGGAGGACGTGCCTTTTTGCAGGACAGGTTTTCAGATCAACTTACTTCTGCTGTTGGAAGCATATTGCCGCAGACTTTGAATTTTTTTGGTTTATCGACTCTTGAAAAATATCACCAAATTCCGTTTAGTGGTCCTTGGTCCGCGACCTATGACCTTGATTGAATAAAACTTCGCAAAACAAAAAGCGACGGCCTTTGTTTTCGAAGAATGTTTTACAAAAAATCCTCCCTATACATGTCTACAAGTTCTCTTTCTTTAATACCTCGAATACATGCAGAGTTTTCAATAATTATTTTCGACCGCGCTGAAAACCGCCCGTCGACGCTAGTGTGGGAGACTCGACAAAGACTCTGGTCTGAAGTCTTTGAAAGAAAAAGCAGACTATTTTATGATCACAACATCTTCCGAATAAAAATCTATAGCTTTATTGCATCAAGAATAGAAAAAATCACATGAAGTATTGTGAAAATCTCGTTTTCTTGTGGAAACTATCACAGTTTTACATTCTTTTTCTTGCTTACCTGAGTCGTGGAACAAGGACCACATTCGCGGACCAAGGACCATCGAAAACGGTCGCCTTTTTTCGAATTCCAAGCAAATTATTTACGTCTAGAACTTGAAACTTCAGGATTATCGAGAGGAACATAAAAGCTATCTTCAGGGAGTATTTCAGCTCGTTACGTTTTGATTCGGGTAAGATATATTAGTAAAATCCAACTAGTGGTCTATTATCAATACTGCGTTCTGATTGGTTGAGCAACGACTTGGCTATATGTTATAGCCCACTAATTAGAGCGAAAAGCGCGGGCTTTTGGCGGCAAAAAAGGATTAAAGTCTAGCTTTAACTAGCTTTTTTTTTTATTCTCGATATTTTTGTCCAGCTAGTTGGATTTACTAAACCAATTATTCCTCTCGGCCTCATGGGCTATTGACTCAGAGCCCATTCGGGCTCGAGGAATAATTGTTAAATATCTTACCTATTTTAGTCGCGGACCAAGGACCACATACTGTACAAGTGTTATTTACATCAGAAGCTTCTTTCACTTTTGTAGATCTTCATTAAGAATTTACAAACTGTCTGTACTTTTCTGTGTTTTCAGCCATGATTTTGAGCTTTGAAAATGGCAGCGTGATTTCTCTGACAAACGATGGTGCGAATGGCCTCTTGATTTTGATTGGTTGCTTACATCGTATGACTGATTGATCCTCTCTTTTCATTGGTTTATATTTTACCGGCTAAAATACATTTTAGCCTGTCAAATTGTCCATTTTAGAGCGCAGAATGCGCCACAGTACCCGACAAAATGACAATAATAAACTGTTTTCATTTCAGGGCATTGGGAACTTGCAAACGTAGTTATTATGTTTAGCGTTTTTTGAATCTACTTTAAAGTCTGTGTTGAATCTACATACCTTACCGAGGGGGGCGTAAGGGGGGTACGAATACCGCAATACCGCACGTGGTAGCGCGAGAATACCGCAATACCGCATCAAAATTTAGCCAAATACCGAAACCGCAGTTACAAATGGGAAAAAGTTGATGTTGTCAATACTACAAATCCTCCTTTCAAATAGAAATAATACTTTTATGTCACTGTTTCCAAATAAAGGTGCGTCGATGTCAAGCGTACGATAAACATAAGATCATCGCACTCGTTTAGCTTTGTTTATTACATGTATACGTTTACGTAAATGATACAACAGGAGTTTTCTAGTATCACTTTATATATTACTGACCTGGATCATAAACGGACGGAAAACAGTTGACTCTTATGAGGTTGTTTCAGATTCACAATTAACTCGGTTCTGTGTTGAGGGTTTCAAAACGACGACCCGGGCTGCCTTTTGGATTCGAAGGGCACACAGTACAGAAGTACACACTAGCCTGCGTACCATGGCGGTTTTGGTTAGGCGCGCTAAATAATAAGTCGAAATAAGGCGGGCGCGGGCGAGGAGATTGGGGCAGGAGCTGCTTCGCTGCTCACAGTGGTGCTGCCGACAAAACCATGTAAAACTGCCATGCCCGGGGTGGAGGCGGGGGGGAGGGGGTACTTGGGTTAATATTTGGTTGATATGTGCCGCTGGCCTCTCAGAGCCCCTACCCCATTACAGTCTATTCTGTGGCCAATTATAGACCCCATCTTAGTCATTTGAACAAATATTTAATTTTCGCGATCCCAACTTCGTCACTTTCTATTTTTATGAATTGACCTTGTTTTAGATTGAATGAAGAACACTTTACTTTTCATCTACAATACAAACATTCTGGTACCTTTGCTAACCGTAAATATGAAGAACTGTCTTACCCCCAAAAAAGCAGAAAATGCGCGACCCCATTCTAAAAAAACTCTCTGAAAATGCGACCCCATTATAGTAACTCCAGTCGTGAAAATGCGACCCCATCCAGCGGCACATCCTCATTAGCCTCTTATCAGGAAGTACCCCCCCACCACCGACCCCGGGCTGCTATGCTACGTAGGGTAAGCAAACACGAATACTAGTACATTCTATATTCCTGCATGCACAACGAGAAGGACAAGTAGTAATTTTTAGACCACACCGTCTTTATAGATTATCTTTCGACACTACGCAATTTATAACGATCGCACTGACCTCACTATTTGCTGGAATATCTGACTGATCACTTAGTTGACCCTCTGGATCGCTCTCTGTTGTTTGGCGACTGGCACGAAAGTGGTGGTAAGATTGGTATAAAGGAGGTTAACCAAGCTGACTATTCCCACAAGGTCCATGAAGTCATAAATAATGCGACATGTTTACGTATCATTGGATGAAAAAGTTAATGTCGTTAATCATATCAAGTATTAACTGAAATTAGAAGCCATACGATTTGTCTGCACTGTTTGCGCAATACAATCCCCGACTGTGCACACAGGTCACGCAGGCTAGCCAGGGAGACCTTTTAGGATTTGTATCCTCTTGTCATGAAAAAGAAGCAGATCACCGCGACACAACGATTTTTTCACCGACTACCGCGGCGTAAAATGTAAACTTACCGCAAACCGCTTGGACTCTGAAAACCGCAATACCGTACTTTGAAATAAAAATTACCGCAACACCGCACCAAAAATGACCCAATACCGCAATACCGCAAACCCTTACGCCCCCCTCCTTACCATTTCAATTATTAGTCTAAGAACGATTAAACTAGCAAACTATTTACCGTACGTTTTGTTGTGTTTAGGGATATCTGAATCAGTTTCGGTGTCTCCGAGCACTAAAGAAAGAAAAAGAAGCAATGCTAGCCGTAAATGAATGCTTGAAGCGAACAACCGATGAAACTCTATTGGGCGAGCTTTTAAGTGAAGCACTTGACGTGGCTGTAAATCTTAAAGGTAACGGGGTAAAATACGCAATTGCAAAGTTAGAGATGTAGCAGAGGTTTAGATAGCAAATATCCCTGTTATCTGCGGTACTATATTTTGCGGATTTAGTTGTTTTCTACAGACGTTTTCTAATAGTCTTTCGCAAATGCATCAGTCAATTGTAATCCCGGCCCCCGACCCACGGGACATGGCGGGGGATAGCGGAGATTTAACGCGGCCAATGCCGGGATTCAGTTAACGCAACGTGTTGGCCCTGGGGGTATGAAGGCACTTATCCGGCGGGTCGCCCTAGTCTCAAACGCAGAAGGAAAAACTTTACAAATAAGCAAAATAGACAGCCATGACTTCAGTCCTACATTTCGAAAGCCTTAAACACAATGATAAAACATATGAAGAATCAAAGAGAGTGATCACAATATTTCAGACTATTTGTAGCCTATGTGTTTGATATGGCAAATGGAACTTGTTTTAAAAGTGGAAAAGCTATGTTAAATGCAGTACACTAATACAACCTGTCAAGTATACCATAGAGATGTTAAGCGATAACCGCATTTTTCTATTCTGACCCTGGGGGCCCGTTCTCATAGGTTCTCAGGAATTTAAGGTACAAAAAAAAATCCTATGGCACTCAGGGTAACATTTTTCCTGAATCTGAAGAAACGTAGTCAAGAGTTTCTATTATCCGTTAGTTTGAATTTAAATACAGTCAAACCTCCTGTAAGCGATCATTTAAAATGGGAAGCCTTAGTGGCCGCTTACGGGAGGTGGCCATTTACAAGAGTCGAAACACAGGGGTTTTTTTCCAAGAAGAGGTCCCGGTCGGGACACATACATATTATTTGCATACAATTTCTTAGTTGCAATATGTGTAATCAGTGTTTTAGGGAGAAATCAAACTTCACTGCAGTTGCCGAGTGTAGATAAAATGTTTTTTGTTGACTTAAGAAACGAGTCCAGCTGTCACCAATTCTGAACTGCTTTAGGTTCCATTACAAACCGCTCTTCGGGAAGGAACCCGTTCTCGGCGAGGAACAACGCCGGACCCTAGAGAGCCGTTGCGATCGAACTTAAAACTACTAATGCCCCCCATGCGGGGCTTTTAACAAACTACTTGTCTCAGAAAGTGGGGAAATAAGCCGCGTTTTAATACCAGACCAATGTTAAATTCCCCGTTAAGTCCCGGGGGTCGGGGGGCCGGAGTTTTAACGGACTGATGCATAAATGGATTGTTCTAGCTCTACTTAAAAGGGTTAAGAGGCACTCGATTGTTAGTGTTTTATGAAGTTAAGTCACGCCCAAGAAATAATGATATTTTTTGGCGTCCAACAAGGACAACTAAAATTGATGCCTGATGTGTTTCATACTTAACAGATGGGACAACAGCCATCACAACACTCCTTCCAAACCATATTCTTCTCAAATTGATGAACGAGGTGATAAGGATAAGGGACTTTAATAAACTGAAAATCTTGTTTCTTGGAGGAGGAGGGCCCTCGAAACACCCAGTAGGTGCTGGGGGCCTTGTAGCTAATGCGGATGCACGCAGTGTCCCTCTTGGAGAAGTGATTCGTTGTTTTGATCCTGAAGAAGCCTTAATATCAGTTCTCCTTGAGCAGGGTGCTTCCGTAAACGTGACTGAAGGTTCAGATGTTATTCCTTTGGAGGAAGCCATAAGAAAAGAAAATCTTCCTCTTGTGGAAAAGCTAGTCCAGAGAGGAGCAAACTGTTGTGCTGTGAGCATCGATGGAGAACCGATGGTACACAAGGCGATGCGGATTGGGCTGAAAAGCGGTAATTTACTGAAATATCCTTTGTAAGGGCTCACAGTTATTTTTTACACCTTCAAATGAGCAACTAAAAATAGATGGAACAACGTAGCTATCCAGCTGGCAATGACATGAAGTGAACGAATTGATAGAACTTGAAGCCGTTTATTTTCAGATCACAAGGCGGGTAATAAAAAGTATCGATGAATTTTATCCCGGTGTTATATTTAACAATTAATGAATGAGGCTGAGTATCTTACGGCCTAGGCGGATAACACCCTCCGAGATCTCCATAATTCTTCATAAGATACGAAAGCCGAATGTAATAATTGTTTTATTATTCATTCAAAATAATTCCTAGTTTAGAAACAAAGCTAAGGCATGCTTACCTCCATCGATGCCAAGTTCACCTTCGATAGTGCACGTTTAGGGTTTTTCAGCTCCGCAAATGTTCTCCAAATGGCAGATGTCGCCTTTCGAGTTGTGTTCGTACTGTTCTTGCCATGTTTTAGCTATAATTTTGCCTAATTCTTTTTCTTGAAACGAGTGAAATATTTTCCATTTTTTGTTTTCACAACCAAAACAACTCAACCTCGTCCCCAGGTCTTCTCGGTTACCAGTGCCTTAACCTGCAAGAAAGCTGCATTTTTGTCGTCATTTCCTCGTTAAACACAAAATTCTTCCAAATTTGGTTATCAGTAACTGGTTATGGTGAATTATGCGTGTGCTTTTAGCCAATCAGAATCGGGGAAATATTTTGAATGAATAATAATTGTGTTTAAAAGATGTGTAACTAAGGATAACCCATACAGGTAGAGACGTTACCAACATTGATACCCGACTGACCACTAATTATTAGCCTAATAACCAGTGCATAAATCATCGGTTATTTTCTTTTTCTTTTTCATCAGGTAATTTCAGATTCCTAGAAGCAATGGTAATCTCGAAATGCTCCGAAATGGAAAATGTCCACGACAACCAAGGAGATACACTTTATCATCTCGTTTGTGCCGGAAAGAAGTGCACAGAAAAAAAATGTAACGCGATCAAGATTCTTCGGAAGGCCAACATAAACCCGAATCTACCCAATAGGAAGAACATGCTTCCCTTGGACATGGTTAACAAGAGTGATTCCCGTTGGAAAATGATAAATAATGTGATGAAAAATTATACTTCCAACAGTTCTATTCATTCTTCCTCCGAGGTAGAACCTGAAAATACACCCGGCCATGAACATTATCACGAAGACCTTTTTACAGCTAACGAAGACCAGTCAGTTGCTGGTGAACCGTTTTTGAAAGAAGAGGAGACTTCTTTGCCAAAAAAAGTTCTCCAGATATGTAAGACTGATGATAAAGAGCAACACAAAATACAAATGCGACAAAGAATTGCCGCCCTGATAGATGCTTTGTCACCCATTGCAGCGTTTGTTCCGGTAGAAACAGTTGAAGAACAGGAGGACAATGATATGCTGGATAACTCCTTTGTGGCTCCAGATAATACAGACCAGGACAAAAAACAGCAGCAAGACGAACTGGCTCCAACACCCTCGGACACCTCGGACAAACAGAGTGAAACAGAAGAAAATGAATACGAGTTGGCGGAAGACGACGCGGAGACTGAAATTGACTCCCAATCCCCATTTGAGGACCTACTTTGGGAAGTCGACTGCACCGATCGAGTGTGGAAAAAAATGAGAAGCAGAAACGTTGACAATAAGACGCGGAAGCAGTTTGTGAACAAAATTAGAATGTTAGCCAATGGTAGATGGAACAATGAGAAACTTTGCAAGAGGCTAGAAGGAGTCTCCAAGAAGGAGGGTATCCAGCTCTACGAGACAAGATTAACCAGAGGTCATCGAATACTTTGGGAAAAAACTATCGCTTTTTCTGGCAGACTAAGTGACGATCCTGAGAATCGCTTAAAGGAGGGAACTTCAGGAGGTAGAATCTACACAGAGATCATCCGTGTTTGGGACATTGTGTTAGATCATGACAAGATTGCACGTTCAGTTGAACACATCGTTAAGTCGCGTGACCGAGGAATGGATTGCCTTGTTAAAAAGAGACTGAAAGGTATATCTGTGGAATCTAGAAACGACAGCACACCATCATCTGAGTGCATACCCAACAAGTACGTGGAAATAGAAGATCTGAATCACTCTACCCAGCCGCTGAGTAAGAACGATGTTAAAGACAAAACGTCAAAGAGTGAAGATTTTTCCCACAGTTTCTTTCCACCTGCAAGTTCAAATGAACAAGAGTATCACATTCTCAAGTTTTACACGTTTAATACACCACTCGCCAGATCAGTTTTAGAGAGCGATACCTCCACAAAAGTGGACTTCCCCTTTAAGATTACAGAGCTGGAACATGCTGTCGTTAATCTCCAGCCCAAACCACGAACATCCATCATTCTCTTGGGTCGTAGTGGCACCGGCAAAACCACCTGCTGTCTCTACCGCCTGTGGGTTAATTACAAAACATACTGGGAAAGTGCAGCAACTGCCGGTCCCTACATTTTGAAACATCCGTATCATGTGAAGTCCCTTGAATGTAGCACTGAACAAGAACCTCTACAGAGATCATCTGAACAGGGAGCATGTGGACAAGACGTAACAACACTGGCTACAAAACTTCATAGAGTTGACGACTATGATGATTCCTGCATTGATGAAAGCACACAGCATCATTCAAACGAGACACATGGATACGAAAATTCACATGTACATCTTTCTAAGCCAGGGTCTCAATGTGAAGATTATATCTCTGATGAATCAGAGGCCGCTGGCCTTTGCGATCACTTGCATCAGATATTCATCACGAAGAACACAGTTCTCTGCAGTGAAGTTGAAAGAAACTTCAACGAACTTAGTCGAGCATTTTCGGCTGGGGAACAGCGTCTACGATTTGAAGACCAACCAACCCCGGCAAGAATTCAAGACGTTGCTGAAGAAAAATGGCCACTTTTTGTAAGCTCAAGGGACTGGCTTTTGATGCTAGATGCATCACTTCCCGGCGAAACATTTTTCAAGCGTACCGAGGATGGAAGCCTAGCGCTAAAGATAGAAGGATGGGGAGAGGACAGTACTCATTTACACTTCATTCCAGATACAGAATCAGACGAAGAAAGTGATGAGCAGAAGGACGAAGAAGTTTCAAAAACTGAAGAGGATAACGACGAACCAATAGAAACAAGGAAAGAGCCTAAAAGTAAAAGGGACCCAAGAAGAGAAATTACTTACCAAGTTTTTCAAAATGAAATTTGGCCAAAGATGAAGAAGACCTTGAAGGAAAAAGAAAAAAATGACTACAATCCAACTCTGGTTTGGACAGAAATTAGATCTTTTATAAAAGGTTCTGACGAGGCCCTGATGAGTGAGAGTGGATTCCTTTCACTCAAGGACTATGAGACTCTTGGTAAAAAAAAGGCACCAAACTTTTCCGCGGATAGAAAAGTAGTGTACGAACTTTTCCGTGAGTACCAACTTCAGCGCTTGCGGAATGGGATGTTTGACGAAGCAGACCTAGTGTTCAATATTCATCGACGTCTACAAAGAAGCCCTGTTCCCGAGTGGTCAGTTCACCGTTTTTACGTTGACGAAACCCAAGACTTCACCCAAGCAGAGTTGTCAATAATAATTCGTTGCTGTCGTTTTCCAAATCTTTTGTTTTTTACTGGCGACACAGCGCAGAGTATCATGCGAGGGATTGCGTTTCGATTTAATGATCTCAGAACGTTATTCCATCGCAATAAAGAAGAAGCCATCAAGGAGGGGAAACCGGACGATTTTATTCGTGTCCCAAAGCTCTATCAACTAACACACAACTATCGATCACACGCGGGAATTCTTCGTCTAGCCTCAAGTGTCGTAGATTTGCTGCTCCATTACTTTCCTGATTCATTTGATCGCCTCCAAAAAGATGAAGGTTTATTTGAGGGACCTAAACCGGTGCTATTAGAAGCCTGCAGTCCCACGGACCTCGCCCTGATTCTTCAAGGAAATCAGCGACATTGGTCCAGAATTGAATTTGGAGCTCACCAGGTAGTTCTTGTGGTTTCTAATGAGGCCAGAGAGGCAATGCCAGATGAGCTTAAGCAGGGGCTAGTGATGACCATCTATGAAGCAAAGGGACTGGAGTTTGACGACGTTTTGATTTACAATTTCTTCAAAGATTCTCAGGTAAGAGAGGTACAGTTCTTCCATTACTTAGATAACAACTTGAGAAGTAAAAGAATATTACTTTTGATTGAATTACCAGACTGTCAAATTATTGCATGCCACATATAGTTTGTTTACCAATGACATGTTATTGTTAATTTGAGTGAATACTACGAGCAAAAATGTTACGAGAAGGATCACATACATGTAAAGGTATTTTGTTATAAAAAAGGGGCTATCAAAGTAAAGTTTGGTTACGGATCCTGTTTTGAATGCAGCTATATCAAACTGTGAGTGTTTGGCATGAAGCATACAATTAACAGTTATTGAATGAGGCTGAGTATCTTATGAAGAATTATGGAGATCGAGGAGGGTGTTATCCGTCGAGGCCGTAGGCCGAGGCGGATAACACCCTCCGAGATCTCCATAATTCTTCATATGACACGAAAGCCGAATTCAATAACTGTTTTATTATTCATTCAAAATAATTCCTAGTTTAAAAACATAGCTAAAACATGCTTACCTCCATCGATCCATCGATGTTCAGTTCATCTTCGATAGTGTGCGTTTAGGTTTGTCCAGCTCCGCAAATATTCTCCAAATAGCAGATGTCGCCCTTCAAGTTGTCTTCTTGCTGTTCTTGCCATGTTTTTAGCTATGTTTTCGCCTAGTTCTTACTCTTGAAACGAGTGAAATGTCCGTCATTTTTTCAAGTTCACAACCAAAACAACTCAACCTCATCCCCAGGTCTTCTCGGTTAACGGTGCCTTAACCTGCGAAAACGCTGCGTTTTTGACGTCATTTCCTCGTTAAGGTCAAAATTCTTCCAAATTTGGTTATCAGTCACTGGTTATGGTGAATTAAACGTGTGCTTTTAGCCAATCAGAATCGGGGAAATATTTTGAATGAATAATAATTAGCAATTAATAAATGAGGCTGAGTAGGATATGAAGAATTAAGCAGATCGAGGAGGGTGTTATCCACAGAGGCCGAAGGCCGAGGTGGATAACATCCTCCGAGATCTGCTTAATTCTTCATGTCTTACGAAAGCCGAATTCATTAGTTGCTTTATTATTCATTCAAAATAAGTCCTAGTTTAAAAACATAGCTAAAACATGCTTACCTGCATCGATGTTACTTTTATCTTCGATAGTGTACGTTTAGGTTTGTCCAGCTCCGCAAATATTCTCCAAATAGCAGATGTCGCCCTGCGAGTTGTCTTCTTGCTGTTTTTGCTATGTTTTGCCCATTATTTCGCCCAGTTCCAGCTATAGTTCTTACTCTTGAAACGAGTGAAGTGTCCGCCACTTTAGTTTCCCCAGGTCTTCTCGGTTAACGGTGCATTAACCTGTGGAAGGCTGCATTTTTGACGTCATTTCCTCGTTAAACACAAAATTCTTCCAAATTTTGTCATCAGTAACTGGTTATGGTGAATTATGCGTGTGCTTCTAGCCAATCAGAATCGGGGAAATATTTTGAATGAATAATAATTGGTATTATTGACTCGCAGGGAGCAACGATGGCACAAGAGTGAGAGCAGTAGCCTCCCACCAATGTAGTTCGGGATCGAGTCCCAGTGCCGACGCCTTAAGTGGGTTAAGATTATTGTCGTACTTTTCCCCCTCTTCCCAAAGACTAAAGTTCCATTCTGATATGGAAAGCATGCCCAATTTTGCTGAGGGCATTTCAACGGCCACTGCTTTGTCAGTAATTTTCTCTAAAATAGGTTTTTATCATACTAGGCTGGAAAAGAATGGAGAGTTGTTACAAGTTTTGTGGAACAACAAAACATGGCCAGCGCCTCTAGTTCAACTGGGCTGACAGAGATAACTGAGGAAAACGTCCAGATGAAACCCTCGCGTCCCCTTGAATTTAATCCTGAAAAGCACAAGGTTTTAAATTCTGAATTCAAGTTTCTGTACACTGCCATTACTCGAGCGAGGGTGAACATTTGGTTCTTCGACGAAGACGAGGGAGCTCGTGCACCGGTGTTCGAATATTTCCGCAGACTGAAGCTGGTTAATGTGGTGACGTTAGAAGATCAGGGGAAGGGGACAGGTCAACTGGCTAGCATGTTTGCTGTTAAGTCAACACCAGAAGAATGGCGAAAAGGGGGAATGCGCTTTTACAAGAAGAGATTGTGGGTAGCAGCGATACAGTGTTTCACATTTTCTGGCGATATGTTAATGCTCCAGAAAAGTCAAGCACAACAACAGGCAGCAGAGGCCATCAAGTTCCGTTCTACAAACCGCCAAATGATGCGAGACGAGTTCCTGCGCGCTGGTGAAAGCTTCCTGCAATGTGAAATGTATGACAAAGCTGCGATTTGCCTGAACAATGCACGAGAATGGACTCTTTTGGCCAAGCTTTACAAAAAAACGGGGAAGGTAAGTATGGAATGATATGCCTATGCAGACTTTGTGGCACTTGAAGACGGTATGCGTTTGTCTACTTTGCGTACTTGAATACTAGTACTCTAGGAGCAGCATGGAAATGTATTTGCCGTAAATATATTTAATCTGAATGGTCAATAAAATAAGGCTGACATACCAATACTGCCAATGTTATTATTGAAACTCTGTTAGACAAATTTGATCGCTAACATTTCTCGTTTTCTTGACTTCTAGTATCAAGATGCTGCTCGACTCTTCAAAAAGAAAGGATTGTATCAAGAAGCCAGCAGATGCTTTGAATCGCAGAACAACTACCGTGATGCCGTCGAAACCTTGTGCTTGGCAGGCTGTATTGAGGAAGCTTTAAACGCCATGGAGCGTTTCCAAATCCTCTCTTCAAGTGTTGATTTGGAGGGGAGACAAGGAATTATTCCACCCAAAACTACTCGTACTGTGGAAAGGATGCGTCATCAACTGGCTGACAAGCATTTTAAGGAAGGAAACAAGGAAAAAATGGAGGAAGTTCTTCGACATCTTCCATCTACCACCGACCGCATTACATTCTTGAAGAGACGTGGGTGTGTAATTGAGGCAGCTAGAGTAATGGGAGAAGAAGGAAAGAGAGATGAAGCTGCGTCTCTTTTGAGAGACGAAGGAATGTTTGAGGAAGCAATCGAGTATTCAATTCATTCTAAGTTTACCGCTGACTGTCTCCTATCACAAGCTCGAACAACAAAGAATAAAATAGATATCCCGGGGATTCTTAAAAAGGCTCTGGCGAAGTATGAAGAATGTACAGACCTCACAGGCCAGGCGGAGGTATTGCTAATGCTGGGTCAACAATCAGGCGAGGTTGAAAAAATACAGGAAGCTGGAAGATTGTTTGAGAAGTGCAAAAATTACTGTGGGGAAGTAGAGAGTTTAACACAGCTGCTCAAGACAACATGTTTCTCGCCACCAGAAAGCTTTAGTCAGTGGATCATTGTAAGGGCTTTAGAGAGACTTCTACGTCTTATCACTCTCTTGTACAAGCCTATCAAGCAGCGTTCATTGCGGGAGCGTAGTGAAGTGGAAAAGTGCGAGGAGCACTTTGGACTTTTCAGAACTGAAACTGAACGACAAAAGGCATATTTTTGTAAACAAGGTGGGAGATTCTCCGACGTAGATCCTGACTTTGTCCAGCGCCATGCTTCTAAAAGTAAGGCGATCATTGACACAGCCGAGGCCCACCTGAAGATTGGTCGGTTTCTGATAAATTCATCCTCAAAACTCACATTTATGATTCAAAAGATGTTAGAAAACACTTTTGCTAAAAATTCTCTGTGCAAGAAGTTAGCCGAGGGAATTTTTTGTGGCGATTCAAGTTGTACCTATCAGCACAAAGATTCAGAAGAACGTTTTAAAAAACGCTTTCATGCCTTGTTCAACTTCGTGTATCTGGAATCAGTTGTTGAGAAAAGCATTTCAGAGATGACTGCTAACAAGATTGGAAACGACATTTCTCCGTTAATTGACAGGGACTTCCAGAAATTCTCTACATGTCAACGTTTTTATACCTTTTTGTTTCCCCCCTCTGGCTGTCGCAGCTATCACCTCACCTGGCCACTCGTTCGTAATATTAGGATAACCAAAGCGGTGAACAGACGTATTTTGCAGTTCGCAAACTTCTTATGGGAAGGGACGCCCGAGGAAAAACGCCGTTCAGACACGAACAACTTTCTGAAAGTTTCATCTTCTCTGCAGCTGATTGGGTCTTCTTCGTTTATGGTGGATTGGATTTGCGAAGAGGAGAACAAGTTTCAGACAAAGGCAGGAAAGTCAAAAAAGCCGACTATTTTTCAGTTATCGAAGAATGGAATGGTTTTCAACAAGGGTAATGGTCGTTGCGAAAGCTATCTTCAGTGGTGGGAGGACGGCAAGAAAAGGCTATACGTGCGTGGTGATGTGGCAAACGCAGCCCACCTGATTGTAAGACGCTTCCTCACCCTTACAGCCAAGCGAAGTGGTATGATCTATCCATCAATTGCCAACACAGTGATGATTTTAGAGCACCAGCTGACTGCCTGTCTTGCACTATACACCAGATTGTGTACAGAGTACCAATTTCCGATTTGTTTGCCAGGAAGCTATTTAACCATGGTAAGGCTTTGGGACAGCTTCATACCAAGTGTCGAAAGGGGCACCTTTACCCTGTATGAGGCAGTTGAGCATAATGTTAGACAAGAGAGAAATATACCAAGACTGCTTAACACCATCCGTTCACTTTTGATCTACATGGTGGAGTTGACATGTGGTAAAGTGGCTTCATTGTTTGACGTTTTGGGAGACGCCCTGAGTTCTAACGAAACCCCAACATACAGCACTTCTGGAGAATCTGAAAGGACCCTGGTACTCTTCCTTACCATGCTTTGCAATTGTGGAAAAGGGATTTCTCCTTCCGTAGAGGGCATCTTACTGGGAAAAGTCCTCAATATCACGCCAAATGCTTGCCTTCCAAACCGCTTAAAGAACATGCTAGGTGCAGTCCAAGAGGCCAGAGGATACCGAGACGTCGTAAAAACGTTGAGTGAATTTTTACAGAGTCGGGGCGAGGTATTTTATGATCTTCGTTGGCATAACGGTAAGCTTTGGTTTGATAGACCAGTCAATCCGAGCAATTACCGTCAAAGTTTTTATAACGATTTATCCAAGATGCGTGAAGAATTACGACAGGCGCAAGTACAAAGTCCCCAATATGGAGAAGCAGGTGACTCACACAATGTTGGCTCAGACGTAGATCTTGATGCGACTATAGACAACATGGAAGTGAGGTATACAGAGGCAGAATTGAAAGAGAAAGAGGATGCTAGGAAAGAAGTAGCTGCCAAGAAAGTCCAAAGGTGGTACAAAGGACTAAGGCAAGCAAAAGTTGAGCGAGCTACAAAACTAGCGAGGTTAAAATCTATGGAAGAACAAATGGTGGTAACGAATGCTGCTGAGGAACACTTTTTGAGGTTTAAAGTGGACTTGTCAGCTTGCGGAATATGTGGAACAAACTTCAAATCATCAACAGATGATCATCCAGTAATGAATCAGGAGGATCATGAAGGTGGATCACTTTGATTACTTATTTCTGTTATTCCTTGAATCCACTCGTCTACCACTTTCTTGTCGGCCCACCTTTCCTCTCTTCATTCGTTCACCCAGCCATTCGTCCACCCATGCGGTCAACCATTAATATATTCTGTCATCCTTTAATACCATTATTTGTTCTTTTTCTCATTCATTTACATCTGTGCATACTGTACACTTGTGAATCTGTTCATACGTTCTTAGCTCTCTGAATTTTTGTTAACTTTTTCGTTTTAGGAGACACACCAAATGAGGAGATTGAGACATTAGAAGCCCACGAAAAAACGTGGGCTCATGCGAAAAAAGAAGAAGAATTCCAGCTGTATAAAGAGATCTACTTAGTAGAGATCCATCCCTGTTTGATGAAAGAAGAAGAGCTTCGAAAAATGGCGGAGAATATTTCTTCATCTGCTAACATAGATCTTGATTTAGAGCGTCTGGAAACGCCTCTGTCTGTAGTAAAGAAAAGAGTGCAGTCTATTGAGGCATCACTGGACTGGGCAAATACCAGTTTGCTTCAAACCGCAGTAAACGAACTAGAAGCTACACTGCAAGAAACATCCATACTGTTGGAGGAAGGTATATTTAGAATACAGACATCTTTAATTTACTATGAGATTTGAGGGAAGACACAACTTACTTGGGTTTGCTTACTATTCTTGATTAGGAGCTCTCGTGATCGTTTTATTTGTATTTCCTTGTTGTATTGTATATTGTAGATTAAAGGACAACTGTCTTTAAGATTTATAGAGACGATCCTCAGAACAACTATGAAAATAATAATAATAATAATAATAATAATAACAGATATCGTTAACTAGCGACCGTTTTTGCTAAATTCATGTCATTAGCAATTTATTTTGAAGAAAACTAGACGACCAACGTTAAGTATCAGAAGCATACAACCTTGCAAGTATCCATCCCCTTCTTTTAATGTATACCAAACATCTCTTTTCCCTTAGCAAAGAACGATTCTCTAACAGATGTCCCCAAGGAGGAAATGGACACTGAAGATCAAAACGACGAATTGGAGGAAGAAGAAGGAGAGATCATGGATGTGTATCAGGGTGTACCACGAAAAAAGCGTGAAAAGCCCCGGCCCTCCAAAAAGAAGCGATGAAATTCTGACGATACCGCTTGTTTTTTTAAGTACTTCGAGAAACGGTCATTAGGTTAAACGTTCTAATTAAATTGGAAGCCAGAGTGTTATTTAAAGAAGCGACATTCAGATTACGAGTACTTCGAGATCCAGTTGAAGTGAATATTTTAAATGAAAATCAGCTGGTGTTTTCGGCTACAACTCTCATTATTGATATTCTTGTCGCCGAGCAGGAGTTGAGGGTCTTCAAGAATGCAATTGGTGTGACATTCCGGATCATCTAAGCCGGCCACAAACTTAATTCAAAAGTCGTACTTTTACTCAATAGCCGAGAGAGTAGTCCAGTCGGAGGGTCCATATAGCTAAGACCTTTTTGAAGCGACGATACAGTGAACTCTCTCTAAGGAAACTTGGGTGCTGTTCCCTATTTACCCTCGTTAAGGTGGGCACATCGTGAGGATCTCTTATGGTGTCCATCTGAGGGAGAGTTGGGTGTGGAGTACATCACGTAAGCAGATTGCAAGAACGAACAATTGTTACGTCAGTTTATGTTAGTTTTAACCTAAGGAATCAAGGTGTCGTACGTATGTAATATAGGGCAGCGTCCAAATAGGCACAGTGCCCGAGCACGATACTCGCTTGTTACCAAAGTGAACACACCCTTTTTTTGAGTACCCTCACCAGAAGTAATGCAAGCATGGTGCCGGCGCCAGTGTACAAGGTCGATACTCAGATAAAGACTTAAATGCTCGGGTCCCGGGTGCACGCGTTTACCCGATATTTCCGAGCACACATAACTCCCTACTCCTCTCATAAACCTTGGAGCAAAAGCGTTGTAAATTCGGCAGGTTTTGATGCCACTCTAAGTTATCCTAATTACTTTTCTCCTTATTATTTCTAATAGGTTATCCTAATTACTTTTCTCCTAATTATTTTTTGTAAAATTCAAAGTCACAAGTAAATTCCTGTAGCCGCTTCAAACGTTTGTCATGCATGCTTGTAAAAGGTAGTGTACGTTTTACTGTAGTGGTTTGGCTTCTGCAATTTTCTTTATTTTTTTATGAGTTTTCTGCTCGAGGCCAATTGCATAATTAGGATTAGGATTATAAAGGCTTGGTGATCACAAAACCCTCTGATCTTCCACGACATATATATCTTACGTGACTATGGTGAATTTTCTAGAAGTGAGCCTGGTTATCTCTAGCTTAGGATGTAAAATTTTGCCTAATTAAAGCACAGAATTTAACTTCATTGATATTGCTGGGTTCTTGTTTTTGATTGAGTATTCCCACGCTTTTTACAAAATAAATAAATGGAGATAATAATTTAGCGTTTTGCATTTCCCTGCCGCTTCCCGCCCCCTTTTCTCGCGGCTCTCGCTCACCTCTCGCCTGCTTAGCTGGCGTTTTTTTTGATGTGTTTCGCAAATAAGCGAACATCCGCGCAAGGTCGAAACAGAAAACGTCAGGGATGGGGCGAACCATTCTCTCCACGCCCCCTCTCCCATCGTTTTCTGTTTCGACCATTCGCGCGGCTGTATCGCTTACTTTCCGAACCACAGAACGAAGAGGAAACAAAAAAAAACCGCCAGATACGCAGGCTAGCCCACCCCGTCTGGGTTGTCATTTGTCAATAAGAACCTGGAGTCCCTAAACGTGCCCTAACCGTGTCAAACAGGCGCAGATCCGCAAATCCTCCTATCGCTGCTCACGTGACTAACGTGACTACCCGACGATGTGACGACCTTTCGCGCCATATGCGCCATACATGTGCTTTATGACAATAGTGTACGGCGAGGCTTCTTCCGCTGGAGACGTGGAACAGAGCATTCCAAGAAAGATCGTTTTAAAGCAAGGTCGTTCTAAGTTGCTTGCTCCGGAAATACCTCTGTTCTAAGCAACTTTGCTCTGAAGCGCCTGGCGCTTGCGATTCAAAGAAGCGGTTGAATGATGATGGCAGTGTTTGAATGAAAAGTGTTTCATGGATCATGTCCCAATTCATCTCCCAGGTTTTGCAATTGTCTGTTGTCTTCAGTAGTTCATCACGGATGTAACGCTTCTTTTGTAAGGTAAGATTATTTTGAATAAAGCGAATTGGAATCCCAAACGATTTTAACTTTGTATTTAGAAAGAAACGGGTGTGAGAAGATGACGTGAATGTTTAGTGTGCGCGCAGGTATAAACGTTTTAAGATGTCTTGGAAAACACTCGAGGTATATCTGCTTATCTAATGAAATGTAAGCTTAGTACGTTTATTAAGTCTGATATAATTCAGAAAATCTTTAAGCTGAATACTTTCACTTCCATGTTGCAACACCTTCCTTAAGAGTCCTTTTTGTGTTAGTTGAACAACAGTAACAAGAGATACTAGATAGCCAGAATTTTCATTGCTTAATACTGGGTTGCCGTCTGTCTTAGTGATTCAAGATTCTTGCCATAAATTTTCTTAAGCTTAATTTTTAATAGAAACACCTGCGGAATCTGAAGTGCATGAATCGTTGGTTCCTCTGAAAACAGAAATGATTGCAATGTATTGAAGTGACATATCAGCTGTCGTGAAGCAGAATTTATAGTAAGCATTTCTTAGTTGTCATACGTATATTGAGTGACTTGTTTTTCTACTGCGTTTCTTTCCTGTTCTTGGCTCACTGTTAGCTTGTGTACTGAACATTGTATGTGTGACTTGGATAGTTTACTGAGATTTTATTTCACCTAAATTTGAAGTGTCACCTCGTGGACTAGATTGGCATCAACTTTGAAGGTTTTTAAAACATTAGTATAACCTGTAAAGGACAAGCTCAAATAGACATTACGGGTGGAGTCATCCCTGAGAATTCAGCTCAAACAACTGTCTTTTCTCTCCGACAAAATACATTCACTACTCTTATGATGATATTGTCTTGAAGACTTTTTCTGGTGCATACTCAAAAAATACATACATGTATGCAACTTTTTTCCATTCAGTTGTTATGTTTGGTTTTAAAATTCCTGTGCTTGGGATTTGTCAAACTCATTAATTTTATAACTGCAGTAAAATTTGGCTTTGTCGAACACTGGGAACAATATTTAATCTGATATTCAGACATCTTATTTCAAAAAATTGACAGATGTACCTTAATTACTTATTCAACTTAATGTTTGGTGTCAGAATATTAATATTAAGAGATACTCTGCATCTGGTGTTATCAGTGTGGAGAGTATTACCTGAAATTAATGACATGTATTACTTAAACTTATTCCATAAAATTTCCACAACCATACACTGCCATTGAAGAGCCCCCCCAGTAAAAGTACCATCTACAAAATAAATAATACATCTGATTATAATCCCCCAGCTACAAGCTCCCCCCCTTCCTATTTGAATTCAGTTTACAGTATGTTGTTTTGTTACCCACAGAATGTTTGGTAAACACTGGAGGAGTTTATAATTTTAATCATTTAAGTCCTAATATTGACCGGAATAAAATTTCTTGACCTAACAATATCCATACATTGTGAAGAGAATAGGTTATGAGAATTTTTAAATTGATCACCTTGGAACAAATGTTTTGATCTTTCATACATTCTCTTAACTAATTATGAAGAAATCTTTTGGCGGTCACCGGCTTGTTATGAAACCACTGTTTATTGTATGTGGCCGGCTACTCCTGCCCCCCCTAGCTTAAGGAACCTTGCTGCCCCTCGATTGTCACAGCCGCCTACTTTTCCAGAGGTGGCCACCTACTTCAAGACATTTTGAAACCCCTGAATCTATAAAGACCAGTCAGGAGAATTTATGTGTTGTATATTGGGGTTAAAAGGGTTTGCTGTTTTACATGTACATAATTATAATAGTGAGCTTACGCAACAGGACTGGAGAGGAAAGAAGACGGCAAACCTTGTGTGACAAGTGTGACAATATTTTGTTTGAAAAATGTTTCTGCCGAACTCCACTCTCCTTTCAACAGATCTTTTTGTGAAAGACCAGGAAACATTAACTTAGGTGAAGATAACCGCAAAACACATACATCTAAGAAATATAGGCGTGTCACATTTGTCACACACATGCGTGTTGCTGTCCTCTTCTTTCTGCCGTCCTGTTGCATAAACTCACTAATATTGTAGTCTTTTAATGTAGGAGTCTGATGCATGGATCCTGTTGAGTGTAGCCATCAAGGATTATTGGCCTATAAAGATGGAGCATTGGAAGATGCAATTGTACTGTTTACCAGGGGAATACAGCTTACTCTTACAGGGCTGATTGGGAACGACTAACAGTGGCGGATCCGGGGGAACGTCCCGCCCCTCCTTATTTTTGGACCAAACTTAGGCCCGAAGGGCCGAAAAAAATTTTTTTGGAGACCACCCCCACTCCTCCTTGATGACCGGGGCCCCCATTATCTCAAGGTCTGGATTTGGCACTAACTAACGCATTCATTTTTCAAATAATTAATTCATTAATAGAATCTTGGGGGGGTACGCTTGACCTGTCTTGACCGTAAAAATGCTTTGGACCTTCAGATCTCTTCCTTAGTGGGTTAATTTAAGAAGGCAAATGCTTTTCTAGTCTACACTATATGCTTTAATGAAACTGTTCACGGCAAACGGTGTTTAGATAAAAGCGTTGAGCAAATTGAAAGTGACTTAGAACGCGGTTTTGTTAAACACTGGTTAAACTCCGTTTAAATAACCGGCCCCAAGTAGGGACGGGAGGCGGGCGGAAGACAAATGTATGGGGTCGCAGAGAATACTTTCTACGACATTCGACTGAAATATATTGTACTTATAAACTTTCAAATAGCGTGTTTCCTCGCTTTGCTGACTGGTACACGCACGCAACTTGACATTTCAAGGCCCGAAAATTCCCCGAACTTTCACGACATATTTCGTGACCATTGGTTTCCCAGTAACAATCCCGAAGACAATTGCGCGCCTCTTTTTTGGCTCCAGTTCCCTTGCCGTGGTGAATAGATGCAACAAGCTACACACTAAATTATCAAAAATAATTCAGGAAATAGCAGACATTCCTCGAGTGGGCGCGGGCAAGATACTTGTCTTAAAACCTGCTGTAAACAACTTTGCTGTAGTCATATAATGATATGAAATATACAATATCCTCTCTATTAAGAAAAAGAGAAAGAGATAAATTATACATATATTCTTCTTTGGTTTGACAAGTCTGTCTTATAAGGAGAAAACTGAATAATTAATTATCTATTTCAGCAAGTAAATCGTAGTTACTTAGGATACGTAAAGGAAATGATATTACCCACTGCCTAACTTAACCGTAAACAAGCATGATAATGGTTTCTTAGAAATTGCTAGGTTTTCCGGGAAAAACCTGCCGTGACTTGAAGTAAATATAATACTTCTAGAACAATGGATGTTTTAGTTTCACACCAAATCTATTGGCTGACAGTACCTTAATTCCGGGTTGTGTGTTGTCACGGCTGCTTGGACTGGCAAGCAAATTTGAATACTTTACTTTATTTACAAATTGAAAGTGATTTCGTAACGATTGTTCTTGCAATATGTTAATGCGTTTACAGTCTGTTTTATCGGAGGAAGCTTAACTTAAAATGTAAGGCCCAGTAAAATCAGGTAAGCATAATTTATTGTATATGAGTTGACAGCCATATTACTTTGAGGCTTATCTTTTGCGGAGCTGTGTGTTTCTGTATTCCTTAACTCTCTAAAACCGTTTATGCCGAAAATCTTCTGTTTTCTTCATCGTTGCATGATTTTTACTCCAGCAACCGCATGTTTAATCATTGTACCTGTTGTGTACAGACATTCTTTATATTTCTACATGATAGATTACCGTCCATGACACTAGCGGATCGAAAAAGTTTTCCGGTGTTGTGATATCCCTTACTTTCAAATTCTGCATACATATTAATGTCTAACATATTTAATTCGATGTAAGTGTACTACTATATACTGATAAGAATAAAAGGAAACTGGAATTGTACTAAGAGATACGTTGAGAACCTTTATATCATGGAAGAACCTTTTTGTGTCTGG